TTGCTGTATGAAAGCATAACAATGTGAGGGAGACAATCTCCTAATAATGCATTTAAGGACCCTTTCTACTCTTGAAAAGTGATAATTTGAGTTATAGAGAAATTTGAGAAAAGTGATAATTTGAGTTATAGAGAAATTTGAGAAAAGTGATAATTTGAGTTATAGAGAAATTTGAGAAAAGTGATAATTTGAGTTATAGAGAAATTTGAGAAAAGTGATAATTTGAGAAAATTACGTAGCTGCATTAAAATTCTTTTTCAATATAGGGAGAATGCTTTTTCATCCAGGAGAAATCTTCAAAAGCAATGAAGTAAAGTTAAATTAAAAAGGCTTTTGCTTATTAAAATGGAGAAAATACATTAAAAAAAGTTTTAAACTACCAGTTCTCTATTTTGATCTGATATAATGTTTAAAATAGGCCTACTTGGATTTATTTTAAACTTGGTATAAATTGATTCAAATTTTTTGTCAAGAGAGAGGGACCTTAATTGCCTAAATATGATGAAAAATCAAATTTCTGTTTAAATGATTTGGAAGCACTGGCATAATGCTTGAATTGAGGTCTAAATTATACATCTTTTAATATATACAATATCATATATCAATACAGAAACTATCTGACAGTGTGTAAAAAAAAAAATGCAAATAACCGGTAAATATAATTAAATGTGTAAACTAAAAGCAAATTATATGTAAAATTAAATAAAACACACTGCTCAACGCGTTATCGGCTACTCGGTTGTTATCGGACACTCGGTTGATAGCAATTTTTGACAGGTTAGTAAATTATTTTGAATAAACTATGTTAAAATAGAAACAGAGAATATTCATTGTGCTTTTTGTAAACAGAAATGAATACGGATACAAAATAAAGCCTCGATACGTACTAGTATAGCATTTGTTAGCATTTGGAAGGCTTTTAAAGTCAAATTTGTTATGTTTTGCAAGTTTTTCTCCGATTGGCATTGCTTTAAATAGCTTTTTTTTCTTCAAAATCCTTATGTTTACCTTGCGTTAATGATTGTCCACAAGAAGACTTCCTCAGAATCTTGCGAATGTGTAATTAAAGGGGAAAAATTGCCCGAGTTTAACTTTCAGTATGTTATCGGAAATCCGGTTGAATAATGCACTTGGTTATCGGATAACTCGGTTTTGGTTATCGGAAACAACGGTTGTCATAAATTAAGGAAAAACGCAAAGAAACGACAGAAATCCAGACAAAACTATAATTTGCCTCTTTAAGAATATGTAATTTTTCAAAAATGAGTGGTCTTTTTGGCATTTTTCACTGAAATCTCCATGATCTTGACCTGTTTTAAATTTTATTTCAAGGTACCGAGGTCGCTGCGTGGCGCAGTGGTTAGAGTGTCTGTTCTAGAGTCGCCAAGTAAGGAGTCGATCCTTACGTCGCCGCTTCGTATACTACAGTGGGACGTCGCAGTATGTGCTAGCACAAAAAAAGATCCCTCACTGCTCAATGGCCTTAGGTGTTGAGTAAATGACAAATTTTGAAGCTCTCCGCCGGCAAGTGATGGCGTCTCCACGCATATGACTTGAAAATTCTCAGGATGGCGTTAAACAGCATACAATCAAGTTGCTGAACGCATGGCGAAGGAACAGTTGCTACCCATTTTTATCGACTTAGGTCACTCGCCGCCGAGTTTCAAACTCACAATCTTTCGAACACGAATACATTTATCAGTTTGGTATATACATGTACATGTAAAACAATTTAAACTCAAGGATGGTTAGATGAATTTCCAAATAGGTAGTTAGACCAAAATACATGTATATGACATAAAATTCAAAATTTTGACTTAAAAAAATTACAAAATCGTAAATACGTATCTCTAAAATATCGGAGGTTGTTTAAAGTACCAAGAAGAAATAAGAACACCCCCCCCCCCCGATGAACGGTCACATCCCCCAGCATGCTCAAATTCAATGTGTAGATAGCGTTAATGCTCGGATGAATAGGGGGACATGGGTTTTGGATTGCTATTGGGTGTTTATACTGTAACAAAAAATATCTGACACTCTGCCACCCCCCACCCCCGCCCTTGTAATTGAAAACGCAAATAACTGTTTGTAGAAAAAGTTAAACATACGAGGAACTGAAGTGAATCAACCAGCACCCCTCCTCCCAAATAGGTATTTTTAACGGTTGGAAAATAAGTTATGTATTTTTTTTATTAAAGCGTTTCTTGCACAATAAAATTCCAGTCGGCTCCCTTAACTTTATTTTTTTTTTCTGGACCATGCTTTTTGTTAAAGGATATAGTCTCTTTAATCTACTACATATCCAAATTACATTGTATTAAAAGAATTAAGAATTTTTATTTTTCTTTAATGCTGAGAGCTGTCTGATTGACACAAGATCACATGATCAAATATTGGAAAAGTCGTATAAACTGGGTGGTTCTATTTTAAATTCTAAAAATACGTTAACGTTCTTCTGCGAAGCGACATAAGCCTTAAGCCACACCTGTTATATATGTGTAACTGTGACGTGATAATACGATTGACATTACTGGACAAAAAAATAGTTCCCGGGGATCATGGGGGAAATTGAACTTGATTTTTTTTCTCAAAAATATACCGTTATACATGTAAACTATATCGGAAGACTAAAGCAAAATTGTAATGATTAATTATTAATATTATATATTTACGTTTGAAACTGCCTGAAGCGGTCTCCAAGAAGTTATCTTGAATGGAAAACAAGAAAAATGGTTGAACAGATGAGTACTAGTAATTCTATTATAAATTTTTAATTATTAATCTTATTTATATACATTTATATCAAAACAAACTTTTACGTTTGCTATTTTCAAGAATTCGCAGATTATAATGGAATTTTCCAATCTATTTATGAAACTAAAGGAAACTTTTTAACCTGAGTTTCCGATAACGTACACCTGTTAAAAACCGAGGTATCCGGCAACATCAACCGTGTTGACGATAACATGTTTTCAACTAACGAGACATTTTAAAAGACCGTTTACTAACCTTTAATCTGGATTTTTAATCTCAATTTGCTGATCTAAAGGTATCTGATTGTCCATAGAATAAATAGATCAGTTTGTTTGATAGAATAAACTAATTTTAAATTCTACAGAAGTTAAAATGTGATGTCACATAGTCCGAAATTTTGGTAAAATATCATTTGAAAGAGCTGTAGATCTTTTGAAAGAGAGTGATTTGGTTTGTGCTTTTCGCTGCTGAAAGTATAATCAAGTATCTGTCATAGATCACAAACTTTATTTGCTGAAATACAAATTTATCGTTGAAATATGAAATTTAAAATTACGTAGGTTTTCTAAACATTGCTTTTCTTGCACCGAGTGTCCGATAACAACCGAGTTGCCGATAACGCTCTGAGCAGTGTGTAAAAGCAGCTGCTTATAAAGTAAACATCAAAAATAAAGTACCATAAGTACTACACAGTACTTATAAATAAATCTTAACACCAAATGACCATCTACAATGATGAATCATCAAAACATAAACTATTACTTAACTATCACTGTAAGCAAAACTATAACTATTCTATATTCCAGTACAGTGTATAAGCTATATAGATAAAATTCTCATACATGTGCTTTAAGAAAAGCAACTAAATTAAAATTATTTAATGTAAACAAAACAAGAGGCCCATGGGCCACATGGCTCACCTGAGAAGCTTTGACCATTCTGTCCTTTACCAGATTCCCCCTTGTAATATATAATGCATCCCCAATGATCTTAATTTAGACATTTTGAAATCTACACTACCCCAGGATCCTTCCATGTGCACATAAGTTTCAGCTTTTCTGGCCCAGTGGTTCTTGAGAAGAAGATTTTCAAAGATTTTTCCTATATATTTCTATGTAAAACTTTGATTCCCAATTGCGGCCCCGCCCTTCCCCCTGGGGTCATGATTTGAACAATTTAGAATCTACACTACCCCAGCATGCTTCCACATAAGTTTCAGCTTTTCTGGCCCAGTGGTTCTTGAGAAGAAGATTTTCAAAGATTTTTTCTATATATTTCTATGTAAAACTTTGATTCCCCATTGTGGCCCCGCCCTTCCCCCGGGGGTCATGATTTGAACAATTTAGAATCTTCACTACCCCAGGATGCTTCCACGTAAGTTTCAGCTTTTCTGGCCCAGTGGTTCTTGAGAAGATTTTCAAAGATTTTTCCTATATATTTCTATGTAAAACTTTGATTCCCCATTGTGGCCCCGCCCTTCCCCCGGGGGTCATGATTTGAACAATTTAGAATCTACACTACCCCAGGATGCTTCCACCTAAGTTTCAGCTTTTCTGGCCCAGTGGTTCTTGAGAAGAAGATTTTCAAAGATTTTTCCTATATATTTCTATGTAAAACTTTGATTCCCCATTGTGGCCCCGCCCTTTCTCCGGGGGTCATGATTTGAACAATTTAGAATCTACACTACCCAAGGATGCTTCCACATAAGTTTCAGCTTTTCTGGCCCAGTGGTTCTTGAGAAGATTTTCAAAGATTTTTCCTATATATTTCTATGTAAAACTTTGATTCTCAATTGTGGCCCCGCCCTTTCCCCGGGGGTCATGATTTGAACAATTTAGAATCTACACTACCCCAGGATGCTTCCACCTAAGTTTCAGCTTTTCTGGCCCAGTGGTTCTTTAGAAGAAGATTTTTTAATGACCCCACCCTATTTTTGTCTTTTCTTGATTATCTCCCCTTGTGAGGGGACTTGGCCCTTTTATTTAACAATTTAAATTCCCCTTCAACCAAGGATGCTTTGTACCAAGTTTGGTCAAAATTGGCCCAGTGGTTCTTGAGAAGAAGTCAAAAATGTGAAAAGTTTACAGACGGACAGACAGACGGATGGACGACGGACAAAATGTGATCAGAAAAGCTCACTTGAGCCTTCGGCTCAGGTGAGCTAAAAAATCATTAAATAAGAGATACACATTTTCTATTAAATCTATTGGTCACTAATATAACAATTCTTGCATGTATTTTCAACTACATCAATAAAGAGTGGTTAGCTACAATATCATCATTCTCCTCCTCAAAATCCAATTCCTTACAAAGTGTCAAATCTCGCATCTTTTGTTCCAACATTTCTGTTTGTATCTGAAATGAACAATAAAAATGTAGATAATATATATGTATCACTTAACATAACAAAGCAATCACAACTAGATGAGGGTGTGATATATGTATATAAGTACTTTTTTCTCAGTGTGAAATATTACTTGTTTCATTCAATTCCAAATTCATTGGGAAAAACTTTAAAAGGTAATGGTTATTTTAAAATTGTTTCAAAGATCAGAATAATTTTTATTATTCTTGCTCAGTATCAAACTGCATGCAATCAGGTGCATTTCAAAAATATCCCTTTCATATAAATGTTTTCCTGCTCAGTACAAACAGAACATGCATGGAGTATGCAGGGAAGGTATTACATGTACATGGTTACAATTTAACTGATGTATTGCTGCATTATGGATACCTTTTCTCTAGAAATTGCTTTGAAGGAGTAGACTATTCCTGACAGTCATTAAAATGTAGAATTCAGTAAAACAAGCTTACAACAATCAGCCAGAGATGGGTGATTTTGCTTCTTTTAAACATAATTCATTATATCTGTTAGCCTCACCATATATATGAAACAATTGGGGAATGAAAATTATTACGCTATTAGTGTCATTTCAATATAAGCATTTTCAATATAAGCATGTTTTACTGATATTAATAACATTACACTAGCGGTACATGTATAATAATTTCTTTCAATTCAAGAATCTGCCACACAGATGTTAGTAATCATTAGTTATCATCACATTTGTCTTTATGTCTACAAATGCAGTTCTATTGTACAAATTAGAATATATCATCAGCTACAGGTGCTTTGCTACTAAATACTACATAAACATATAAGAAGGACAGTCATTTATTAGTACATAAAAGCTGTGCTTCACCAATCACCACATAGAATCAGTGCATAAATATAACTCACCTAACATTTTAAATAATATAGTTGACCTGCAACATATACACTCAGAAAGCAAAAATATCCATAAACAATTGGTATACTATGTATAATTTGTTACAACCAAGCAAATGTACCGGTATGTCAAAAGTCTTCAAAGCAACATTTATTTTTATCTGTTTATTTTCTTCTTTAAAAACCATATTAGCCCCAGTGACATTAGGGACAATCCAGATAACAACCCCTTATTTTTCCACAATCTGGAGATTACCCCCTCTGTATTTTCATCATTCATCTTTTCATCAATTATCTTTTCATCACCCTCACTATTGGCCTTCACCTGATCGTCCAGTATGATTATTCGCCCCTCCACCGCGGGGGACAGGTGACACTGTTCCTCCTCCTCATTATAGACGCTCTGTTGACGACTCAGGCGGCGCTCCAGTTTGGACATGCTGGCCGCTTGGTCCAGTTTGCGGGCCATGCTCCGTTTTCTGAGGTTAGAAATAAACTTCTGCACCAGACTTCTCTTCCTGAGGTCCAGTTAGTAGTCCAAACAAAACGCATGCAAAAAACACAGGAATAAATGCAGAAAATTTAAACAGGTTTTACAAAACACAAGTTTCAAACATTAAAAAAATTCATGCAAAACAACACAAAGGGACCACTAAAGTCAATTTAGGGTAACAATAACATTAAAAAAACCTTGAATTTCTTTTAAAAATCCTCTTGAACAAATTTGAACATTTTTCATGCATATACAAATGCACTAAACTTTTTCTCAATCAATGTTAATACCAGTATATACATGCATAGTGCTTTGAAACTGCAAGGATGGTTATTTCTATAAAGTTTTAATACCACGTTTCTTTCAATTATTTGTATTTCTTTTAAATACTAGTTATCAAATGTGCATGTTATGGATGATTTTGCTTGGTTATAATTTTTTAGTTATTATATGAACATCACTTTGCAAAACATGTCAATTGATTTTGTGTTTGCTATCAGCCAGTTTTGCTGTACATGTACTGTACATCTACAAGCTGGTTTGACAATTACTCCTCCTCATCATAAAAACATAGGTAATCAAAGATTACGAAGCTCACCTCGACGAAAGCTATCAGTTTAAGTAATGCAAATCTCACATCATATTTTCTTAACAGTTAGTATTTATCCTGAAAACAATATTCAAAGAAGTTCAGTTTAAATAGGTTAAAGTTAACTGGGGGATTAATCTGTTCCAAAAACTTTAATCTGGTAACTCGTTTGGAAAATGTAGGTCAGATCGAGCATCCAAAGCAAGTCTGGTAGTGTCCATCCCTAGATGCACCATCCATGCAAGTTTGGTCTGGGGATGGCTTATAGTTACATGGGAATGGACCTGCTCCAAAAACTTTAACCTGGTCACTCATCTGGAAAATGTAGGTCAAATCCAGCATCCAAAGCAAGTCTGGTAGTGTCCATTCCTAGATGCATCATCCATGCAAGTTTGGTCCGGGTAGGGCTTATACATGTAGTTACTTGGGAATGGACCTGCTCCAAAAACTTTAACCTGGTCACTCATCTGGAAAATGTAGGTGAGATCCAGCATCCGAAGCAAGTCTGGTAGTGTCCATCCCTAGATGCATCATCCATGCCAGTTTGGTCTGGGTAGGGCTTATAGTTACTTTGGAATAGACCTGCTCTAACAACTTTAACCAGGTCACTCATCTGGAAAATGTAGGTGAGATCCAGCATCCAAAGCAAGTCTGTTAGTGTCCATCCCTAGATGCATCATCCATGCAAGTTTGGTCTGGGTAGGGCTTATACATGTAGTTACTTGGGAATGGACTTGCTCCAAAAACTTTAACCTGGTCACTCATCTGGAAAATGTAGGTCAGATCCAGCATCCGAAGCAAGTCTGTTAGTGTCCATTCCTAGATACATCATCCATGCAAGTTTGGTCTGGGTAGGGCTTATAGTTACTTGGGAATAGACCTACTCCAAAACTTGAACCTGGTCACTCATCTGGAAAATGTAGGTCAGATCCAACATCCGAAGCAAGTCTGGTAGTGTCCATCCCTAGATGCATCATCCATGCAAGTTTGGTCCAGATAGGGCTTATAGTTACTTTGGAATGGACCTGCTCCTAAAACTTTAACCAGGAAGTCCACGCCGAGGGTATAGCATAAGCTCATCTCGACTTCATCGAGGTGAGCTAAAAATATATATTTTTTACTGAAAAGTTTCATCGGGGCATATTGCTTTCAATTAAGCTGAATAGTTGGCATCTGTTTTCTATGAAAACCTACAAAACTACGTTTATATTTTACTTTACTTAACATGAAAAAATTCCTTAGAATAAATTCAACAAAAAAATATATTTCATCCTCAAATTAAACAACTAGTACTATGAAAGAATTCATTGAATACAAACAATTTTATCTCCATCACCCATTTATTGAATATATGTATTTAATACTGAGTATACACCAACCTGACTAGCCCAACTAGACTTTGTCTGTGACCAGACTTGCATTCTTTGACACCTTTCATGATCTGAATGGATTCAAAATGATTCCTTACTCCTGTACTAAGTGAACAACACTGCTCCGAGGTTACCTAGAGTAAGAAAACAGTGAACAATAAACTGTATACAAGGAAATTTTTCACCTACCATACATGTAAATACATGTATTTAAATTTCAAAGAAAGTTTAGTAAAATGTTTTCCTTACCACCACTGGGCAATTCTTGAAGACATCATATCCATCTTTGCCTTCTGAAATGTATTCCTTGGTACACAAACTGTATTTCTGTTTGAAAAATTCAAAATTTTAATGCAAAAGATTTCCTTTTTTGGGGCAGAAAGTATGCCTCATATGCAGGATATTTTATGACAAAACACTAGTTATTCTTATATAACATTATATTTTCAGAGATAAAAACAAACTTTCTACAACCACTGTGCATGTACAAGTACATAGTAGTGTTTGTAAAGTTTCCTATTTGCCATAATGCTAATTAAATAACCTAAAACAGAAGCTTTTGGTAGTATATATACAGGTATTATCTTTGTGAATTAAAACCTAGTATTTTACCTAAATGCTTAATCTGTCTAACATTCCAATGCTATATCATATAATGTCTAAATTCACACTTTTAAAAAGCATTTTAAACCTGTCACATCAACCAACAGCTTACTCACGATTTTATATGAATGAAAAGGGTGTCACCATTTCAAAAAGAGAAATTTCTTTAACCTCAGAGTACATGCACTCAAAGTGCGATACATGTATTAAAAAAATGTAATTGATTTCTACTTTGTGTAAAATTGAATGTACATGTGTTCTGTAAGATTAAAGTAAAACTCAGTTTAAACTAAAGTCCTTGGAACCTGTGAATTTAATTCGCTAAATCCGTAATTCGTTATATCCGTATAACGAATTCGTATAACCATTATAGTGAATTCGCACTGTGCATGTTTTCCTTCAAGAATTACTACCAACTATGTTAGTGAAGCAAATATTACAAAACATATCTTCGATAACTAAGGTTTTCTTATGAATTGAATTTTATATACAAATGTTAAAAGGAAATAAAGTAAGTTCAATTTATCATTTTTTTTATAATCTTTGAAAGTTTGTTATAAAAGATGTAAATTTCATTATATTCAACCTCAACAGGACTCAAAATCAGTTCGCTATATCCGTAAATTCGTTATATCAGAGTTCGTTATAACCTTAAAATTTTAAAAAGATTTGTTAAGAATTTTGCCGGGGACCCAGAAAAACTTCGCTATATCAGTGAATTCGCTATATCCGTGTTCGTACTAAACGAGTTTTACTGTATATATGTAAATCGTGTAGTTATAAATAAAGTAGTCTCCTAAAACTCTTACCATTAATGATGGAAGACACCCATAGAACTATATTAAATTATCAAAATAATATGCTATTGAGCCATATTGAATGACAATGCTTATAGTATTCATCCTATCCCTAGTAGGAAGTAAAATGAGTTATGAATATCTGCATATATAACTGTTGAATTAGCCTTGCGGTTGTTAAAAATTACTGTTCAGCTTGGGCCATTATAAGTTTTTTCTTTGTTTAGTGTCCACCCTAAATTTGAAAACCAATCTTTCTATCCCTAAAAACACAAATATCAAAAAGAAAAACAACATTCTAAGCACAATTCCAGAATTTGTTTATCGATCGCCATTTGAGAATTCTCCTTGTCCTTGGGTATAGCATATGGTAACTAAGTAAAACTATTAGTTTATTAAATAAAACCAAAATTTTTATACACAGCTTAAAAAACAGAGAGGTGCTAATCCCAAAAGAGTAAACTGCATTTCAAAGATACAGTATGTATTTGTCAAATTTAATTTGTTTGTTTTTAATTTCACAACCTCAAAACCAATCTGGCTGCAGATGCTAAATGTAGAGAAAACTTGTTTTGGCCTTGAGTTGAGAATACATGTAGCTTCCCCTGCAAGTCTGCGCAGTATGAATATTCTTACGTTTTTAAGATTGATGTATTGCCCCTGAACTTTGACCAGCTCTGGATCTACTCTCTGTCCCTTAGGCTTGCTGGGATTAAACGCAAAGGTTATGCCCGACACTTGAGGGAACCGACCTTCCAATTTGGGGTAGGCTGACACACCATTTTCTAATGCTTCTATCAACTGTTTTCCTATTTCAATGCAAATGCATGTTGATTTAAGTGAAAATATAATATTTTAATATCTTTATAGGAACTCAGAATTATACTAGAAAATATGTGCAATGAACATTCATGTGCATTACCAATTCTTTATCACATTTGAAATTTAAATTAATGAGAGCTCATTAGAACAGCATTTTGTAAATTGAAATAGAAAAAATTACAAAATCTTAACAGTTTTATATGTTCTAGCCATACAAATGGCAAATGCCAAAAGATTCACTTTGTATACAACCCAGTATATATATGTAACGGGAGAGGAGAAAATGCAGCGGACCAGACCGGGATTCAACCCGGGCCCCCTATATATATATCTGGCCACCGGCGATCGAAACCAGCTGACCGCCACATATATATAATTCCAGGTAAATGAAATGCTACTTGGCATAAAGTAATAACGATGATATTCATGTCTCGCAATTACTGATTCTACACCGAACTTGCTTCATAATATTATCTTCATACCAGTGACTTGGATGACTACAAGTTCGTCCACCAGGGGGAGTATGGTCAATAAATCGCGGAGTTTGAAGCAACCTTTGGGGTGGATTCTGTCTGATCGGAATGTCCCAGAATTCAGGAGAGCACAGTCAGCCTGAGAAATCTCCAACATGATGTCCGTTACAAAGTTTCCTACAAAGAATATCAAAAGCCAAGTCTTTAGAAAAGAAAATATTACCTAGATACAAACCTGTGTACTGGTATATACTATAGTACAACAGTGCACCTGATTTGCTCAAACATACAAAAGACTCTAATCAAAATGATGACAGATATGGGAAGAAAATTACAAATATGAGTAGTGTGCATCGCATTTTAACATAATCAGTGCCACCAAAGTATTGCTAAATTATAACAATTTTGTTAAAAGACAGTTTAAATAATTTAAAGCAAGAATGACTACCTGAAATTTCTGATAAACAGATACCTAGATTTGTTTCCCTTGATCTTATAGCAGAGAATCTACCATCAAGTTCCACATTCATATATCCCAATACTTCATCCATTTTACTGTTAATATCACCTACATATATGTAAAATCAATATATTATGCATACAAAAATACTCTGAAATGAAAAGCTTGATAATATTAATTTCTAAATAATATTTTTTTTTTAAATGAAAAATATTTCTTGAAATCACAGATTTTCGTATTGTTAAGTCAAGAAATCAATTTCTTACTCTCAATCAAAACAAAGCTACCCATACCTTGCATATGTTTGACAATCTCCAATGTTTCTGGGTCCTCTGTGATATCAGAAGTAACATCCACCTTCTCAATGTCCACATGAAGGCGAAGTCCATTTCTCTTAATGGTGATTTTACTTAAGTTACGGAAATCAGTCCCACTTTTCACAATGTTGGTGTCATTAACCTACAAGATGAAGTTACAAAAGGAAAAAATATTACATGCATAGTATTTCAAATAAATCTAATAGATCAAATCTAAATGATTCATGAAAATCCAGTGTATGATGACACTTACTACTTCTACACCATAGTCGTGATCATGACCTGCCAGTATGATGTCAATATCTGGTACTTGTTCTGCGAGGTGTCGGTCATTTGGCCATCGCATGTGAGTCAATGCCACAATTAAATCAACTCCCTGAAACAAGTTATACACAATTATTAATAATGTGTTTGTTAACCAGAACCAGAATCTGTGAATGGTGAGTAGATTGTCACCTTTACTAACAGGGTATATGAATCTTAATTAGGTTAATATAAATGTATGTACAATTGAAATTTAAACAATTCCTTTTCTCCAAATATTTTTGACATATATCACATTCTATTAAGTCTACTGGATGTAAAAATATAGAAGCTTCATGTATTTTAACTTTAATTCTTGAAACATATTTGGAAACACTACTTTTCATTCACAGTGTTTCTATTAGAATTTTAAGCTTTACAGATTGAACAGAGGGCGTTTTTAAATTTTTTAATGTTTGTTTGTTTTACTTAATCTGAGAAAATGCTCAGAAAGCTACCTGTTCCTTTAAATCCTTGCAGAGTTCTTTCCCTTTAGAAACAAAATCTATATAAGTAACATCTTCTGGGTCCAGTGTTGCCAGAGTGTCAATCCATTCCTCCTCTACTAGGCCAACCACTCCAACCTGATAAAAAATAAAAAAAAGAAACAAACATCTTTAACAGAAATTGTAATTTCAACGTTAATTAACTTTTTTTTGTGTGTTTTGGTATCATCTTTGCTTATTGAGGTTTTCTGACCTGCTACACTCCTCACAAACCCAAGGGTCTGTATGGAGTGCATTGGATCAGAAAAATTGGCTAGCAAAGATGCCACAGTATATTCTTCCTTACAAATATCCCATAATGGTTAACATACTTACCTTATACCCATTCCATTCAATAACACAAGACTCCTGTCCATCTGCCAATGTCTTTTTGGTCAAGTTGTCTATAACATTACTGAGTAACCATGGAAACTTTGTCCTCTCTGTCATCTCACACAAATGATCAACTCCAAAATCTAGCAGTTAAAATTACAGGTATACAATGTTTTATTCTCTAAAAAAGTAAATATCAGACAATAGTTTTTCTTAATTTGCTAAACTTTACATTTAATATGAACAAAAAATTTATATTCTAACATCTGAGAAAAACATTCACCAAAGTCATGATTTCCAAACACTGCAGCATGTGTGCCTACTGCATTCAGGATTGGTATCATCTGTTCACCCTTCAAGAATATGCTCACTAAAAAATAGAGTTAAGCTTTAAAACATATATAGATTTCAGTTTTGCAAAGTGTATATACAATCCCTAAGACATTTGAGCTGAAAAAATTCTATTCCTATATAAATGACCTCTTAGCTATTCTGGGATTCCATCTCAGCCCCCTGTCCAAGAATGAACCCCAAACACAGTTTTACTTTTTGAATGTCCCCTGCTACTGTGAAATCATTTAAATTCATGGGATTCAATTTTCATGTATTGATATAATTTAAGAGATTTGTTGGGATGTAAATCTATGTTTTCTCTTACACCTACTAAAGGAAATATGACTTGCAAACCTGATTTATATATTTGTGGAGGATGTTAATTTGTGGGTTAGAGATACACAATGTACCCACTAATTCCACAAAAACTGAACCACCACCTGTCCAAATCTACATTGTCTCGAGCCATGGTCCGCAGCCCGTGATATAACTCTCAGATCCTACCCATGGCTGCCTAATCACAAGTGTCGTAATCTTGAATATTTACGCCTCTCTTTTGTGACATCATATTTAGTCAATGACAAGTTTTCTTCCCATCGCAATTGAAATCGACAATTTACATCAGCATTATTTTGTACACTGTGGTTAGGCATTGAAAGGTCGAATCAAAGTTCATTTTCCGACTATGCTTTACTCGCATTGGTCAATATTTCAATAAGCTTCAAAATATTCTCTTCTCATGCAACCATGGCTAGAATGGGAAAGGATCGTACATTTTGGTCGTGGTTTGCGACTATGCCAAATCTAATGATTCCACAGTATTTTAATTCTTAAGAATGTAGAAGTTGGGGCTTTACAGACCATGAATATTGGCCTGGATAGCTCAGTGGTTAGAGCACCTGACTAGTAATACAGGGGTCCCTGGTTCGATTTCCACGCCAGCAATATGTTTTCTTCATGCATTTCTCCTGTCCTACTACAGGATCAACCCTGCAAATGCTACTTGAATTTCAGAACAATCAACAAGATATAGAGGATATCTATATTGTGTGATTTGATATTGGCTTTATCCAACGAGTTGAAATGGTGTATATATTCGCGAGGCTTGCCAAGCGAATATACACCATTTCAACGAGTTGGATAAAGCCAATATCAAATCACACAATTATAGATGTTCTATTTATCTCATACGACTTTCATTTTAACAAAATTTTGAGACTTCCCCTGTGAAACTACATGAATGATTGCTAATTCATATTGATGACGTATAACTTGATGACGTAGGTCTAGGCAACTTGTAGGCCTAACGTTAGATTCATAGTTGATCCATGGTAAGTTACACCTACATGTACATTACTAGGTAGGCATAAGTAGTAAAATATAAGAAAGTATTATTGAAGATGTTAAAGAAATCTTAATAACAACAACTAAACTGCCAGGCTTTACTTTCTCCAAAAACGATTTAAAAAAGGGGGGGGGGTAACATCTGTCTTCAAGTAATCAATACAGCTACATTGATAAAATAAGAAACTTCTTTGGCATATATAACATTATTGGTCTTTATCATTCATTTTATTTTTACAAATAAAAGTTTCAATGATATAAAATCTTGAAGCGAGGGATCATGTCAAAACCGGAAGTGCTAATGATAAAGCATCTGCCCGTTGATATAGCATAGGTTTATCCAACGGCTTATATCATCCACACGTATGAGATAAAATGACATATGTATATAATTATAAATGAAAACTGGCTTACATAATGAAGGGTTCAGTACATCCCCACTAAACAGTACCAGGGGGTTCAATGACTGGTAGGACTTGACACACCCCACAAACCTGGCCGCCCCTCCCACAGGCTCCTCTTTCTGGGGTTCAAGGTTATATACATCATTGAAGTGAAGGATGACTAGATCATTTTGTGGCATCCTTATGTCACCTGTAAGTTAACATAAAATAATTAAGCAATCTTGAATCTAAATTTCTTTCAGCCTAAATGTAAAAAAGAGTAATTGGGATTATACTAGGTATAATAGGCAAAGGCAATTATTTTTTTCTTTAGAAAATATTTTTACAGCTACATTTCCTGGGTTTCCTGTTAGGTTTTTTTTGTTAATTGACAATTTTTACAATTTCTTACATGTGTAAATGTAAAAAAAAGTTCAATTGGGATTATGCAGTGGCAGAATAGGCAAAGGCAATTAATTTTTTCTTTAGAACATATTTTTACAGCTACATTTCCTGGGTTTCCTGTTAGGTTTTTTTTGTTAATTGACAATTTTTACAAACATTCATACATGTGTACATATGAAAACCTTATCAAGTTACCAAATGCAGTGGCAGACAAGGGCAAACAAGAAAACAACAATAAAAACTTGTTTACACAAAGTATACAGGCATGCGTCTTAAAAGATGCTTGTTTTATTACATGTACTCAAAGGTTAAATTAGACAGATAAGAATTACTGGCCCACCAGAACATAAACATATATATGGTTTGACAAAAATGCAAACAAACCAACTTCACAGTCAATTCAGGGTTAAACTTGAGTATTACTGCAGGTACTGTAACACAAGTAAAATTCACACCAAAAAGCCTGATTAAAAAAATATTTTTTACAAATACAGAATTAATACATGCATCCCTGCACATATCAATTAACTATTATCATATGTCATAGCTGACTATTAGATAATTTTTGAAGTATTGGATCTTAAAGTTTGTGATCAAGCAATATGAATGCAATTCCTAACATAGAATACTATTTCACAGTTTAAAGGTTATTTAAAATCAATATTCAGTTTTGTTTATTCGATGTCTTGAGAAAATATTTCAAAATATCTTAGAAAGGCTTGTTTTTTAAAAGAGAGGAAAAACACACTTTTGTACAATTTACAAAGACCTTTCCACAATTTAATGATTTGTTTTTTGATTTAACTTTTGAAGACTTACCTTGTAAAAAAATAAGCCAATTGTTTTAATACATAAAATGGTGCATTTTCCAGCATTTCTTGTACTTTTTGTAGCTTTTTTAAAGACCAATCATTCAAATATACCAATTTAGATAAATAAAATGTTTCAAATTACATTTAATTTAACTTCAACACAAGAATTTAGACTTTGCTTTAAAAAATTGTTACATCTGACAATTTTAGTTCAAGTTGTCTTCACTTTAAATGCATTTTCAATTAATTTAGTCAAGCTGTTACCAATTGATGTCCAATTTTAAACACTTTCAAAAAATCAAACATTGGATTCTTTTCAGAATTCTTTGTCTTTTCAATTTACTTGAGCATACTGCCAATATGATGTAAAAAAAAAAATGTATTAATTTTATTTTTAAAACGGTAAATAAAAAACCCTATATAATAGTTTATTCAAATAGTTAATTAAAAAAAACCATGCATTTTATCACACTTCTTTAGTTGCCATATCTATGAGTTTTATTTAATGGATCATGTCTAAATCATACTTCAAAATCATGAATTTAAGTGTTTAATGTTATTTTTATGTGATTTTCCTGTTAAGTGGCTGCAGTATATTTCACAGTTGCACAGAACAATGGATTCGTGTATATTAGAGTTTTATCAATGCAACAAAATGATAAAATGAAACTTGTAAAAAAAAAAATTCTAGCTTGTTGCCATGTCAATAAAGTATTTTAAAATATCTTAGAAAGGCTTGATTAACCACACTCTAGGGGAAAAACAGACTGCTGACAAAATGTACCATTTGCAAAAAATGATTTGGTTTTGAAACTTTTGATCAATAAGTCAATACATGTAGTTTACTATCTAAGTCTGACAAAATATAACAACATAAATTGCATAGTTTTAGCTTTACCCTAACTATTTTCCAAATAATTTGTCAATTTGACATAAGTGATACACGGCTGTGTGGCGGTGGTTGTGTATAGTCAGTTGGTAGAGCACCTATTTTACTGCAAAGTTGCCAATTTTTATACATTTGTATATCCCTGGAATTGACAGGTGAAAGACCTGCCAATATAACAACATAAATTGCACAACTTGGCCAAGCTTTGGTAGAGCACCTAACCGGACTATTTTTCAAATAATTTGTCAATTTGACATAAGTGATACAGGGCTGCATTGTATTTATGCAAAAATTTGGTTGAGCCTCCAAATCAGTTAATTAGATTCTTATAAAAAGACATTCATGTACATCTCTAAAAAATTAAACACTGTTGCCACACACACAGTACAGTACTACTTAACACCCCCCCCCCCCCCTCAAATTTTCAGTCAATGAATTTGCAAATTATCTCTTTACAAAGTCATGGCAATTAAAGAATTAGCTTTTAAAAGTTGTTAAAGTGTTTTCTCCATTTAATTCATTATCAATCAAAATACTTACAAAAGTATGTGTCGAAAAAAAGTGAGCAATCAAAAGTGGATATTTTTCATCTGCTTCGAATTTTGTTGCTTCCGGAGTGGAACTCTTTTGTACTTCCTTTTCACGTCGGCCATCAGTTAGAGGTATGACAGACTGTTGTATCTCTGATATATCTAACAATATCCCAAACATCATATGTTATATCAGATAAATAAAACAAGACTTCCATAAAAGAGATTGTTTCAAAAGTAAACAGCAGAGATTTTCCTTGAAATGAAGCAGTGGAACGGAATAAATGACTAAAATTTTCGACTGTTTACACACAGAGAGAGATCAATCTAATTGAGATTTGGTTCTGTAAAATTATATATAGTCTGTGTCAGTTAATAGGACAGTCAGGAATTTCAAATGTAGAGATTATCACTCAAATGTGGATGCCAGGGTATCATCGTTAAAGTCAATGGCTTTTTATGTTGCCTTGAATCTAGCAACTATTGTGCGAACTTTTAGTGCTATTTCATTGCATTTTTAATCTTGAAAAACTTTGTTTTTAATTCAAGTTAATGAAAGTTTTAAGATATTTTTGAAATATTAAAGAGTTACTTTGGTCAACTTGCACAATTTTGCAGGGCATTTGCTCAAAGAAGGGAGTGTAGGAGTAGGATATTTACTTTCTTTGCATATTAATGCCATATCATGGAAAATGTCAATTACTTGAGTAAAGCTGATCTTTGTTATATCATGGATATCTCAAGGGATTTGAAAATTTCAACAAATTATTAAAAAATTAGTTTACCCTTACATGCATCCTGAATCCTTGAATTATGTCAAAGTTTTTTGTGGTCCCTTTGAGTTTCAAATAACAAGGTTTGACTGTACATTTGATCGATCTTTTAAAAATTATCATTTGTCAACTGTAGAATTTTACACCCCAAAATGCTGAAACTCGAGTATAATTGTGGATGCATTTTACACAGGCATGGCCCCTAAGAGGAACAACGTTATCCCGAATGGGCATTTTCATAAAGACTGGCAACGCTATGTGAGGAATTGGTTCAACCAACCTGCCAGGAAGAAGAGGAGGCATGATAACAGATTAAAAAAGGCACGCCGCATCGCTCCCCGACCAGTCGCTGGTTCTCTTAGACCAATCGTTAAATGCCCAACTTTTAAATACAACACTAAGATTAGGGCAGGCAAGGGATTCACACTGGATGAGTTGAAGGTAAACCAACAAAATAAATTGGGAGAGAAAAAAAAATTAGAATATTTTGAACGACTTTGTTGTTATGATGTGCTAGAGTAATTTGATACATTTATGATATAAGGCCAAAATAAAATTATAGTTTGTTTGGAATTGCCTCCCACCTCACTGAAATGCCCTCTCCTGAAAAAATTTTATTGACCAAAAGTAGGAAGATTTTTTTTTTATTTAATCAATTTTTTGCCCTTTATTCATGTATCACATGCACCATACAAAACACCGAAATCTAGTGTCAGATCTATGTAAAATTAGGATTTTTTGTTGATGGTAGATACTTTTTTTAAAAGTCAGAAAATGTATTTACTGTTTACTCAGATTTTTTATCAAAAATTTTTAATTCATCTTCAATTTAAAAAAAAAATAATTTCCCTCCCTCCCTCCTGCATCTGAAACCCTTCAGGCGGTAATCCAAACAAATGATTTTTTAAGGATAGCCTAATAGTGACAGGATTTTAGACATTAATTTTTTTGTTGGTATTTTACATTCTGACATATATGTATGTCTGCATAAAACATCATTACTTACTTACTTAGTCCTCTTTGTGCTTTGAGCACGTAAGGCCTTCACCGGCGACCTCCATCTCTGTCTGTCTGCTGACACTGAATGCCCCAAGTCCATCCCTGATCTTTAATTTCTTTTTCAACTGACCATCGCCATGTCTCCTATAGTCACCCTCTGTTTCTCTTTCCTGGTGTAAGGAAACATCATTAGTCCACACAAAACAAGTTACTGTATGTGCACCTTAAAAAGTGGGCTTAATATTTTAGTGGCTTTGACGCTAGGGGTGGGACGATATACTGATACATACTGATATTTTCCTCTAAGATACGGTTTATGATACAAGCATTCGAATAACGGTACGAAACGATACACAAACGACATATCCAAAAATTGAAAATGAAAGTACCTGTCCTTGGAAAATGGCGGCTTGTACAAAGTGAAGAGATGATGTTGATATTGAAAACACACTGTAGAACTAATAAGTCATTGATTAGGGGTAAAACGTTTTCACTTTTAAGCAACCTCGGAAGATTGGACGAGAAAAGTTCAGTATGTAAAGCGTGCTATACACAGAAAGTATCGTTTCCAGAACATTTGATATTATTAATTGTTACTCCATCTCGTACTTTTTTTTGTAATCTCAACTTTGTACAGATTTTCAGCAATTAATAATAATGTAAATGTGATGTTTTTTAAATGCATTTTTAGTCAATGTTCTTGTTAATAGAAATTCGGTAATAATAATATGTACATGAATTAGTGTTTTTGTAAAGTTTTAGTCAATGATATTGATGAACTTCAAGTATTAATTTCAAAGCACACATGATTGATATAGAATAATTGTTGATTTAATGTCAAGACAACAAAAAAATTAAATAAAATACTAATTTTTTTGATAAGTTTTATAACTTATCACGTTTATTTAATGTCAAGACAGAAAATGAAATAAAATACTATTTAGGCCATACCAATTTCTAATATAGTTCGTCGGATTCGCCGCTTCAATTTTTATCAAATCAAAATTATAATATTAAAAAAATATATTTCGCGCGCGCATCCAAAAATATCCGAATACAATTTTTTTCTCGACTTTTTACACAAATGTATGACAGAAGCGCGGAATTAGTGTGTTTGTACTTTGTAGCAGTCTGTAAAGTTTTGCAAGATGCTCGTGTAATTGTGTGTATGTACCAGGGGTGAACAATTAGCATATCCAAACAACCGGGGCTACTATTTTGGGGGATCGGGCTAGTTGTTTTCTGCAAGGAGGTAGCCCGTCGGGCTAGTTGAAAACATAACTACACAAGCAATGCAACAGTGACAAGAACAATCTGTATTTTCACTTGTATTTGTTATAAAATTCCCAACCAGTTAAAATTTTCCAGACAACATGCTCATATTGTCAATGAATCTCCATAATATTATCTGTCTTGTACTTCTGTCTGACTTGATTACTTCCAAAAACGATCGTTTTTTCCTAATCCGAATTTCCTCTATTCCTCCATTTATGGTAAATACATGCAGATATCTCATTAAATTATTTCGATTATCCAATGAACTGAAAGATAAGTGTTTTGTGACTCATATAAAATATATTTCAAGTGTATTTAATGATTTAAGATGAAAACAAAATGAATTTGGTTTTATTCTAAATGAGCTAGTTCAATGATCAAGAAAAAGGGAAGATAATTCATTTAAATTAATTTAATTTTTTTTTTCATAATTTATGCATGATACATATTGATAGTGAGAACTTTTAATTTTAATTTTAAAGGAATAACCCCAGTACCCTGACTTTTTCAGCAATTAATTTCTTCTCCAGATTAGTACTGTATTTATTTTAATTTTTGTCCCCCCCCCCCCCCCGTTTGGGTTAGTAACTTTTTACTAGGGGCTATTAACTTAAGAGCTGCAACTAGCCTGTAGGAAAGTACTTGATTTTTTCCTCAATTGCACACCCCTGTGTACTATAGAAGAACTTAGAAATTTTTGCCACTAATATTAATTATATTCGCTCGCCTCATAATTTTGAAAACTGAAATAAAAAAATTAATATTTAAAAAATATTTTCGCTCGCTCGCCTCTCTTTTTATTTTTGAAAATCCGAAGAACTATGTTACAAATTGGTGTGGCCTTAAAAAAATTTTTTTTTTACAATTTATCATAATATCGAGATAAATATCGTATCATGCTAATGTATCGAGATACATATCGTATCGCAAGATTGGTGTATCATCCCACCCCTATTTGACGCAGACAACAATGTGCTTATTCATGAATACCGCTAAGAAATCATTAACATATACAATTATGTACAATACACTGAACGGACATGTGTAGCGCTTATTTATGATTATGCCAACAACTCCATACCCAGTGATTACGCAAAATTTTGAATACGCCAAATTATCATATGTACACGTACAGTATATCAAAGTTTTTGAAATTTCACTGTCAGACATATTCTCTGACAGAATGAAAGGTTCTATTGGACTGGACAACATTTTCTTGAATTAAGTACCTTGATTTTGTACAAAAAAAAGAAACTAAAATGCCCTTCAAGCAATATTCCATCATTATTTTCATTTCCTAAGGAAAAAGAAGTATTTCATCTGAGACATATAAGATGATTTATGTCTCTGTCTGGACTAATTCTATTCAGTGTACATGTACACCAGTGATAAACTAAAAGTAGTATCATCTGTTGAATAGTTACTGGAATAAAGTGAATTGTTGATAACAAATTGAGTTATTCTGTTCTCTCTCTAGGCTGCTGGAATCAACAAAAAAGTAGCTCTCACCATTGGAATTGCTGTGGATTACAGACGCCGTAACAAGAGCCTGGAGTCCTTACAACAGAATGCACAGAGACTGAAGGAGTACAAGTCTAAACTGATCCTCTTCCCCAAGAAACAGAGCAACCCCAAGAAGGGAGATGCCACAGTAAGAAAATTTCCTTTAATTCACAGAGTTCATTTTCTTCGTACAGAATGTTCAAGTCATTTTGCGTATATTCTCACTACGTTGTCATGTAAGATTAAGGTAATAATGTAGATTGTAGATTGTCTGATTTGTTTGCATTTGATTCCTCTGAAAAGTTGTTGAGGTTTGAGAGAAGCAATATCATGTTAAACTTTCTATATATGTGCCACTGTATATGTTAAACTGCTAATTCATAAAAGTATTGAGAAGATAGCTATACAGAATATTTCAAAGAACGGTGAACGCATCTATAATTATATCAAAGAAGTGAGATGTGAGATTTGAGATAAACCAAAACAAAAACTCTTTAGTTTAAAATATCAGATACATTTCCAAAATATTTTGTTATTTCTTTATGACAACACAAGTGATTGCTTTACCTTGCACCTATTACCAAGTTTTCCATGATTTTGTTCTTCAGGAAGAGGAGATCAAGATGGCTACACAACTGTCTGGCCCAGTTATGCCAATCAGAAAGACCTATAAACCAGAAAAGGCCAGGAAAATTACAGATGAAGAGAAGAAATTCAGTGCTTTCACTGCTCTTCGTCAAGCCCGCACTGCTAAGAGACTGCAGGGCTACCGCGAGAAGAAAGCTAAAGAAAAGGCTGAGGAAGAAGCTAATAAGCCCAAAAAATAAACTTCACAGTCTTTACAATAAATGTGTACAAAGAATTTGAGTTTGTTCATTTAATAAGGCTTTTGTATAAGGAGCACCGATAAATATTAGAATAGAATTTTTTGTCATTGAGATTCTACAATGTTATATTTTCAACATTCTTTTTTAATTTGATATTTGTTTTCTCTCTGGTTCTAATTTTGATATGAGATATCTGGATGTAGGTAGGGATTCTGAAATGCTTTTTCTGAGATAATTTGAGAGGCAAAAAATAGGAAAGTGAAGAATATGTGACCAAGCAACTGTAGAATACCATATAATCCCTATTAACCTCCCCTGCCCCTATAAGCGCCCCATTAGGTCTTTTTCAATCGTCAGGAAATAAGGGCCCCCTGTGCAGTGATTAATATCAAAAAGAATGGTATCAAAAAATTGAAGAAAGTAAAAATGAAACTTGTCTGTTAACTAATATCTCTGTGGAAAATGAAAAATTTAGCATAATTTGGTTAGATAATCTTCACTTTCAGTAAAATTAGACATTATTTTAGTGGTTCCTTGTATTTATTTTTTTTTCAAAAGATATTTTGAACTTAAAATATGTTATTTAATATCATAAAGAGAATACCAAAATAACCGCCTCCTTTTTGCAATTTTCTAAACGCCTGGGGCAGTTAATAGGGATTATACGTAATGGCTTGTGAAGAGAAATATGGCAGGAAAGATGTTTTATGTGTGTGTTGGGGGGGGGGGGGTTGAGCCTAGCATTTTAAATGAAAAAGTGAAGAAAACAAACTGATGTAATATGGTCAGTACTTTTGGTTAAAGCAGTAAAAGAATACCATTTCATCTTGCTGACACCTCCCTATGGCCATATGATTTTTAGATCCAAAGGTCAAGGTCTTTCTGTGTGTACATTTCTGGGCAATATCAACTTTTGCGATTTTATATCAATTTCCTGTGGCGTAAAGTAGATGACCCCAATTGATTCTGAGGCATTAAGTCAGTAAAGAAGACCCCAATTGATTGAGGTTCAAGGTCAGACATTCTGAGTGTAGGAGTCTCTTTCTGGGGGATATCTTGAAAAACCTTTTGTGTGATTGATCAGAAAATTCAGTTTACTGGGGTATATGAAAGAATTTAATATTCTAATTTCTTGAGTGTGTTGAAAGGGGCTTACTTTCATAACGATGAGTGTTGTTCATTGATGGAGTATAAAACAAAATCTCGGAAATAAGCAGCCTTTAAAAATATTGTATTTTTAGGCTAATTTCAAGGAGACATGTATTTAAGGAATAACTGTCTTATTTTTCGATTTCATGATGTGATCAATCGATTGGCTTGCGTGATAATTTGCATAAACGCCAAAGGCGTTTATGCATAAAATTAAAATTATTACGCAAGCCAATCAATTGATCATCGTCATGAAATTGAAAAATATGACAGTTATTCCTTATATTTACATGCTTTGATTCTGCCAATCCGTGCTCCAAGCCCTGCTTCTGTCTAGCTGTTTGTGCCGCCCTGCACGTGTTTTTTTATTTTTTTTTTTTTTTGAACCGCGCCAATACATTGATGGGGAAATAAAGTACATTTACAATTTGTAATTTTATCTCGGACAAAGACATTGGAAATGTAAATATTTGATTTTCATAAGCTCACCTTAGCAAAGTTTGGGGAGCCTTAATATTGTCGGCTCCCCAAATTAAAATTTTCAAAGCAGTTAGATTCCTTTTCAAATATCACAGGTTCAAAACCCACTGTTGGATGTGGAGACCGGTCCTTCAGATGAGACCATATAAACCATGGTTCCCGTGTTAAAGTAGATGCTTACATGAAAAAGATCCTTCACTGCTCAATGGCCCTAAGTGCCGAGCATAGGACAACATTTGAAGCTCTCCACTGGCAAGTCTTGGTGTCTCTGTATGAGTGAAAAATTCTAGAGAGGGATGTTAAACAATATACAATCAATCAATCCTTTTCAAGTACATGTCTACTTCTATGCAGTTTTTAAATCAAAGATGCATGGATGATAATTGTAATATGTTTCATTGAATTGGTCAAGGTTTCAGGTGCTGCTAGTGCTACAGTGTAGCCTCATTTATCCGGACACTTTGGTTCCCGGTGAGTTTGTCCGGATATGTGAAGCATCTGGATACTTGAATCACCAGTTAAAGAAAACAATATAGCATTTAAAAATTCTGTCCCGATGAAAAATCATCCGGATACTGAAGCATCCGGATATCTGAAGGTCCACTGTATTTCCTTTATTTAAAATGTCCAACTTGGTACTTTTGGAGCTGATTAAAATTTTTTAGCAGGTCGCATACCAAGTATTGAACTGAGAACCTTATGTTGATCAAACTTACTTATCTACCAGAGTTGCTTTTGATGCTGGATCTTGCCAACATTTCTTTTTTTGGAATAGGTTAAAGAATTTATAAGCCCTTTGTTGACCCAACTTGCTTCGGTGATACATCTAAGGATGCACACTGCTGAAGAATGGAGTTAGGGTTGGGGCTGGAGCAGGGGTTTAGGGTTGCGGACTTGTTTCTGATACTGGATATGATCTACAGGTCAATGCTGAAATTTCAAACTAGATATATTGAAACAAAAGGTATTATTGGAGCCCTGCTCAGTGCATGATCAGTCTGCCCATCCGAGATCTCTTGTCCGAAGCATTTCTTCTCTCCCCTTGGCCCAATCTGGCTCATACTTCACCCACAGAGTGCCTTTGGGTAACCAATGTGCAGTGACCTTGAACCATGTTTCTAGGTCAAAGGTCGAGGTCATAGCAGAATTAAATGAAAAATCCTTGTCTGGAGCATATCTTCTCTCCCCTTGACCCAATCTGGCTCATACTTCACCCACAAAGTGCCTTTGGGTAAGCAATGTGTAGTGACCTTGAACCATGTTTTTAGGTGAAAGGTCAAGGTCATAGCAGAATTATATGAAAAAACCTTGTCCGGAGCATATCTTCTCTCCCCTTAACCCAATCTGGCTCGTACTTCACCCATAGAGTGCCTTTGGGTAAGCGGTGTGCAGTGACCTTGAGCCATGTTTCTAGGTCAAAGGTCAAGGTCTTAGCAGAAATATTTTATTATTATGTGTAAAATCTTTGTCCTGAGCATGTCGTCTCTCCCGTTTGTCCAATGTAGCTCATTCTTCACTCACAGAGTGCCAGTTATAAATTGATGTGCATTGACCTTGAACAAAGTTTTTAGGTCAAGGTCAAAAATAGCCTCTCTGTTTAAAATCTTTGTTCGGTGCATAATTTCTTTCCTTTGTGTCCACTCGGCTTTAAACAAATTGACTAGGTATGTGATTTTCCTTCCATATTATGATAGAGGCTATGCAACAATTTTCATATATAGAGGATACATTTCTTTAAGTTTTTTAAATGTATTATTTTGCAGGGAGTAGTTACTTTTTGTCCCCTTTAATCTCAAACACCTTCAAAATTAACCCTTTTCAGTATACCTTACATTTTCATATGTTCATTGCTAAAAGGCTAAAAGCGGGGCCCTTTGAGATGGCCACCATCTCAATGATATCTATTTAAATCTTAGATTTGGATTAGATTCTAAATTGTTCAAATCCTGGTCCCGGGGTAATTTTTATGGGACAACAAGTAGTATTGAAAGGGGTAAATCTGGTGAAGAACAGCAGGCCAAGGGCTACTCAGGTGAGCGTTGTGGCCCATGTGCTTCTATTACTTAGATAAAGCATTGACCTTAAGCAAGGGGAATTTAGTTCTATGCTTTTATGTAACAATGTTTAATTTTGCCAGTTTAAAAGTATTAGCTATTAGATATCCAGTCGATAAAGACTCATTTTGTCTTATAGATTTATAGTTACTCCTCACATTATAATTAGCATCGGGATCGAGGTGCACTTTTGACCTTGAAGCGAAAGTAGCATGTTTCGCTGTTTAGTTATAGTGCAGAAACGTATAAATAACAACGAAATAGTGAAATCATCTTTAAAATCCTGCATCTTATTTGTAAAAGGAACTAACAACTCTTGGACACATTTGGCAAGAACGGCAATCTTTCATCGTATTGGACTCAAAGCATTTGTAAGGGAACTTTGTACTGGGTTGTTTTAAAGTGTAGCTTCACATATCTGTGTTCTATGCAGACCTGCCAACCAAAATTGATGCTGTGGGGGGTCATGACCCAACATTCAGAATTGAAATGTTGGGTCATAGCGCGCGGCGACATTTTTGTTGAGGTTTGAGTAACAAAATGCTCCCTAATTTTTAGGCATCAATGCAAACAGTCAAACACATGCATGTATATGTTATATTTTATTGCAGACTTAATTTTTACTTAGGACAGGTTACTTAAAATTGCTTGTATAAGAACACTTTCAGATTGATAGTAAGATTCAGACACTTTTAGTTCAATAGAATTTTTGCAAAGTTTTAAAAATTTAAAAAGTTTCTGGGAAACATTTGTTAGATTCTACAATAATTAATTTTCAACATATTACAGAATCAGAAAATTGTAATTAGACATTTAAATTGAAAGATTAATATTGAAAAATTGCTGCTGCAGGGGGTGGTGGTAAGAAGTATGTGCCATCTAATTTCCTATTATTAATTTTAAAACACACACAAAAAAATCAAATGAATCAAATACTACAAAATAAATTATGAAGGATACCTAACACCCCAAACAAAAACTTAAAATCGTTAGAGTCATGGTGTGACTACAAGTGGGTATTCCCTTGTCATAGCCATTTAACAAAGAAACACAACGTACAATACTACATTTTGGAAGGGGGGGGGGAATTCAATATTCTTCACGTTAGACTCTTTTGCTTTATCTTAATTAATATCATTTTCTTTTAACCACTACACTTAACAATAATTTCAATATACAAGAGCTGATAAAATCAGCTGATATATGAGAGCTGATAAAATCAGTTGTTATCAGTTATGCTTTGTAGTTTCGTTTTTTTACTTTCGTTTTTAAAAAAACGTTTATCATATCATTGTATTTAATTAATTAATTTCTGTTTTTAATAAAATGATATTTAATTGACCTCTAAATCTATGTGGTTCACCATGCATATACCCCTTCAAATGGTTACGTATAATCCCCTAAATGCTCCAGGCATATTACCTGTACAGCTGTGTCAATCTGCGATCAAGCGTGAAGTGATTTCCTGTGGCTAATTAACAGTTTTTTTAACACCTCGGCAAACAAAGATACTAATCTGTGTGCATTGAATAAACAAGATGTTCATATCCTGATTTATAAAACACAAATCGGAAATTTTAGGATGAATTTTCAGATCTTTCTTGTTAGACAAACATGCTTAATTAATATTGGGTCAAAAAATTTGGATGATCGATTTTGCGGGTGAAAACAATGACACGCCGCGGGTCATTATGAGTGGGGGTGAGAGGTCAATTTTACCCACCGAATGCGGGTCACTTGGCAGGTCTGTCTATGACAACTCTTAAATGCTGGAAATATGATCTTAATGTGAAATATTAAAATCAAATTTGGTCAGGTTGAGTATGCAGTAGTTTTTAGGGGGCAATTTTACAAGAGATAAAATTTGAGAACAATTACATATAGACCTTGCTATTAAAAATATTGATTATCATAATTTGTTGGTAGCCAAGTTATTCTCTAATCCTAAAGTTTAGAACATGAAGACGATCATAAACTGGATGTACCTCTCAAAACATCACAACCAAGGGTTTGTAATCCACACCTCTATTCAGCTCCAAATAAATTCTTGAAGAGGACCCAGAGTGGATTGGAAAAACCTTAATGGCTTTTATTGATATAGGCCCTTTCTCACATAATGCCAAAAGTTGCTGCATTCCATGTATATTGATGCATATTAGAAAAAAAACTATTTGCACTGCCATAGTTATATTACCTTTCTGATAGTACATTTTGGTGTGTGCTGTTGAACAGCATTTTCATGAAGCTTTATACACTTTACAAATTTTCTTGTTATGTTACATATGAACACTGGGCAATATTTTCTTCGCCTATAGACATATATTTACAATTTTAAAAAATTTTCTTTGAAAAAATCTTTTCTTGTAAAATATAAATGATATTTAAGATTATAAAACGAATTTTTAAGACTTTGAATACATGTCCTTTTTTTTAAATTAAATAATGTATATATTTTTATTTCAGTCAAATCATCAACATGTTCCAGTGGTATTCTTAAGTTACAAGTCTCCGAATCCATTTGCACAGCCAGAGGGATTAGGCCCCAATCCCTGTGATGAAGATTATAATGATGGTGTCGACAAAGAATTCCGCTTGGTTTATGCCCTACGCAATATTGATAAGGGATACATGCTTATCGCAGGCATAGCATTAGGCTTTCCTCTGCTATTTCTGTTAAAGATCATCCATTTCTTTTACAAAGAACATGAAGAATTGGAGTATGCATCCAAAGACCTGTGGGAGATGTTCGATAATTGTGTGGAAATCTACAACCATCTTCCTGTATCGACTGAGTGGCTGTATGTGACCTGTCACATCACTCTATTTGGAGGACTTTTGTATTTTCTTTTTGCAAGTAATACCTTTGGTAGACTGTATTACAGTGCTAAACGGGACAGTTATATAGCCATCGTGTACAAGTATGGATTGAAGAGGAAAGTAGAATTCAGTAGAAAAAACATTGAAAGGAAACCTGTGTTTTATGAAAAATTCACTGATAAATTAAGAGTGGACATTGGAAAGAAGAAAAGATATTATGTTTACGAAAGTTGTTTTAGAAACAATACTGAACGAAATAGGTTTTTCTCTGAGATGGCATCTGATGATTATATTGATGAATTGAATCAGTAAACATGTTTTAAAGTGAAACTCACCGTGTAGTTTTTGAAAAATTTTGAACATAAAATAAATACATATATTAACAGATACTGTGAAATCACCTTTTTACACGGCTTCAAGTTTTTGTGGCTTGAAGATATTTTACTTGTTTGAGAAACATAATACTCTATTGCAGTATATGAAATTTTAAAATTGTGTGTGGGATATGACTTAATGAGACTCTTCATACTATAATAACTAAAAACCGGTGGAAAGAAGTGATTTCTCAGTAAAAGTTACTCGACAAATTGATTACATGTCATTTTGCTTTTATCAATAATACATGCTTAAGTGAAAAGTGTCTCAACTTTCTGTTTGTAAACTTTAAAATTTGAGCTGTAGACATATTATTATACCCCACGCAACTAGTTGCGTGAGGTATAATGTTTTTGACCCCTCCGTCAGTCAGTCAGTCCTTTTTTTAGCTCACCTCAACGAAGTTGGGGGGAGCTTATGTGATACCCTCGGCGTCGGCGTCGGAGTCGGTGTCGGTGTGTAAAAGGTTAAGGTTAAGTTTTTTGGAGCATTTTTCTTTTTAATTACTTCTAAGTCCTATATTGATTAGACATGCATGGAATATGGTTCTAGTGTGTTTCATTGTACCAGACAGAGTTTCAGATGCTGCAATTTCAGCAAAGGAATGACAGGTTAATGTTTTTGGAGCAGGTTAACATTTTTGGTGCAGTTTTTGGTGTGGGTTTCATTTCCAAGTAAGTATAAGCCCTATGTTGACCAAACTTGCATGGATGATACATCTAAGGATGCAACTACCGGGCTTGCTTCGCTGAATCTGACCTACATTTTCCGGTTGAGTGAAAAAAGTTTTTGGTGCAGGTTTCATTTCCAAGTAAATAAGCCCTATGTTGACCAAACTTGCATGGATGATACATCTAAGGATGCATACTACCGGGCTTTTAAGATGCTGAATCTGACCTACATTTTCCGGTTTTTTAACAGGTTAATGTTTTTGGTGCAGGTTTCATTTCCAAGGAAGTATATTCTTTAATGACCAATCTTGCATGGATGATACATCTAAGGATGCATACTACCAGGCTTGCTTCAGATGCTGAATCTGACCTACTTTTTGTGGATGAGTGAAAATGTTAGTTTTTGATGCATGTTTCATTTCCAACAAGCTAATTCAGAGAATTCGTGTCCCCCGCTTAGGGAAAAAGTCCCCCCCTGTGAATTTGTAGAATTATTAAATGTATACATGTATACTGAAGGAAATAAAATACATGTATGTCAGTATGCATATAAAGATTTGATTGCTTATTCTTTATTATGTGTATAGAAGATTTTTTCATATGGAATATTTATCACACTGTAATGATGATTTTATAACCTCATAAATTTTTCATTTCACATGCTGAATACTATCATTTAGTAAAAAAAAAAAGTATTTAAAAAAAAAAAGAAAAGAAAAAGAAGAACGATGCAACCGAGACTCGATCCCGGGCCCTCTCACATTTGAAGCGAGAGACATAACCACTAGACCACGGAGTCGCTTTACTCGGAGTGAAGTATATGCAGAACTGAAGTCACATACATGTATATAATTCATGTTTTCATGTTCGGTATTCTCTTTTACACAATCCATGGTGTTTGATTTATTTAGCCTTTATTAAACAGTTCTAATAGATGTAATAAGAACATAAAGTCCGCCGAGAACCTGTTTTATACGAAATAACTCTCCTCATACTCCTGTGCTAAAAATAGCGACATGTAATACTATAAATACTAATAAAACAAACGGGGCGGGGCACTTTGAGAGGGCGAGAGACGTCCTAGGGATTTTTGGTATAAAATTACATTGCATAAGCTCAAAATCTTCCTGAAATATCACCCGGAAATGATAGTGTTACACACAGACAGAATGTATAAATTTACGACCTTGAACTTTGACCTCTTGACCGCAAAATCAATAGGGGTCTTCTTTAGGCCACAGGGAGTGGTTATGTAAAATTTCATTGCAATAGCTCAAATGGTTCTAGAGATATCGTGTGGAAACGATGTGTTTTAACAGACAGAATTTGCTTATTTATGACCTTGACCTTTGACCTTTTGACCTCAAAATCAATGTTTTAAAGTGATAGGGAGTTGCTATGCTAAATTTCATTGCAAAAGCTTATTCTTGAACATAAAATAAATTACATATATTAACAGATACTGTGAAATCACCCAAATTTTTTTTCAAGCGGGGGACTTCAAGTTTTTGTGGATGATACATCTAAGGATGCACACTAATGGACTTGCTTCGGATGCTGAATACTACATATTTCAGTAATATGACAATTTTAAAAGTTGTGTGTGGGATAAAAACTATAAGGCTTATATAACATTGTATAAACCAAACTTGCATAAATGCTGCATCAAGAGATGAAAACTCTCAAATTTGCTTCAGATGCTGGATTATATTTTCATGAAGAAGAACTAGTTTAAATTTTTTATGTAGGTCTATTTCAAAGTATCAGACAAAATTGCTTAAATTTTTCATTTTTGCTTTTAATTGTGTGACAACCTTACTACAACATTCGTTGAGGTGAGCTGAATCTCTGAAGTTTTTTGTCAGCAACTTTCTAAACCGCTTGTAAACTTTAAAATATGCAGGTATTTAGGACACAATGTGTAAATGTGCATATTACCAACTAGGAAATTCCGAGGTATATTTTTTGCCCGCACTTTTTAACTTAGTCAGTGGCCATACCTTTTTTGAACAGTTTGTCAGCGCAACTCCTCATAAACCACTGCACAGAATTTCATCAAACTTTGCAGGTATTTAGGACACAATGTGTAGATGTGCATATTACCAGGAAATTCCGATTCCTTTATTTTTCTTAGAATTTCCGCACTTTTCAACTTAGGCATTTGCCCATACCTTGAATATAGAGATGAACAGTTTGTCAGTGCAACTCCTCATAAACCGCTGCACAGAATTTCATCAAACTTTGCAGGTATTTAGGACACAATGTGTAGATGTGCATATTACCAGGAAATTCCGATTCCTTATTTTTTCTTAGAAAATTCCGCACTTTTCATCTTAGGCATTTGGCCATACCTTGAATATAGAGATGAACAGTTTGTCAGTGCAACTCCTCATAACCCGCTGCACAGAATTTCGTCAAACTTTGCAGGTATTTAGGACACAATGTGTAGATGTGCATATTACCAGGAAATTCCGATTCCTTTATTTCTCTCGTGTTAAAATTGTTTTAACTTAGGCATTTGGCCATACCTTGAATATAGAGATGAACAGTTTGTCAGCGCAACTCCTCATAAACCGCTGCACAGAATTTTAACAAACTTTGCAGGTATGTAGGACACAATGTGTAGATGTGCATATTACCAGGAAATTCCGATTCCTTTATTTTTTCTGGGAATTTCGGCACTTTTCAAATTAGATTTTTGGCCATATCTTGAATATAGTGATGAACAGTTTGTCAGCGCAACTCCTCATAAACCGCTGCACAGAATTTCATCAAACTTTGCAGGTATTTAGGACACAATTTGTAGATGTGCATATTACCGGGAAATTCCGATTCTTTCATTTTTTTCCGGGATTTTCAGCACTTTGAGTTTTGGGGGAGCATGGGGTATGTGAGCTTGCTCACTTTTTCTTTCATTTTTGAAAGTGCTAGATCTCTTGATTATAATTTTTCACAGGTGAAAAGTTCTATTAAATTTGAATTCCTAATCATATTTGCAAAATTTATTAAACAACCCTTATATTTTTTTTGTCTTTAATTAAAGTGATCAAAAAACTAGAAATATGTCCATAGGACATGAATGCCCCGCCAAGGGTATATCAATAAATGCAACATGAAAATTTGAATTTGTTTATGAAATTTCAGAATATCTTGAATAGTGATGCAGTTGAATTGCTTACATCAGAATGTATCAGTATTTGAATTTAACACTAATTTAAGAAGAGTGAGGTCAAGGTCAAAGGAAAGGCCAAGATCAAAAAAAGTTGATGCAGTTGAAAAGCTTTCATCAGTATGTATCAGTATATGTTGTTGAAAAACACTATCTTGAATGGTTTCCTTAAAACTGACTTAATCACAAAAGTGAGGTCAAGGTCAAAGGAAATGTCAAAGTAAAAAAATGTTGATGCAGTTGAATAGCTTTAATCAGTTTGTATCAGCATATGAAGTTTGACACAAATTTAGGAAAAGTGAGGTCAAGGTCAAAGGAAAAGTCAATGTCAAATATTGATGCAGTTGAATAGCTCCCATCAATATGTATCAACGACAGACAGACAGACAGACAGACATTCTTTATTTCCTCTGCAGCAGAGATCAATGCATCAAACTATTAAGTATGTAACAATATTTGAACTTTGAAACAAAAATGTGGAAATATGTACACAAGTTACTGTCCATAATTTAAACACTATGTACATCATTTATCAGTTTTTTTTTAAGTTTTATACTTCATGTAAGTGAGTGTTCATTTCTGTCATCATACGCGCAACGCCAGTTGCAACAGCAAGCATAAACATTTCCCACTCCTCCTCAGATACGACAGAACCACGTCTTGATCCAAGAATGGTATCCGCAATTACGTCGTCACTATTATTTGTGAGGTTAACGTAAGATTGGACATTTATCGCGTTTACTATTTCGTCCATCAAGCTGTCTCTGCTAGCAAATAGCGTTGGACATTCAAGGAGAAAATGCAATGCAATATCACTAGTTGTACGCGTACACAATTTGCAGTTTACCTCCTCTTTAACGATGTCGACCGAGAGTCTAATTACTGAGGCTAATTTCCATATGTGTTTCCGAAACTTCAAACCGAGCTAAACACTCATTTAAGAAAAGTGAGGTCAAGGTCAAAGGAAAGGTCAAGGTAAAAAATGTTGATGCAGTTGAATAGCTCTCATCAGAATGAATCAGCATATGAACTTTGATAACACTATCTTGAATGGTATCTTTAAAACTAAGCTAAACACTCACTTAAGAAAAGTGAGGTCAAGGTCTAAGGAAAGGTCAAGGTTAAAAAAGTTGATGCAGTTGCATAGCTATCATCAATATCTATCAGCCTATGAAGTTTGATGAAAATATCTTAGATAGTTTTTTTTTAACTGAGCTATGAACTGAGTTAAACGCAAAGTGTGACAGAAGGACGGAAGACGGACATGACAAACACTATATGCCACGGCCATATTCATGGCGGGGCATAAAAATTATACTGAGGGCAATAATTGAATTATTGCTAAGTAAAGATATATCTTCAGTTAAGAGTTTAATGAAATATATGGAGATAACGAACAATATATTATTCAAGCTCAAAAGTCCATAAAACAACCCAAAACATCAGAAGTTAATTAAACCTTCCATATATTTCACACAAAGTAAGTGCATAAGTTTTTAGATAGAAAGAAAGGCAAAAAGGAAAGCGACAATTATATTAAAGATTCGAATAGTTTAACTACACGTATTTCTAATTTATAAGTTAAATATTTTATCACTATATATGTATCGAAGTAAAAGAAATTCTAGTTTTTGTTCATATTTGAACTTTACATTACCCAACTCTTCTCATTATTAGTTGGTATTCCCTGATCTTAGAAAGGAACAAGATATGTAACTTTGTGAAACACTGTTGCCCCCCAGATGGCAGCTTATAGCCAAGGTTAAAAAAAAATTCACAAATGCAAGTCAAACTCTGAAGTCAGGAGATGAAAAAATGTTTTAACTCTTAGAAGCCCAACCACCAAACATTCAGAAGTTATGGTCAAAGTTCAATTGCTTTAAAAGTAGCTCAAATTCCAAGGTCAAAGGGTAAAAATTAATGGTATCCAAGGGAAGGTCTTGTCAATTAATCCAAGGGAGGGTCTTCTCATAAGAAAAACGTCTGTGAGATATAAAAGCTCTAGACTAGCACAAAGTGTTCAAGAGTTAAGACAAAGGTTAAATTTTTCTTTTAAAGTCAGTCAAACTCCAAGACCAAGGTCAAATTTGATTGTATCCAAAGGAATGTTGTTACACAAGAAATGTACCTCTAAAATATGAAAGCCCTAGTACTTACTGTTCAAAAGTTATAGCCAAGGTTGTAGTTTTTGAAAGTGGGTCAAACTCTAAGGTCAAGGTCAGAAATATGATTATCTGATTACGGGGGCATTTCTAGACAATCTAATTAAAATCAGACTTCTGAGATCCGCGCCGTATACACTCTGCACAGTGTATACGGCGCGGATCTAAGAAGTCTGGTTCACCCCCCTCCTCTGATAAAAAAAGATTTAAAAATCTAGGTTATATTCAATACATCTAGGTATCAGAGCTGCATGCGGAAATGAAAATTTGAATTATACATGTATTCAAACGAAAACCACTTGCATTCTACTCATAGATTTTACGGAACTTCCTATCGGGTTTTCTCTAGAACTTATTTTTAAAATATTGAGTCCTAGAAACGTTTGACAGAAAGGTGGAAGTGCGCTACTGTATTCATTAACAATGACAACTAGGATTTCCCCTGTTTTGTATTTTCTTATCGAGATCATTCATAATATGAAATGAAATCATCCTTATTTTTTACTGTTTAGCTAAACACGTTACATTTTTGAGGACGTATCGAGAAGTGTAATATGGCTGAAACCGATAGTAATTCACAGTACGATGAATTTATCATAGATTCGTCTAAATTGCAACTGGTTCTTGAAATCCAAAATAAGGTTGAGCAAATGTTCAGTGTCAGTGTTTATGTCGACGAATCCACAGACGTTAAATGTGAAAAGAGCTGGTTGAAACTCGAGGGACAAAACTGTGACAGGAAAAATGCCAGGGTAATGACATTATCTATGAAAGAAAAAAAATCCCTATCACTGAATTTGTAAATCACAGTAGAAATGGAGAACATATGAACTTCTTGACAGTCATTATGATCGTTGAAAATTTTAGATTTACTTGATAAAGGTTAATTGAAAATTTACAGCATTATACCTATTGTGTTGTAAATTTTGCATTGACATACATTCAGTAAATCTAAATAAACAACTTGATTAGTTCACAGTGATAGAGTTGATAGCAAAAAAGGGCACTACATATAAGTCATTGATTTTAGCTCACCTGAGTTTAAGCCTCAGACGACAGATGAGCTTCTCTGATCAAAATTTGTCTGTGTCAGGGTCATAAACTTGTTATTATTTCAATCTCTCCCTCAGAATCAAGGAGCCAGTATCAACCAGTCCTAGTACAGAGCATACTGGGGTTAAGAGGAGATGATGAAATAAGTGAGAATTTCACGCAATTTTCTAGCAAAGGCTTTATTATTTCACATTGTAGGAAAACTACATGTAGATACAAGGTTGTGTAAATCATGACCCTTATTAAGGGTAAGTGGGGACTAGAATAGATAGTTGAACTATAACATAGGAATATGCCAGAAAAAAAAAATCACAAGAAGAGGGACGACATGATTATAAGTCATATAAATATGGAAGCATCCTCAGGTAGTGTATTCTTAAGTATGAATCAGGGGTAGGGCATGACCAATATGAGAAATAAAAAAAAAGATAAGAATATTTCACAAAAAATTCTTCCAAAGAAACAGAGCAAAAAAGAAAAAAATGCTGATGATGAACAGACTTAGATGAGCATTATGGACCATAAGTCTCTTGTTCAATTTCCAATATTTATTGTGGTGAAAGAGAAGACTATGCATCTGTTATTAGAACAAAGTTTTAAAAGCTGATCATGTCCATTGTAAGACATTATTTTTTAAGCTCTTCCAATGTGTCCAAGGAAGTGGAATTTGGAGTTTGAATATGGGCATTTACAAAAGGCAGAAAACATAACCCATCAAGAAAAACTAAAAGTGCCTGTATTTATGATATAATGTTAAATTTTAAAGCTTAACAAATTTTTGGTTTCACTGTTTTAACTTTTCTTTTTTTTACCCTAGGAATACATTTTGGCAGTCTGTCACCCAGAGTCTAAACAAAAACTTCAGATCAAGGACACCAACAGCGAGTTGTTTGATAAAGAAGTTCTTGAAGATATAGAAATACAGACTTGTGCATTGATAACACTCCAGGATAACAATATTGAGATATGTGGCACAGAACTTGCAGTGATTTTAGCAATGACTTCATTGGAAAGTAAAGGAGCAGTAGGTATTGAAGATATGGAAGCTGATGGAGAGACAGAAGAAAAGACAGATTTATCTCAAAAACCCACGGCAAAAAACAGGTGGTCTCGAAAAATGGATTCACAGTTAGAGAGACTCTTGTGTGACCCCAAAAACCGCTCAGAAAGCATGTCAATTAACGACTTTTCCAAAACCTCTCCATCCATTAAGATGACGATTTTGAAGTGTATGCAAGAAATGGATGATATTAGTGACAGTGATTTATTTCCGAGCTGTAGAGATGATGCAGGAGCAGCGCCTTCCTATAGATTACCCATTTATATCGATGATGAAAGTGAGGAAGAAAAAGTAGATAGTAATTCTGCAGATGGAAAAAGTGTGAAACAGTTGGCAGAAAAATTGACTACAGCTCAGATTTCTCCCAGCTCATCCCCTCGACCAGTTAAACAAAAAGGGAGTGGATTTCCTGAAGAGGAATATTTCAGATCCTTTGGGAAAAGTGTAGGATACTCTGAGGCAGATGTGGAAGTTGGATTACAGTTATGTGATGAAAAAACAACACCAGCAGACTTTCTGGGCATATTAAATCAGGTGCAGGAAAATAAAAAAGAGGGAAAAGACACAACTAATGGAGCAACAGCGAATGTTCCTCAAAAGAATAACTTCCCACCTCCTCCTGATGTGCCCTCCCCATCTTCCACCCCAGTAAATGGAAGAAGAAGTCTCCCTAAGGAATACAAGAAAAAGCTTGTGAAAGACTTCTCAGAGGAAACAGCTGACCTCAGTGTTGAGGAGCTGAAGAGGAGAAATGAAGAGAGACAGAAAGTGTTGAAGACGGCCTTTGAGCAGGGATCTAGTAATGTGTCGGATACAAAATCACCACAGAAAAAGAAAAGGAAGAAGAAGAGACGAAAGAAAGGCAGTGGTCCTGTAAAGTTTATAGGTGAAGGATCGAAGGAAGACCCAGCTATTGTCAGTGGCTCTGATGATGATGAAGAGCAGACTAAGGTGATGACTATCTGGAATGAGAATCTTGATGAAGATTCAGAAAGTGATGACTGTATGATTGTAGATGAAACATTCCCAACCACTGCCCCTTCTAAGACTACTAACCCAGACAAAAGTTCAAATCAACCTAAGGCTGTAGTCCAAAACCAGCCAGAAATTAAACAGAAACCTTCAGGAAGTGATCAACCCTCTAGTTCAGATACTTTTCAGAGTACAGACTCTAGCCAATCCTCAGGGGAACCATGGAAAGTGGTTCAAAATCAAAAAACAGGGCAGCGACAGTTAAGATTTGACCAACCACCCCCTCCTCTTTTCCCCACAAATCCAGGTGATTTTCAATTTAATAGAGGACCATCAAATACCAGAGGGGTTTCCCGATGGGACGTACCTCCTCCAAACTTGGGACAAAAAAATTTGTATCCTCAGCAAAATCAAATTCCTCCCCCCGCTGTTGTTACTGCCCCAGTCTTGGGTGCTGGAGGAGCCCCTCCTAACCAGCAAAAGAATCTACGCTATGTCGTAATCGATGGCAGCAATGTGGCTATGAGGTAAGAAAATGATAAGAAACACATGTAAATAATGAAAGTTTTAAAAGTTGTATTTTAAAGTTGAAATTTATTAAATTTATTCAAATGTTGAAAGGTGGCTGAATTTGAAGTACATTGTAATATTTGCTACTTTTTTTCAGTCATGGATGTGGTAAAGTATTTTCCTGTCGGGGCATTAAAATAGTAATAAACTACTTCCTCCAGCGGGGACACACCCAGGTCACAGCTTTTGTTCCAGAGTGGAGGCGATATCGCGAATCCAGTGATGTTAGAGAAAAGTATCTACTAAATCAAATGCAGGAGGAGGGACATGTAGTTTTCACTCCGTCAAGGAGAGTTAACAATAGACTCATAGCATCTTATGATGATAGGTAATGAAGAACAGAGAATGAATAAATATTTATTCAATTACCTTTAATCCCAAAAATTTAAAATTTAAATGAATAAAGTAACATTTCATATCTTTCTTGCATGTAATTGAGATGTGCTGGAATTTGTTCACTTTTGTGTCATTTGAAAGAAAGATTATTTGATTGCAAAAACATAAAAGCAAGCAACTTTAATGTCGTAAGAATATTTTAGCAGTAGGAGAGTTATTTCATGATTCAGCAAACCTTTTCTTTCCACAGATTTATTCTGGAGCTGGCTGAGAGAGAGGATGGTATAATCGTATCCAATGATCAGTACCGAGACCTGATGCTGGAGAAAAACAGCTGGAAGAAAATTATTGAAGACAGGTAAGGATTGTCTTGTTGAGTTCCTTGAGGCCAGAAATCTAAGAACAGTCCTGAATATGTTTTGCTGGCATGATAAGAGGTCACATGAATAGATGGAAAACAAGATGTGTTTATGAATCACTGATGTCCTCATTATATCACAGTTATTGGCAAATGTAAAAGTTTCTGAAGTGCAAGTCAAACTTCAAAGTCAAGGTCAAGAGATTAAAATGTATTACCATAAGGACTTGTCTCAGTGATTTTACCTTTGAAATATGAAAGCCAAAGCACCAACTATTCGAAAGTTATGGCTAGGATTAAACTTTTTAAAATGTGGGTCAAACTCCAAGGTCCAGGTCAAAAAGTTAAATTAATGGTACCCAGAGTAAGGCCTTGTCATTAAAAATATACGTTTGAAATATTTAAGTCCTAGTACAAACTGTTCAAAAGTTGTAGCCAAGGTTAAGATTTTCAAAAGAAGGTCAAGTTCTAAGCTCAAGGTCAAAAGGTCAGAATTGTTGGTATCCAAACAAAGGCCTTGTCACATGGAACCCATCTGTTAAATATGAAGGCCCTAGTACCAACTGTTCAAAAGTTAAGGACAGACGAGATGTTCCTTAATAGTAGATAAATTTTTCTAACAGTTTGTCATTAAAGTACTGTAAATCACTTTTTATTCGCGAGAACTTTATTTTCGCGTAATTACGCGAGACAGTGTGCTCGCGAAAATTTAATTCTCGCGTATAATAGTATTCCTTGAGATTATATAGAGCAATAACCACAATTTGTGAAAATTTTGTCTCGCTTACCAAGAGTCAATGACTATCTCGTGAAAAAAAGGTGTCGCGAAAATTTAGTGATCTACAGTATTGTTACTAAAACATGTTTACTCACAAAAAATTGAGGTACCTTACCAGGCATTTCTGCAAGATACCAGGGTAGTTTTTCTTATATAATCCTTTGGCGAAGATAAATAATTTTCAAATTTCAAATGTTTAAGTGTTTGGATTTTTTAAAAACGTTTAGAAACTGGTTTAGAAATCAGAATGTTATGAAAATTTTGAATATTTTTCATACATTACGAAGATATACAAAACAGATTTTGAGGAACGTCTAGTCTGACCTTAAGGCCAAGGTTAAGTTTTTTAAAAGTGGGTCAAACTCAAAGGTCAAGGTCAAATATATTTACATACCAGTATTCAGGTCTTGGCTAAACAAATATACATGTAAAGTGTTAAAGTCTTAGCTCCACCTGTTCAAAACTTATGAACAAAAGTTTAATTTTGAAAAATATGTGAAAACTCCAAGATCAAGGTCAAAAATATGTTACCTAAAGAAAGGCCTTTTCACAAGGAATACACTTGTGAAATATGAAAGTCATAGCTAAGACCTTTGAAAAGTTATGAACAAGGTTAACATGGTTAATGTTTTTGTGGACTTATAGACAGGTGGAAGGATGGACAAGACAAAAACAATATACCACGAATCTTTTGACGAGGGCATAAAAATATAATAATTTCCTAGTATACATGTAGTTAAATAAACCAGTTGATTTAATTCAGCATCGGGACCTCTTGTAAGATCCATTTTCTGTTCTTCACGCTTACCTTGTACTATTATTGTTTATTGCAGACTTCTCCTATTCTCCTTTGTGGGAGATAATTTCATGCCACCCTTTGATCGGGGCCACAATGGGGAATCAAAGTTTTACATAGAAATATATAGGAAAAATCTTTGGGGAAAAGCTGAAACTTATGTGGAAGCCCTCGGAAGGCATGGTCCAAACTTAGATGAGTTTTTAAGTAAAACACAGGGTAGGAAAAGGTATATTTATATGTATATAAAACTTGGTTCAAATTAAGATAACATCAGAATTCAGAATTCTTTAAAATCTATTCCAATCTTTAATTCTATTTTCTCTTTATAAAATGGCTACAAACCAGTAGAGCTAGAGTGTTAATGTTTGCAGAGATTTCTGATTTCTTTGAAAATCTAAAGAAGCTTAATTTTGACAATAAGATTCCAAACTGTCTAAGGGAATATTGGTAACTTAAGCAAAGATACCTTGGAAAAGCCAATATCACAGAGTTTAGCAGCATAAAAGTTCTGTCTTTGCTACAGTTTAAATGTAGGCATAGCAAGTAGAAATTCAGATGCACAAAAGTTGTTCAATTACGTGAATAAACCATGAATATGTCATAGAAATTTTTTATTATTGTGTGCTTGATGTATATTTTATTAACGTTGAGATAATATTTTTAATTTTTGTAGACATACTGTTCCATACTATCAGGAGAGAAACCCACAGATCAATGCATGGAATGCTGGGAAGAGGCAGCGTGAAAATTTCAACCCAAGACCTGCAACCCAACCATATCCTGGGGGCCCTCCAGCACGTGCCTGGGTCAGGCCCCAGTATTTACAGGGGCAAAGACAAAATAACAATCAAATGCAGCAGGGGGGTCAAGGAAGAGGGGGCGGGGGGAGAGGTCAAAGTCCCCAGAAACCTGCAGGACCCCTGAGGAATAAAGCCAAAACTAAAGAAATAGAAGATCAGCTCAGAGCTATATTTCCTGAAAATGGAGGAAAAATCAATGAAATTCTGCAGAATCATCCTTATGAAACGGATGTGGAGAAACTATCAAATTATTTAATGAATGCTGTTTTTTCAACGTAAACAGTAAACTTGCTAATAAATATGTGTACATACTGCACATGAGTTTGAAGCACCACAATTCTTTCCAATTCCAACTAGTCTTTTGATGGTCTGATGTAAATCAGATTGTCACTGTATGAAAAAACCAATACTTGGTGTAAAATTGTGCTTTGTAAAAGTGCTGTTCATTGATTTTCATTTGCAAAATAAAACTTTTTTTCTGTATGTCAAGTAACATGTTCACTAGATTGCTGATGTGATGGACATTGTTGAAGAATCGAGAATATTTGCAATATCAACTTTCATAACAGCATTAATCATGAAGAATTTAATCAAAAATATTAGTGGAGATGTATTGATGCTCATGCACATGTATTATAAGGCAGCATTATTATAAAATGAATTTGTTGAAGCACATTTATAAAAGAATACCAGTACCATATAGGAGGCCACATTACATTGTATTTAACTAATGCATAGATTCACTTTTTTGTGCCAGAATAGCCATCATTAAAATTGCTTTTTGAGAGATTTCAGTTTATTTAAGAAATGTATTTCAGCTAAGGCAGTTCTTGAAGGTACAATTTAAATCATTCCACCCAGGCACATGTGTACATGTATTTCCATATGAACTTTGAAATAACACTATGCATAACTTATATTTACATTCCAAATATTGATTTGTATCATTTGAACACAGAGATTAGATTGGAGCTCTCTGACTGCAGTTCTATTCCTTGTCAGTTTGTAATCCATGGCTGTGTATAAGAATTTCTTTCAAAGGAATCTTGAAGAGAAAATAATCTTAAGTAATTAATACATGTACCTTGTATGAAGTCATCTAATGTCCTTTGGATGGAAATTTTTAGCCATCATAACCAGATTTGAGAATCAACATTTGATAAATATTTTTTGAACTGTTCAGCTTGTCTAAAATGACTGGATTTTAACTAGATCTGATTGAATGTTGAGATACATGTATATTACATGTAAAGGCCACACCCTTGTTTAAGACACGCAGGGGAAAATCCTGAGAAAAAAGGCACAAACTTTTGAACAATTTTTGACATAAAAAAGTGAAACCTATCCATATGACATTACTGTATATGGAGAAAAAAAAAACAAGAGGCCCACGGGCCTTATAGGTCACCTGAGTATCATGTAACAACTTTTGAACAATTGAATTTGGTTCATGTTTTAAACCAGAAGCCATGAAATTCACAATTTTAAAAGATGCACCATTGCTCATCATAATGACACACTTAGCTTGCTTACTCTAGTTACTTAATACCCAGGGGTAGATCAGAGTAACAAAGAAAAAATGCACTACCAACTTATAACCAGTTGTGAACCCCACCCTAAAAGAACCACTGACCCTGGGGCCACATATTTCAAAATTTTGGAAATTTTATCATAAATTTTATTTCATCATAAATGGTTGATTAATACTAAAGAGCAGATTTCAAAGCATTAATTTATTTTCAGACTATGTAACCCCCCCCCCTACCCCTGACCCAGGGGGCATGAAATTAACCATTTTGATAGAGCACTTTTTTTCATCATAACTACATATACTTAGATCATTGGCATAATACCCAGGTGCAAAGGAAAAGATTTTCAAAGAATTAAAGTAATTTCATTATATAATCAAAAGACCCCACTTACACAAAATGGGTAAACCCCTGACAAAGGGGCCATGAAATTTACAAATCAGGTTGAGGCACTCTTGCTCATTATAATTATATACTAATTTAGTGTAACGGGATAGCGCTTAATGGCTATCCCACTTCTGACACCAAAAATTGTAACGGGATAGCGCTCAATGGCTATCCCACTTCTGACACCAAAAATTGTAGCGAGATAGCGTCCAACGACTATCTCATTTAAGTATTGCTATAGTGGTTCTAGAAGACAGGAGTAAACTCCCTTTTTAAACACTGAGTCAACAACTGTAACTCGAAATTTAAGTTTTATAAATTTATTGAGTCTGCAAAACCAACATGAACAATTTTAATGCAAAAAAAATAATATCCAAGCCTTTTAACCACCCTTTTTACTTGACAAATATCACAATATTAATTAAATTCCAAATAAATAGCCGGATCTCGAAATAATCGAAATATATGGCTAAATGACTAAAATCCTATCTTTTAAACTTAACTATCAATGAATACAAATGGAAATTTAGATACGATCGGATCCTGAAATAATCAAGATATATGATCGTAAATAAACCCCCAAAGCTGTAAAAATTAAACTTTCCCTAATTAAATTAATCCAATTACCAAATTACAATTAACTGATTTAACAATTAGCAAACAATTACCAATTTCGTCTAAAAGCCCAAAATAATTACGTTAACCCTAACATCAAAAATAGCAGACTCCCCGATTTACGGAAGAATCTCCCCTTTTATACTCTAGTGAAAATTCGTATACAAAACTCTTACGAATTCGTATAAACTCTTACGAATTCGTATAAATTCTACGGAATATACGGAAAATCTTATACGGAAAATAGTTCCATTAAGATAATTAGAACAAAATAATTATTTCACCATAAAATAACTTGACTTTCATTCATTCAACAATAATTAATTAATTAATTACCTTATAACTGTACATTTTCACTTCTATACAAAACTCCAGGGCGTATAAATATACACCGCGGATCAAGAGAAAAATAAACCGGAAGTATACCATAATGCAATGCGCCGCCATGTAAATAGAAAAATAGACTGTCTGCAAGCCTACAACACGTGTCTGCACAATACAGGTAAAATACCAGTGAAAAACGTAATTTAAACAAAACATCTAGTGTTCCATACTCTTTTAACAGCATTTATACAATTATTTCAACAAGGACATCATTAAATACGAAAGGATATGCATGTATTACATGTACTCGTTCTACTTTCACTTTGCATACGATGACATGAAAAGTTGTGAATCCAATTTTAGAACCTCACATAATAAATGTACAATACATACGATCAAATTACTCAAATCGTGAACCATATAAAGTGTTAAATTAGTATGCCTGGATATGTAATTTAAATACAAATAAAACATGGGGACTTGAAATGACCAAACTTTACACTACCCCTCCGTTTAAAGATTCATGTCCTCATGAATAATAATACTATGGCAATGCCATTACAGAAAAATATGTATAGTTCATGAGATTGTGAATATTAATAACAAAAAAGCATTCATAACAAGTTATCAACATGTAAACTGCTCATCAATTCCCTCACGAAATTTTCTATAATATACATCAAGTTCACCTCAATGGTACCTTAATATGTTATACCTTTATAACATTTTACACATATACAGTCATGTCTGTATTAACAAAAATCCACCCCTAACCCACATCTACTTAAACAGTTTACCCAAATTTACATTTTCATCCATATAGATTATGCAAAACACTAACAATACAAATTCAATTTAATCTTAACTATAATTTCCTTACTTCCTCCTATTAAATTCTGCCTGGTATCCATTCCTCTGCCTTACTGGAGACCTGGATCTTCTTGTAGATTGATGCGCAAAGTCACTCCTTGTATATCGGTTAGGTTCACTCCTGACTGTTTGTTATCTAGAATTTACTGCTCAAATTTGTTGATCTTGTCCTTCAAGGTCACATGTTTCCAAACTCTGGCCAGGAGTATGGAAACAGGGATCTTGTTCCACGCCGGATCTCTGCAAGAAAGAACTACACATTTCAAAAGATTTTTCCAACATATAAATCTGTAAGTCTTAAACAGGTACAATGGAATTTCCATCCCCCTTAGTATTGTTCAATTGAGCAGAGTTATTCCCCTTTTGGGAGTTTTCAGTCAACTGTATCCTTCTAGTTGGCTGGTGACTTTGTTCAGAGAGGCTTTCTGAAGACAATATCACTTCTACATTTTGAGGATCTACAAGTTCAGCTTCCCCTAAAATTTCATCTTGTTTGATAATAACATCTGTCTTGAAGGGATTCATTACCCTTATCTTTGCGCAAACTTTATTTTCTAAGTCTGTCAAACATGACGCCATCAGAAGAGAAAATCTATTGTTGAAATCTTCTGAAGGTTAAATACAAAATACATAGTAGGGTAAATTCTCGTCACTTTCAAACCTGTCAACAAAAACATCAATTAATTGCTCACTGTATGCAGGAATTGTAAAATTCTCTGCAGCTAAGACCCTTCTAGTTTTCTCTGTCAGTTGCCTGACCTTGATTTTATTTCCTCTGAAAGTAATGAAATTGTCATGTAATTCTATTTTAACAGGTCCATTTTCTTTTTTTAATAAAATATCTAATCCTAAAAGAGCTTCATCTTGAATTTCAGCCACAATAATTTCCTCTGTGAATTTTACGTGGCCCAGTTGAACTTCAAAAATGGCTTTACCCAACTCATTCAAGGGTTCCCCATTAACACTAGTTAATGAATTTGACTGTTTTAGTTGTGGTCTTGATTCTCTGGGGATTCTTTCAAAAATCCTTTTAGATATGATTGACCTTGTAGCTCCTGTGTCAGTGGTCCATTCTATTTCTACACCCTGTACGGAACCACTTATATATATGCCAGGACTCCCATTTATCTGCCTGAGGATGTATTCAAGAGAGGAACCATGGTGCTGAAGATCTTCAGAATTAGTACATTCATCTTGTACTGGTCTACAGGAATCTTCCTGACCACACCTGTGGATTTCATCTGCAACAAAATCATGACTCAAACTTGGATTATCAAACGAAAATAAATTGTAGTTTACCTGACCTGCATTTACATATGACACTGGGCAGTCTACCTGACTGTCTCCCAGGTCACATGTACTATCCCGGCAGTCTACCTGACTACCATCAAGGGATTCAGAAATTGGATCCACCCCCCAGTCTTCCTGACTGAATCCATGACTTGCTATCCCAGGTACCACCCCACAGTCTACCTGACTGTGTCCAAGACTCGCAATTCCGGGTACCACCCCCCAGTCTTCATGACTGAATCCATGACTTTCAAAATCCGGTACCACCCCATCCGACTCCACTTTGAGTACTAAATTCAGCTGCTGTTCAGCAGTATGAAGTTTGTCCAAGTTTGTGTTACACCTATCCACCGTTATGATATTTGTAGAACCTTTTCCTTCAGCACCAGGGTTGTCCTCTGTTTTCTTTTGGCTAAAATTAGAATAATTGTTGTCAATATTAACAGAACAATCAAGAGTTGGGCCATTTTCAAAATTCAACTGGGTCATCTCTCGGCCAACAGAGCTGACCCGTTTTAGTTTAACGAAGGCTTGAAGACATTTGCACCAGGATTTAATGGTGCATTATTATGCATCACTTCTTGCTTTTTCTCACTGGAGCAGTTTCTGGCAAAGTGCCCTTGCTCACCGCATCTAAAGCAAATTAAAGGTTTCCTGGGCCGTTGCACTTGACTTCCACTGTTGGGCTGAACTGCAGTTAAAACTTCTTGGATGACCTGTTTCAGCTCAGTTTTTGTTATAAAATCTGACTCAGATCCCTTTTGGCCTTGCTTATCTAAGTTACTAGAGGGGCTCTTCCCTTTGGATTCTGTGTGTTGTTCTCTTTTATTCCATTTTTTCGTATGGCTTTTGCTATCCTTGTAAGAAGTTTCTCCTTGTGACAATTAATCCTTACTACTCAACACTTGTCTTACAGGTCCTTTGCGGGGGGCATACTTTCGCTCATCATCTGCTCTAGGGTATCTAGTAGCTTCCTCATACTCAATGACGAACTCCGTAGCCTCCTCAATTGTAAAAGGATCCCGGTTCAATTCTACGTGTAAACGAGCTTTCTCACTTGATAAACCAAGTAAAAATCTGGAGACTAAGTCCTCTTGTTTTGTTTTGTTACCCCTATCTGGATAGGCCTTATTGTATAGACTCTTAAGTTCTACTGCATAATCCTGCACAGATTCTCCATTTTTCTGGTCTCTGCGTCTAAATTTAGTCTGATAGGTCTTGTTGGTCTCAATAATACCAAAACGACTTTCTAATTCTTTGAGGAGTTTCTTGTAATTGGACAAAATGGTTGGTCCTAGCTCCTCAAACACAAACTCACCTGCATGACCTTGTAACCTTGGCAACAATTGACCTAGTTTTTCTCTGTCTGTCCAACCATTGTGTTGAGCTACTGCTTCAAACCTGTTTATATAAGCTTTCCACTTCTCATCAGACTCTCCCTTAAAGGCTGGAAGTTTTACTGAATGACTGGAATTTCTGTTACCAAATATCTTTGGGGTTGACCTGGATCCACTTGACTGTGCTGTTCTTTCGTCGTCAGTATTCGAGTCCTCATCAAGCTCAGTAGTAGTATAACCAGTGGCTAATGGTAGCCTCATCCTTGATGTCTTTCTGTTAACTCTGCAAACTGATGTAGGTTTCCTCCGGATTTTACTTCTCCCTCTAAGTCCTTGATCATCTCTGTTGGTTTCTCTTTCTTGAGTGGCTTGACTGTCTTGGTTGCTATTGCTAAGGATCTTACCTAAATCACCTGTCATCCTGTGGAGGGCGCTATTGATTGTTTGGCTGAGACTGTCAACTATACTACCTTCATTGATGGTGACTTGATCCTTTTGAGTATGTTTTCCTTGGTTTACCTGGCTGACTTGGATCGTGTTACTCACAACCTTACCTAGATCTTCTGTCATTCTGTTGAAAGCTCCATGGATAACTTGACTTAGACTGTGAATTAAACTCTCATTTATATTTCCTAACTCACCCTTTTGACTTGAGTGATCTCCCTCTGCCAAAGAAGTCATTTGACTGTTATATGGGGCATTGCTTGGACCAGTCGTAGTACAAGTTGTGTGATTACTGTTTGTACCAGTATAAGTTGGACTCAAGCCTAAGCTTGCAACTTTGTGTGGAGTCTGTACTATAATCTTTGGGGAAAGTACCCTTTCATGTGTGGGGCATATGTACTCATTGACTACTTGGTCATCTTCCGATTCTGTCAAGTTCTCCCCATCACTTGTTTCAGTGAGGTAATGTATCTCATGGGTTATTGGCTTTGGTGCCACTTTGGTAATTTCCTGTGTCTTTAATTTATTTATTTCATTCTCCGTCATATTTCTATTCTCCTCTCCATGAAGAGCTGCTTGACGTCTTGTATACATGACTCAGTGGTTAAATATTAAAGAACCAATTCTAAAGATGAGTTCGTATCTCTGGATCCACTCCTTGAATTTGTGGATCCCACTTCTGACACCAAAAATTGTAACGGGATAGCGCTTAATGGCTATCCCACTTCTGACACCAAAAATTGTAACGGGATAGCGCTTAATGGCTATCCCACTTCTGACACCAAAAATTGTAACGGGATAGCGCTTAACGACTATCTCATTTAAGTATTGCTATAGTGGTTCTAGAAGACAGGAGTAAACTCCCTTTTTAAACACTGAGTCAACAACTGTAACTCGAAATTTAAGTTTTATAAATTTATTGAGTCTGCAAAACCAACATGAACAATTTTAATGCAAAAAAAATAATATCCAAGCCTTTTAACCACCCTTTTTACTTGACAAATATCACAATATTAATTAAATTCTAATAAACAGCCGGATCTCGAAATAATCGAAATATATGGCTAAATGACAAAAATCCTATCTTTTAAACTTAACTATCAATGAATACAAATGGAATTTTAGATACGATCGGATCCTGAAATAATCAAGATATATGATCGTAAATAAACCCCCAAAGCTGTAAAAATTAAACTTTCCCTAATTAAATTAATCCAATTACCAAATTACAATTAACTGATTTAACAATTAGCAAACAATTACCAATTTCGTCTAAAAGCCCAAAATAATTACGTTAACCCTAACATCAAAAATAGCAGACTCCTCGATTTACGGAAGAATCTCCCCTTTTATACTCTAGTGAAAATTCGTATACAAAACTCTTACGAATTCGTATAAACTCTTACGAATTCGTATAAATTCTTACGGAATATACGGAAAATCTTATACGGAAAATAGTTCCATTCAGATAATTAGAACAAAAGTAATTATTTCACCATAAAATAACTTGACTTTCATTCATTCAACAATAATTAATTAATTAATTACCTTATAAATGTTCATTTTCACTTCTTTACAAAACCCCAAGGGCGTATAAATATACACCGCGGATCAAGAGTAAAATAAACCGGAAGTATACCATAATGCAATGCGCCGCCATGTAAATAGAAAAATAGACTGTCTGCAAGCCTACAACACGTGTTAGCACAATACAGGTAAAATAAAAGTGAAAAATGTAATTTAAACAAAACATTTAGTAGTTCATACTCTTTTAACAGCATTTATACAATTATTTCAACAAGGACATCATTAAATACGAAAGGATATGCAAGCATTACATGTACTCGTTCTACTTTCACTTTGCATACGATGACATGAAAAGTTGTTAATCCAATTTCAGAACATCACATAATAAATGTGCAATACATACGATCAAATTACTCAAATCTTGAACCATACAAAGTGTCAAATTAATATGCCAAGATTTGTAATTTAAAGACGAATAAAACATGGGGGACTTGAAATGACCAAACTTTACATTAGTTTATCTAATACCCAGGAGCAGAGAGGAAGATTTTCAAAGAATTAATGCATTTTCGATATATAAACAATAGAGCCCCACTCTAACACCAGAACCCTTGACCCTGGGGCCATGAAATTCACAATTTTGGTAGAACCACTCTTGCTCATCATAACTATGTACTTAGTTAGTTTATTTAATACCCAGGAGCAGAGAAGAAGATTTTCAAAGAATTAATGCATTTTCACTATATAATCTATAGAGCCCCGCCCTAGCACTAGAACCCCTGACCCTGGGGCCATGAAATTCACAATTTTGGTAGAGGACTCAATGCTCATTACAATCATACCAACAGTTTGACTGCTTGATGTGCAGGAGTAGAGAAGAAGATTTTTAAAGATTTCATTAATTTTAGTGGTTTTGGCCCCACCCCTCAGGCCCCAGGGGGGTGGGGACCATGAAATTCACAATTTATGTTCCCCTTCACCCATAGATGATGTATACCAAATTTGGTTGAAATTAGTTCAGTGGTTTCAGAGAAGAAGCTGAAAATGTTAACACGTACACGACGACGGACGAAAACGGATAGCAATAGGTCACCTGAGTGACTCAGGTGACCTAAAAAGAGTTCAATTTTCAAACTTTTTTGGAATTATAGGACCTTTTCACACAGCATAGCCTGGCCTGTATAATTCCGTCAGTATCTGCACTATTTATGGGAAAAGTAAAACACCTGAGTTTATTTTATACATACACTGTATGTCTGCATTTCCATTAATCTTCAACTCGAATTTTTGAGTGAAGAAAGCACATATCGCAATAAAATGTGGTTTTGATCATTCTTCTTTTTCATCATTTGTATTTTTTGTTAAGTAAATTGTAATACGCGATAAGTCGTGGTATTTCATATTTGTACGATATCCAACACACAATGTGAAATAAGTTGTAAAAGGAAGGAAGTCAATACATGTATCTATATCAAAAAGGAAGTATATCTTTGTTCACAGACTGAATATGGGTTTCACATCAACAAAATCTAACATTTTATAGTTTCTGAAATTTTTATTGAAACATTAAAACAACTGTTGGTCAACCACATAGACTATCACATCTTTAATTTCATTCTGACAACATCAGGATATACCGTATAGCGGGTTATTTTAGCGGGGTGCTAATTTTGGCTTATTTTGGTGTTTTGATGGCAGCCCGCTAAAATTTTAATCGCTAAAATAGTCAATTAACAGTTAATTTAGTCTTCGTAGTGTACATCTGCGAGGAGATGAAACCCTGTGCCCGCTAAAATAAATTACGCCAAAATTATTGGTATACCTTTCAGCAGGCAAAACGCCAAATTTTACACCCGCCAAGAAAACCCGCTATACGGTAAGCTCTATTCATAATCAACCGTGAGCATGTACCTTGAATTGCACAGTGGTATACATGTTTAGACATTCATAGTTAAAATATAAAATACCTTTTTTCATTTAGCAGAGACGAAATTGATGCAATTTTTGAATGCATGGTGTAAAAGACGTTACAATATGTACATTTAAATACATCTGCCACCTACTTGGTTTCTAAGCAATGACATTCATGCAAATGAAGAATAATTTTTTTGAAACTACATGTACACGGTACATTATTATTTTTCCCTAAATACATTTTATAGAAATAAAAAATTGTATATGAGCCATGTTAACAAAAGCATCAATGAACCAGGTTCTGCATGAACATTTTCTAAACATTAACGATTGATTGCACCTAGCAAAAAAGAAATGTTAATTCACTTTTCTCATATCTCTAAACAATTACAATATATACATGCATATATGTATGTATAATGTCAAAATTCTTGAAAATATTTTCAACCTGAACTCAAAAAATGGCAAGTGTAAAAGAAAATTTTTTAAAAATAAAAGTCAACATTGCATCTAATAATTATATAAAATGAAAAAAAGACAGAGACACTTAAATCACATCATACTTTTGCGATTTGAAAATGTCGGAAACAAAAAAATAACAAATGAATTTTTTAACCCTTTATAGATGTATATAAAATATTCCATGCAACTATCACCTGGAGATTTAATTTTATGAGGCAGAATGGTTTTCAAAGTACTGAATATAATGCATGAGAAAATGGAAAGAGTAGACAATGTGTCTACAAAGCAGATAACATAAATCCTAAATGATTTAATATAAATTAATTAATTTAGTATGATGTGCAAGGCAATACAAAATGCATGGTTTGTGACTAAGTGTTCAATATTAAATAAGGCCAAGGCAATGTCATGTATTTGTTGTTCACCAACAGTAATTTCAGAAGATCATGAACATGAACAATGGAGTATCCACTAAAGTACACACAGGCTTTTCTCAGACTGTGAAGTGCAGACACCAGATTCTTGATCAAGTGTCTGAAAAAAGAAAAACAAATGTGAAATTTACAGCAACTGTGTAAAGACACTAACGAGTCTAAAGTTCTGATGAAAAATGAAAGACAACTGTACAAAATATACTAGGATTTAAGGTGACATACATATGAATCAAGCCACCGTTTTGGTTAACCTAAAAGCAAACTGAGACATAAATAACAACATTCTTAAGAAGTATCAATTCTGCACCAATTTAGAGCACATGTGCAATGTTAATATGCCTGTTTTCAGAAAGACCTTCAACGTTGAGTCTTGAGGGTTACGGGTTTATACACTGGTGCTTTTGAGCGAGGTAGAGGTGGATTTCCGATGATGATATCTGCTGCTTTTTCAGCAATCATAATTGTTGGTCCATTTAAATTGCCACTGACAACACTGGGCATAATGGAAGCATCCACGATCCTCAATCCCTCTACACCATACACTCGTGTATTGGGATCAACGACAGCCATGGGATCTGTCTCCGATCCCATCTTACAGGTACAGGAAGGATGATATGCACTGTCAGCCATATTGCGATTATATTCATCGATCTGTTCGTCTGTCTGAACGTTGTCTCCTGGAGCTAATTCAGGACCTCTATAAGGATCAAATGCCTTCTGCTGGAAGATTTCTCTTGTTAGCTTTATGCTGTCTCTCATTTCACGTATATCCAGTTCAGTTGTAAGGTAATTTGCAACCAACCTTGGATGTTCCTTGGGATCAGCAGATTTCAGCTTCAGGTATCCTCTGCTAGTTGGTCGCATGGGTCCTACATGAGCTTGGTAAGCATGTCTGTCTCCTGGTTTCCTTCCATGGTCGTTGACGGTAGATGGTAGAAAATGGTATTGAATGTTGGGATGTTCAACTCCGGGCTCACTCCGGATAAATCCTCCAGCCTCCAGATGAGCTGTTGCTCCATCCCCTGTCTGCCTCAGAAACCATTCCATACCAATCTTAACCATTACATGAGGAAACTTCCACTGGGCCTTGTAAAGTGTGATTGGCTTTTTGCACTCTTGTTGAACATACACTTCTAGATGATCCTGAAGGTTTTCACCAACCCCTGGTAGATGCTGAACAACAGGAATATCCAATTTTCGTAGATCGTCTGCATTTCCAATTCCAGACAGCATTAGAAGCTGAGGGGAATTGATTGCTCCACCACTGAGTATGATTTCCTCCCCATACACAGTCTGGATGTCTGAATGCCTTTCATATTCTATGCCTACTGCCCGCTTGCCATTAAATATGATGCGTCTTGAAAGAGCATTGTTTAGTGTAGTCAGGTTGGCTCTTTCTTTTAAAATAGGATGTAGATATGCTGCTGCAGAACTGCACCTCTTGCCTTTACCAATGGTCATGTCCATCCATCCAAATCCCTCCTGCTGGTAGCCATTCATATCGTCTGTGTATGGGTACCCTGCTTGAATTCCAGCTTCTATAAATGCATTGAAGAGAGGGTTGTTTGTCTTTCCTCTGGACACCTGGAGTGGACCATCACCACCTCTATAATCATTTCCTCCCAATTCATGGCACTGAGCTTTACGGAAGTATGGAAGGCAGTCTGCATAGGACCATCCCTTTGCTCCCTCCTTCTCCCACCTATCATAGTCCAAAGCATGACCTCTGATGTAGACCATTGCGTTGAGGGCAGAGGAGCCTCCCCAGACACGACCTCTTGGCCAATACATGACACGGTTGTTCATGCCTTTCTCTGGTTCAGTATGATAATACCAGTTGTACTTGTCGTCACATAGATTGTACATTAAAGCAGCAGGCATGTATATCTTCCAGGAATCCCAAGACCACAAATCCCGAGGCCCAGCCTCCAGGAGAAGGACACTTTTAGCTGGGTCAGCAGTCAAGCGATTAGCTAGGGTACATCCAGCAGAGCCTGCCCCAACAATGATGTAGTCATATTTGTTGTCCTTAGAAGAGATGTGATCCATTCTCCAACTAGATGTGCTAAAATATCTACGAGACTGATGCAAATGAGAACCTCTAGATGATGATGAAGATGATGGAATGCTTGAAGCAAATAATTTCCTACCTGCTCTCTGAGCTTGTTGTTTTGTGTTAGTTTGATTTTCATTTTGTAGTATGATATCAGAAATCCCTTCTATGCTAGGAATGATATTGTCTGCATACAGCTTCAATTGCTCCTCTGAACCCACACCTGATAAGACTCCTATTTTCTGCTTGACAAAAGCAGACTGTCCCATCTGAAGATCTCCAACAGAATCTCCCACAACAATAGTCCTAGACGGACTCACATGTAATTCATCACATATCAACAAAGTGTTGTGCCCTGAAGGACGAGGCTGAGAAATTGGATCGTCCCCACATATCAGCATATCCACATATTTAGTCAACCCCAAGTTCATCAAGTCTGAAATTACAAATTCTCTCGGTTCACCAGTATTGATGGCAATTTTCATTCCATTTTGCCTCAGTTCTTGGAACAGTCCCTCAATATTGGAACACAGTGGTGATGGCTCAGCTTTCAGAATGACATCTGCTTCTTTCCATATCTGGTTGACAATCATGATGGCTTCTTCATAGAAGATCCCCTCCCTTCTCAGAGCCTCCACCAGGGCCCCTCTGACCTCTGAGGGGGTACCCTCTGATAGAACCCCATGCATCACCCGAGTGGCCTCTTTATTTAATCCCAGTAAGCGGCTGACTTTTTCTGACATGTCCAATCCAGTCATTTGCTTCAACCTATAAAGAAAAATAAAATTTCTTTTTTTCATTTTTATTCAGTTCTACATGTTATATATATTGTAATATAATTACTGAGGTAAAAAAATTTCATATATTGTTATCAAAAAATGAAAATTAATATGCAAATCTGGTTGAATAAAATGCATACCTGGAATACTTATATGTATTAGAAATCTAAAGAAAATTCTCTAAAATTTTACTTTGTTAACATAACTTAATACTGCCACATGCAAACAAATTATTTTTACCTGGAACACAGAAATTCCACAAATTTGGGATATTTTCTATGTATACAGATGAGAGTTCCATGAAAATCAAATATCACCAAGTCTGCCGGGGCCTTCTTTGTGCTGGGTATAAGAGTATCCTGCTCAGTGGGTTCCACCAAAAATCTTTCGTAGTGGGAATAGGCATAACAACTCTTCAGATCCTCTGAAGGTAAAATCAGAGGTAAAATATCCTCAATGTCATTGACTACATGGTCAGCATGAGGCAGCAAGTCCCCGGTCTGCCCCACCCCACTCAGGACCCCCACACTCCACCCCAGCTTGGCCGACTTTCCTAGAAGCATGTCTGTTTTGGTATCTCCCACCATTACTGCATCAGATGGATCAATTCCCAGCTTCTCGCAGATTTTCAAAGCATTGTGTGGAGCAGGTTTTGGTTCGGTGTTTGGGTCATCTCCACAAATGACGTGCTCAAAGTACTTTGTTAAGCCTAGCTCCTGTAGCAAGGCATCTGTACCCTTGCGGTTGTCTGAAGTAATGAGAGCAATTTTAACATTGTTTTTCTGTAGGATTTTGAAGAGAGTCTCTGGGTCTCCCAGTTTCTTCATTTCCTCTGGGTTTGTGACATTGCCCTCGGACCACACAGAGTCTAAGATTTTTCGTACTTCTGATTCTTCCATTCCTTCTCCAACCAGCATCTTTGTCATTTCATCCTAAATCATAAACATTAATCCTGTATATTTTCTTTTTGATTAACAAATTTTTGTTTTATATTTTGTGTACATAAACAATCTCTGATATTAAGATGTGATGGTAAAACACTGTGTCTGACTGCATCAGATTCCTGTTTGACCTTTGATCTTGATGTAAGAATTGTTGGAAAACTTGATACTAGGAAAAAACATCACGATATCATGAACAGTAGGTGTCATACCTTGATTTCTCCAGATGTGGCTTCTGCCAGAAGTCCTGGCATCACCCTTTGTTTCTTTGTACAAAAACCCAGCACATCGTAAATCTTGTCCTGGATTCCTTTGCGACCAGTGGCTTCTTCAATACTAGAACAAAATCAAATACTGTAAAACGAGAAAATTTGGCGCATACATATTTTAGCGCAAACGCAAGTGGGAATGCATTGGCGCAAATAAATTTTAGCGCTTGCACCTGTCAGTAAAATACATAAATGTGATATTTTGTTTTGTTTATCCACACCCGTATTTGACTTTTTGGTTAGTCAAGCACGGAAATTCATTAGTACTCCAGTGTATCTTTAAACATTCGTTAACTTTACCGCGTTACGTGTTGCTATCACATGGACGTGGCACAATGTTTAAATCTATTTTCAATTAAAAGAAATTGAGTATTTACTCTTTTAAATCATATTAAAACAATGCATGCATCGACAGAAAATTACTTAGATAAAACGGTAATCCTAATCAGGTATTGTCTGCAAACTCAATCGCCATGCTTGATTGCATTTGTTTGAAGGTGCTAATGATAATAATCGGGTAATAACTACTGGGGTAACAATAGTTTAATTAAATTATAATTTGGCAGACTTTCTGTCTTCACTGAAAAATAAACCTAGTGAATTTAACTAGTGTGCCTCGTAAAGCGTTGGTCGTGATTAGTAAACTTTCAGTTTACTGGTTAAGATAGTGAGTTGTGGAGCGGGGGTCGTATAGATACTTAGATACCTAGTGAAATTACTCATCAATTCTAAATTTATACTAATCTTATCTAGTAAATATACCAATATCTGGTAAAACTACTTTTAAGGTAGTGATTGTATGGACAGTAAATTTACTAGTTTTCTTTGTGACTTTAACTAGTTATTTTTTTACAGTGTTCCGAACATGTGCAGTGCTAGTGTGTATATAAAATCAAATGACCTTCGACATTACGCAAACTCGCGTTCCGGTTTACATGTACATATGTAAAAGCTTTGAACACACACAAAAAATGATATTTAGAAATCCTTTAGTGCACAATAAATTTTAGCGCTCAGGGGCTCTTGCGCCAAAGGCGCTAAAATTAGTAGTGCGCCAAATATTCTCATTTTACAGTATGTAATTCATACAGGTTTACGACAAAGTACCATGGTTAGTCAGAAAAGAAAATCATTTTATTCTTTAGCTTACTGCAACTGGATTTTTCCATTGAAATTTATAGAAACATCTGATTTATCAACAGTTTCTTTACAAATACAGTCAAACTTCGTTATCTCGAACCTGATGGGACTAAGATAAAACTTCGAGATATACGAAGATTCGAGATATGGAAGGTTGAATACTTTAGGAATTAGTGATTGGGACTTCCTAATCACTTCGGCATATCCATGGTATATGAGATATCGGAGTTCGAGATACGGAAGTTCAACTGTACTTGTACTTTTTATACAAAATGTTATGTTAGCCTTTTTGCATCTCAGTTTGTGAGTTATGAAAAAGAGAGCACATAATCACTTTAAATTTTAGGGGTGGGACAATACACACATCTTGCGAAAAATATATTGGATATACCTGAGAAATTATAAAACTATTCAAAAAAATTAGTATTTTATTTCTTTTTTTTTTTTTTTTTCTTGATATTAATTAAATCAACAAATTATTCTATATCAAGTCATGTTTGCTTTGAAATTAATACTTGAAGTACATCAATTTAATTGACTAAAACTTTACAGAAACATTAATACATGTACATACTATAACCAAATTATTCAGAAGTTGTTTACAAATAGTTGTGTAGTTTATCAGAGAACACTGACTAAAAATTCATTTAAAAAACATCGATCACATTAACATTTTTATTAATTCATTGCTGAAAGTCTGTAGCCAAGTTGAGATTACAAAAAAAAGTACAAGATGGACTAACAATTAATAATATCAAATGTTCCGGAAACGATATTTTCTGTGTATAGCACGCATTACATACTGAACTTTTCTTGTCCAATCTTTCGACTAATCTTCCGAGGCTGCTTAAAAGTAAAAACATTTTACCCCTAACCAACGACTTATTAGTTCTAAAGTGAGTTTTCAATATCAACATCATCTCTTCGCTCGTACAAGCCGCCATTTTCCAAGGACAGGTACTTTCATTTTCAATTTTTGGATAGGTCGTTCGTGTTCGTTTCGTACCGATATTTGAATGCTTGTATCGAAAACCGTATCTTGGAGGAAAATATCGATATGTATCGGTGTATCGGTATATCGTCCCACCCCTATTAAATTTACACAAAAAAATGATGGATATACCTGGCAACTAATTTTTTGGCCCAAGGTGTCCACATTGAGTGAAAACAAATCAAAGTCCCATCTTTGTCAAAAATGACAAGAGAAGCTTTCTTTACTTTGTCAGTCCGTAGTTTTACATTATTGACTGTAACACTGCCTTGGAAACTTGCTGCTGACCAAGATACATTCCTCGACTTCAATGATTTTCCCTGTTTTTCTGTATAAAGAAAAAAAATTAAAAGATACTCCTTTGATAAAAAATAAAATAATGACCTTTAATATCAGCAAATAAAATCTATTATAAAGTCAATCAAATATATGCAGATGCTGAACAGTTTCAAAATTCCATTAAACAATATAAATTATGGAGCAGAGCAAACATGAACCTCTAAAACATCAGCAGCGGGATAAGGTGCCATTGAATGATATTTTTCATGCAAATTGTTGGCAGTTATGATGACGGGCACATGGCAGAAATGTCCAATGACAAAGGTTTCTTACTCCTCTGTGGCACCTGATCCCACCTATGATGTTTTCAGAGATCCATATTTTTGCTCCTAAATTGTATTCTTTCAATGAACTTTTGATAACTGTTTAATTATTATCTTCATAATTTATATTATTAATGCTTCTGTAACATTAAGCATCCTGCCATAGTATATTAGAAATTAAACATTTTATAATGATTATAGAAAGTTTTTCATATAAAACTTTAATATTCTTACGTGATTTTCTTGTAATGCTGCATCCTGCTGCAGTTGTATGAAGCGATCCAGATTGCACAAACCGCTGGGCTTTATAAGATTGAGACAAAACTCGACGTAACAAATGTGTTCCTGACATCATGGACTTTCTGTCATCAATTATTTTCCATCAGAATACCTTTTCTAAAAAAAAAAGTCTCAATGAACTACGATTTCAGTCTCAAGTCTGACAAACCAATATTCAATATATCTTGAGGTAATTTCCATGCACTCAATCTACAGATGCCTGCACTCCTCACATCTCTGAATCTTGACCTTTTAAGTACTTTCTGAAGTCTCCTATGTAGTTTTAGGGTACAGTTAGTCCAGTAAACATGTGTGGTTAGTATTATCATCAATATTTTTTTTATGATAAAACTATCAAGAATTTGCAAAAGAATTATTAACTATATATTGGTTAATAAGGCTAAAGTACTGCATCTTATTGTGGTACTATATTATTGTTAGAGAGAGCATTGCACCTATAAATTATAGAATACTTCTTTTACAAGAGTATTAGATACAAAGTCTACTTTATAGTACAAAGCAAAACTTACACATTTGTATATGCTTCACATCCCACAACTGTTCATATGCCACCCTAGCATTTCAGTCACTGAGTGACAGACTGAGCTTAAAATCAATGAATGACCATACCAATGTCTGACCTTTCTCTTATCTGGAGTGGTCATGGTCATAGCACGGTCTGGGTTACCGAGTTCTTGATCTAGGCCTATACAGCATCATTTAATATTTGTCTACTCCCTAACACCCCCCCCCCCCCTCCTTTCCATTAACCGGTCTTTTTCACTGGACAAAATCGCCACATTATGATCAATCCAAAAGAGTCGATGTTGTCAACCATTCAGACATTCTTTACTGATGTCATACCTACCTGTAAATTTCTGTCAGACACAGGTGTACCGGTTGATAGCGTAAACCAACTAGACCTTGGAAAAAACACGGTAGTTTTCCGACATCGTGTGCTTTTCACGCTTCATTGATAAGCTCCTAAATATTCAGTAAAGGTGGACCAATCAGGCTCATTTTATGCTACAAGTCATGAATAAACATATCGGAAATGAGAAAATAAACGCGTGTTGAAAACATGATAATAAAAAAGAAGTATTTAAAATTATTTTGAAGTATAAAATTATATAGATTAATATTAACTATTTCTATAAAATTTATAAGGAATAATCTTCAGTTTTGACTTTGTGAATATCGACTTTGTGTATTTTGATAATATATAAAATTAATTTTTTGCACACTGTATAATATTTGTATCTTTTAATTAAAAAGAATCAAATCTTCCAAAACATTTCTACCCTTACTATGACAGAGACATATTCAAGTTTAGAACATATATAAACTTTATTTCATTTCTTTTTTGTTTAATTGTTCCGTGTCACGATAAGATATAATTATGTCACAATGTCTTCCAGATTATATTTAGAACCACTGATTTACCCTAAAAGTGTCGCGATCAATGTCAATAGCTCAATTAATTTGAGGAATAAATCAGGTTTTTTAATTAAACATTAGGAAACTCATCAGGGGAGAGGGGTGTAATTCCATACATCATATGAACTCTAAAAATTACTCAGTCGAGCACCTTGCAAAAACAACTGAATATTGGAAATAAACTATAGATTTTTTAAAAAAAAAGTTTAATAATAATAGCGAAACAGACTTTGTGGTGAAATTATTGGCACATATAGTGGCGATTTTTCTTCTTGTTTGTGATTGAGATTTCGACAGATTTCACTGCTGCAAAAGACTTGTCCTTTTCCATATTTTCATCACTTTGACTAAACTTTAGTTAACCGGGGGGAGGGGGGCACCTCAATACGGATATCGCTATAATTTTACAGTAATAAAACAATGAAGAATTTATCTATTTTATTGTTGATCTTCCAACCAGCCTCCTGCTTTTAACATTTGTATCACAAACAGTCGAGGGATTTTAAAACATTTTAGGTAACTATTGTACATATTTTTTGCCCCTCAATCAATGATTAAGGGCATGTAGTTTTGACTCTGCCCATTTGTTTGCAGAGGCTTATCAAACTTGCCTTTAACTTTTATTTGTTGGAGCTGTGGCTTTCATATTTCACATGTGTATTCTTTTGACAACAGCTGTCTTTAGGTACCAACTATTTGACCTGAGTTTGACCTAATTCTGCAAATATTTTACCAAACTTTAACCTTGGTTAAATCTTTTAAAGGGTTGCTTTCATACTTCACATGTATATTCCTTTTCATTAGACCTTTCTTTGTTTAGAAATATTTTTTTTTTTACCTTGACCCACTATAAAAAAAATCTTAACCTTGCTCATATGACTGCTTTCATATTACAGAAGCGTATTTTCTTGTGACAAGTCTCACGACCTCACGACCTTGACTCACTTATGAAAACTTTAACCTTGGCCATATCTTTTGAAATAGGTGGCTAGGGTTTTCATATTTCAAATACTTGTGTGTTTCCTATAACAAGATCTTCCTTTGGGTAACAAAAATTTAGACCCTTTCAGCCATCTGATCTGTCCTTAAAGTTTGACCTACTTTTGAAAAACGTTAACCTTGGCCATGACTGTAGAATAGGTCCATCCCATTTTTTGGGTGTATCTTTTGTGACAAGACCTTTCTTCGAGTACAAAATATGTTTCAACTCTTGATCTTTTGAGTTTTACTTGCATCTGAGAAACTTTTAACTACTGTAAATCACTTTTTATTCGAGAGAACTTTATTTTCGCGTAATTACCCGAGATAGTGTGCTCGTGAAAATTAAATTCTCGTGTATAATAGTATTCCTTAAGATTATATAGAGCAATAACCACAATTCTTGAAAATTTTGTCTCGCTAATCAAGAGTCAATGACTATCTCGTGAAAATAAGGTGTCGTGAAAATTTAGTGACCTACAGAATGCCAAGAACTGCCATATAGGTGCATCAGCATTTCACGAATGTATCTTGTTCATAATACTCCTCAAACAAAAGTCGATGATATATAAAGACAAAAATACCAAAAACATTTTATTAAACAATATAATAATGGTTAAAATGAAGTTTAAATGTCTTATTAATAATCATATTATTAGGCCAATATGTTTTCTTCAACTAAAGAAAACATTTTATTAAAGTACTAAACTTACCCAAGCAAAAACCTTGAGATATATTAATGCCAATAAAATGTTAAACACTTAATAAAATTTGCAATTAAAAAAATAAAACCCAGTGCAATTCAATTGAACATTAGAAAACTGATACACATTACATAATAACAATTTCAAATCACCACAAATCTTGTTTAAAATGAATGGAAATTGCACCCCATAAAAGATGTCCTTTTAATAACATTTTTTTTAATCAAAATTTCTAATGCTTCTTCTACTTAATGATTAAAAAAAGGAAATTCTGTATTTAATAAATTTCTTGATAAAATGGCCTGTCATTAATAAAAAAAAAATTACACACATTTGTGTACATACAGTGTACTTTTTTGCAGTATTGTTCTAAAGACACTTTGATAAAAATAATTATAAAGACCATAAAAGATTGATAAATCATTGTTTTAGGTGAATACATTGTAAATAACAATTGCCCAACTGGCCTTCAACATCACTTGAATATCATTTAACAGTTTTATCTCTGTAAATTAAAGATACAAATTTTAGAACTTTCATTTATAAATGACAGAAGAATAATGTTACAATTTAGAAGTTATTGCAACATTTTACGTACGGTACATGAGGGGTATTTTGAACAACATAAAAAAAAATTTGGGTCCTATCCAACCCCTACCCCATTCCACCCAACCTTCAATCAAAGATTCCCCAGTAAGAAAAAGGAATAATACTGTTTAAATAAATATGTGCATTTAAGCATTCATTCATGTACAGTCTGGCCACAAAGTAGGGTTTCATATCAGTTAAAAGTTGGCATTAATGCTTTAGGAAGACATTTCATTTCAAGAATGCATATTACATTTTTTTAAAGAAAGGGGAGGCTACTTTTTACAGACAATATTGTGACACTTATCATGAATATAAAGAATTATTGCACATGTATAATTTCTTGTAATAAGCATGTCACACAAGATTGAAATGTTCCACAGATAATTCTGTCAGATGCCTCAGAATTGAAATCACATGCTCCTCTGAATAAATCTGAAAAATATAAACGTGGAAATAATGTAATAAACATTAAAACACTTTAAATGTAAGAAAAATGAGGTCATCACAAGCAAGATCAATGTCAAAGTATGTTGATGGTTTTGATGTCCATCAGCAAATGAAGTTTGATAATACATGTAATATCTTCAGTCTTGAATGGTTTCTCTGAAATTGAACTAAACACAAAGTGTGATGGAAGGACAGACAAGTCAGAGGTCAAACACTATATGCCCTGACCTTATTCATACAGGGGCATAAAAATGTTGATGTACATGTACATGCAGTTAAATAGCTCTTAGCAATATTCATCAACATGTGAAGTTTGATCAAAATAGCTTGAATAATTTCTTTAAAACTGAACCAATCATAATCTTTTTTAAAAAGTGAGGTCAAGGTCAAAGGGAAGCTACTCACCTTAAGTAAACCTTCTCTGCCAATATAACATAAAGACGTACCGACACATGACAACTGCATGGCCTACAATGATCAATCTATTATCCATAAACAATATAGACATTTTTTTCAACTAGGCTTTATATGCATTAAATCACATCAAACCCCAAAGACTTTCATGAAAAAATAAGTTCAAAATCAGCTTTTTCACAGCACAGACAGACTTAATACAAATGGTAACTGTAGACCTGTATTGTGTACAGTGCTGTACACACATTATTAATTTTGCAAGCAAGTAACAAGTCTCATGCATACACAGTATAAATCAATTTTCTTCCCCATCTGCACAAATACAACCACATGTATTTGCATGAACAGATGTTCTTAATTTTATTTACGAAATATACATGAGCTTATGAACTTTACATATGTCACAAAGATGTAATTTTTCTGCAACAAATATTTCACATTATACATGTAAATGGATGTTAAAAAATGTTCAAAGTATTGTTTTGTTTTAAAAAAAAAGGACATCATTAAAAACTCACATTTAGCTTTATTCTAAAAAGGGAATAAAAATGTTCCTCTAGACATGAGAGGAACGTTGTCATCTCCTCTTCTGTGAACATATCAGATCTGTGATCATGAATGCTGAAAAATGCAAAAAACATCTATCATTTATTTAATTTGGGGGTGAAATTAAGACTAATGAAATTGAAACATTTCACCCCTAATAATATAACTAAAAAACTGATTTTCAACTTTATTGAAAATTTTAGAATTTGTTTTCAAATATCACAAATAGAACTTAAATAAAAATAAAATCTGTTGACAGTATTCTTTGCAATAACTAATTCTGTTTTGCAAAGGAGAAAGCTTTGACATATTTCCAAATTACATGTATGAGTTATTTTACCAAATTGAAAAATCTTTGACATAAATTACTCCTTTAGCTCATAGATCTCCAATTTAAATCAGCGCCCCAAAATACCTGTTCCAAACTTTAAGACAATCCTCGGCTTCTATGGTATATGTGACTTTCTTGATTCCCTCACATTCACTTGGCACCTGATAGACAAGTTCTACGGGCTTCTTCTTACGATCTGAAATAACAGAATAAATTAAAACTGGTGATCTGTTACTTTCAAGAAGGTATAGTTTTCATAATATAAGAATGGCCTGCCTTTATAATTAAGTTTTAAGAAACAAGAGAAAAAAATGGATTTGATTAAAATCTGATCCCTTAATACATGTAAATGTAGGTTGCTACACAAGGTACAAGTTATGTAGAAACTTTTGGGAGAAGACCACAGGATCCAGTTTTATTCACATGGATTAAATTTGTATGCTCTTTAAAAGAATTACTGGTATCACTAATACACAATGTATAACATTATGCATTATCAAAAATAACAAAAAAAATAGTAGCACAAATACTCATAAACTTTACCATACATCTCTAAGAGAAATTGTACCTGAACTTTCAAATCCTTACTTGTATTTGCCAGAGCTCCACTCCACATGCCAATCATCCAGGCAAGATGTACAGGAGGGAAGATCATGGGGGTAACTTTGCAGTCAAAATGCATCTGGAAACGAAAAGAATACCTTCAAAACTTGTATCCATTTAAATTTCTCCACCTTTTGCATGATGGAAACATTTAATAAATTTTGCTTTAGGATTTTGAAATAAACACCAAAAACATTCATAAACCAAGAATGCATGTAAGACTTTTGAAGAGACTATTTGAAATATTATGTCTAATTACTGTAGATTCCTTATTTTTTGTGAGTACTTATCACGAAATGGCTCATTAACGTCAAATTGCGAGAATATTTATTCGCAAATGGGCCGTTGATAAAGAGAATTTACATGGATTTCAGCACCATAAAAATAAAAGCAGAATTTAATTTTGTGAGTGATGCTTCTCACAAAATTACGCGATAATAAATTCCTTGAGTTTAATTAGGAATTTACAGTATGATAGATATTTCCCAACATAATTTTTGATTTTACTTAAACCCCAATATAAATATACAGTATGTAGGTAAATATTAACCTGGAGCCAAGTGATAAGGACATCAGTGAGGGCTACAGTAGATTTCACAAGCAGTACAGGGTAGTACATAAAGTGGTCCTTCACATCGGGACTGAGTTGCTCCTCCTCCATCTCCACCCCACACAGTGTGGCTGTCAGCAGGGCAGTGTCTGTGGTACCTTTAACAATGACCAGTTCAGAATAACATCTTTGTACTTTTTAAAGATCATTTTACTGTAACCCATGTTAACTCATATGATAAGTAAGGAAGAGACTGCAAAGTCCTTTTTTCTGAAAGGATCTAACTTTTGCTATTATCTTTTCAACAGCAATCAATTCTGATCAAAAAAAATCAATCCGATATTAAAATATCACATTAAAGACAACGGTATAATAAATTTTTAATAATTTTAATTAAAAAAAAACATGTTTAACTAGAAATATGTCCATAGAACCTGAATGCCCCCCCCCCCCCCCCCCCCCCGAGGGTATATTAGTAATGCAACATGAAAATTTGCATTAGTGTATGAAATTTTATCAGAATATCTTGAATAGTGATGCAGTTGAATTACTTACATCACTATGTATCAGCATATGAAGTTTGGCACTAATTTCATTAAAATGAGGTCAAAGGTCAAAGGAAATGCCTAGGTCAAAAACTGTTGATGCAGTTGAAAAGCTCTCATCAGTATGTTTCACCATATGAAGTTGAAAAAAATATTATAAATGGTTTCTTTAAAACTGACTTAAAAACAATTTGATTAAAGTGAGGTCAAGGTCAAATGAAAGGTCAAGGTCAACAATATTGATACAGTTGAATTGCTTACATCAGTATGTATCAACATATGAAATTTGAAACTGATTTAAGAAAAGTGAGGTCAAAGGAAAGGTCAAGGTCAAAAATTTTGATGCAGTTGCATATCTCTCATCAATATGCATCAACATATGAAGTTTGATAAAAATATCTAGAATAATTTCTTTAATTAAAACCGACTTCAACACAATTTGATAAAAGTGAGGTCAAAGTCAAATAAAAGGTCATGGTAGAAAATGTTGATGCAATTGAATTGCTTACATCAGTATATATCAGCATATGAAGTTTGACACTGTTTAGGAAAGTGAGGTCAAGGTCAAAGGAACTTCCAAGGTCAAAAATATTGATGCAGTTTGAATAGCTCTTATCAGTATGTATCAATATATGAAGTTTGATAAAAATATCTTGAATGATTTCTTTAAAACTGAACTAAACACCAATTTAAGATAAGTGAGGTCAAGGACAAAAGAAAGGTCAAAGTCAAAAATGTTGATGCAGTTGAATTGCTTAAATCAGTATATAAAGTTTGACACTAATTTATTGAAAAGTGAGGTCAAAAGGTCAAAGGAAAGCCATGGTCAAATATGTTGATGCAGTTGAATTGCTCTCATCAGTATGTAACAGCATATCAAGTTTGATAAAAATATCTTGAATGGTATCTTTAAAATTAAGCAAAACCCTAATTAAAAGATAAGTGAGGTCAAGGTCAAAGGAAAGGTCAAGGTCTAAAATGCTGATGCAGTTGAATAGCTCTCATCAGTATGTATTAACAAGTGAAGTTTGATAACACCATCTTGAATGGTATGTTTAAAACTGAGCTAAACACTAATTTAAGAAAAGTGAGGTCAAGGTCGAAGGAAAGGTCAAGGTCAAATATATTGATGCAGTTGCATAGCTCTCATCAATATCTATCAGCACATGAAGTTTGATAAAAATATCTTGGATAGTTTCTTTGAAACTTAGCTTTGAACAGAGCTAAATGCAAAGTGTGACGGAAGGACAGAAGGACGGAAGACAGACATGACAAACACTATATGCTCCGGCCATATTCATGGTGGGGCATAAAAATCAATTACTAAAATGGGGGTGTCAACAACCCTACCAAAATGCAGCCATTAAACAGCAACAATCAGCTTAATTAAGGCACTTTTAGCATAAATTAATTAGTGCTCTTTCAGTATATACCTGTAGTCCTCTTTCCTTTTATCAAAATTTGTACAGCATCAGGGTCATCTGTAAAAAAAAATTGTTAGAATGGAAAACGAGCATTATATGTAAAATCAAAATTAATTTCCTGATTTTAATAATAACCACATCTCTCTCAAAATCTAACAAGCTAATTCAGAGAATATGTATCCCCCACTAAAGGAAAAAAAAGAAAAGAATGTGCTGACCTCTTGGGGCTGGGGGGGGGGGGGGATTTTACTCTGGAAGGGGCACTTTGAGAAGGAAGAGAGGGGCCATAGGGAATTATGGTATGTACTGTAAAATCACATATTTTTGAGGGGTCAAATTTTCGTGATTTGAGGAAAATACTGTAGATCACTAAATTTTCGCGACACCTTTTTTTCGCGAGATAGTCATTGACTCTTGGTAAGCGAGACAAAATTTTCACGAATTGTGGTTATTGCTCTATATAATCTTAAGGAATACTATTATACGCGAGAATTAAATTTTTGCGAGCACACTGTCTCGCGTAATTACGCGAAAATAAAGTTCTCGCGAATAAAAAGTGATTTACAGTACTGTAAACCAACTTTTATTCGCGACGACTTTATTTCGCGATTTACTGGGAGTAAAGTTGTTCGTGACGATTAATTTTCGCGACCAAGCCTTTTTTGGAGCTATTTTTAATAGAAAAAGAGACTTTAAGGACCCGTTCGCGGCGAGAAATATTCGCGATGACGAGGCTCTCGCAAACCTCGCGAAAATTTCTTGCACGCGAATAAAAGTTGGTTTACAGTATATAGGTTCATGAGTATTTGATTTCGTGGTTGAAGAATTCTTCAGTAGTTATATATGCGTAAAATTGCATTTCGTGGTGGACATAAATTTGTGGGTCTCTTCATACATTGAAAACCACGAAAATTAAACCCCCACAAAAATTACTGATCTCACAGTAATTTGATTTAAAAATCTCAAAAGCTACTTGAGATATCATCAGTAAAATAAAAGTTTAGCACATACATAGAATGTATTAATTTGCAACCTTGACCTTTGGATTTTTCACCTCAAAATAAATAGGGGTCTTCCTAAGGCCATAGGGAGTTATGGTATAAAATATCATTGCAAAAGCTCAAAGGCTTCTCGACATATCGCATGGAAACAAAAGTTTTAAAACACACAGAATTTTAAAATTTATGACCTTGATCTTTGACCTCAAAATCAATAGGGATCTTCTTTAGGACATATGGGACTTATTGTGTAAAATTTCATTGAAAAAGCTTGAAGGCCTCCCAAGATATTGCATGGAAACAAAAGTACAGTGGAGCCTCATTTATCCGGACGCTTTCGTTCCTAATAAATTTGTCAAGATATGTGAAGTGTCCGGATATATGAATTACCATTTAAACAAGACAATATAACATTTAAAAATTCTGTCCCAATGAAATATCGTCCGGATACTGAAGCATCCGGATATCTGGCGTCCGGATATCTGAAGGTCCACTGTATTACAGACAGACTGAACTACAGACAGACAGATGGACTGACCAACAGACAGATGGACAGAATGAAATTAAATATCCCCACTTTCAGCAGGGGACAAAAATATTGTGTGATGATATTAAATTACCCGGCACACAATCTTAATTGCATTTACCCCTGGTAACTTGTTGAAATAAAAACTTTAAATCTAAAGCCAAAATTCATACATTCACTCTTTTTCAGTCCTTCTTGGACACAGAACATTGCCTTTCCAGAGATATTGTTCTCCACAAACATTCCTTTCTGACTGGCCTGGAAGTGAAAATAGACTTTTATCATATATGTAACGTATTGAAAACAGATTTCTAAAAGTATTGCTTTTCTTAAAGTCAGCACTTGATATGTGTCTGGACAGAATTAACAGAGCTGATTAGCCTATCAACCAGTGTGATACACCAGAAAATCAGGGAGCTTTGACTATTTATCAAATTAAGAAAATCCTACATACATTTTGTACATGTATATAAATATAAATACTAGGAGACCATGTGCATGTATCAAAGATGGAAAGTCAAGAAACTGTATTTCATTAAGGCCTAAGAGTGATTTTTATTTTTTCAAGGGTCAATGATGTCTTAGTCTGCTAGATCTATAACTTTGTAAAGATGGTCATAATAAACAAGAGAATAGAAAATAAAAAAGCTTCTCACTGCTACAAAACAGGAAGACAACAGCTGGCCATATCGCTTAAGGTCTTTTGGGGAGCTGCTAAACTTGTACAAGGGAGATAACTTAAACACTCGCCAGGTTTTGTTGATGAAACCTGTAAAAAATATAAACTACTAGTATCTGAACCACTCAATTTATGCTGTACTTGGGGTTAATAACCACAAGAAAATGAAAAGTAATCAACCATTGTTCATTACAGAATGAATAATTAATTCTGTATTTTTAAAAATGCATACAGGTTACACCCCCCCCCCTCCAATAATGCATAGCTAAGAATTTGGAAATTCTTTTTTTTCAAACCTTTGAACTCTTCAGATTCAGCAACACTTTCAGATTGGGTTTTTGATTTTGCCCGGACTGTTTTTCTTTTGCCTATAACAAATCAGTTTTACATCAAACATCTTTTTAAAGCAAAGATAAGCAGAAACTTGCAATTTTTTGGCAAAAAGAAACTATTTATACTACATTTTATAAAAATTTGCATTAATTATGCATAAACCAGGGTACATGTAATTGCTTATTATAAATGAAATGAAGAAATATTTATTAAGATCTAGGTCAACTAGATAAAATCATTGTCAAGATACTGAAATAAAACACAACTCATGGGGATATGCGAAAAACATTGCAGATAATCTTTAACCTTGAGTGGTTGATAATACTGTGGTGATCCTCCGACTCTGGGGGGTTCTCCCATAGGGGGTAAACCTCCTTGGGGTGAATCTCTGTGACAACCTGGACTTTAAGGTATTGCCATTCTGTGGTGTGGCGTAACTTTCTGATGAGGGCTTCTGTTTTGTCGCCATGCTTTATCTTACCTGAAGATATAAAAAATTATTTATTTAATGTGTCTGTTTGCCTAGAAAATTGATACATGTTCAACCAAATAAAATTTACTCAGGGTCCATTTGTCACAATATTTCATACATTTTGTAGCACATGTAATTCAATTGTATTTACTCAATTAAGCAAGCAATCACCAGGCAAACATATTAGTTAAAAAGAGGATTGTAATTAAGCTTCTGACCAGATACCAGGTATTTATCTTCAATTCCTGTTATACACATACATTACACTTTAAATGTTATTTACAGATTGTATTACAACAACACAATCATGCTCAAGAACATTGTATGTGTACCTTGTGTTTGATAAATATGTAGTATCCATTTGATGAAAATCTTCAGAATCCTTTACATTAGGTAAGCACTGTAAATAAAGATTTATAATATAATTATTTTTCAATCCTCATATGAAAAAAACAAAACAATTTACTTTAAATTCCACATTGACTAAACCCACATGTGTAAGTTGTCCTGATTTGTATAGAATTAATAAGGGATGAAAATTATGGCCAAAAAAAGTTTTCACAATGTAATTATTTCTAATTCACTTTCTGCCAGGTCCATCACTCAGTCTTATTTTCTCCCTTTCCATTCAGTATTTTATATCAGAGATATAAATAACAAAGATTCGCAACTCCGTCATTAGCATGTTTGTTTACCGAAATATGTGATGGTCCTAGTACTATCTTAAGAATAACTTTTTTTGTCTTGCATATTATTATAAAGTAAAATTAATAATAATTATATTATATTTGGGTGTATGATTTGTAAATTCTAATGAATTTTAAAAGCAAACAGGTAAATAAAAGAGGTTAATGATCGACACTCGGACAGTCCGCTAAATTGCGGCAATATGGCCGACCAAGAGTCACTTGTTGTAATTTCGGATTTCTCCTTTGTTATTGTATTACATAAACAAACTTTGGAAAAAATATCATGATTTATTTCTAAATATAAATTTTAAACAGTTGCGAATCTCTGCTATATGACTTTGTTTATATCAATTAAATTTTTTTTCAGATTATAGTAATTAACCTTACAATGAAGGAAAATGGGCAAGAAAAAATACAAGGTGTGTTTGTGAAACACAGATGCCCCTGGCCCCCATATGTAAGCTAAGAATTATTGCAAAGGTTTAAGATTCACAAATGCAAGTCAAAGGCCATGATGGTATCAAGAGGAAGATTTTTTTTTCACAAGGAATAAGCCTATGAAATATGAAAGCCCTAGTACTAACTGATCAGATGTTAGGGCCATGGTTGAAGTTTTTTAACTAGAAATATGTCCATAGGACATGAATGCCCCGCCGAGGGTGTATTAGTAATGCAACATGAAAATTTGTATAACTGTATGAAATTTCATCAGAATATCTTAAATGTTGATGCAGTTGAATTGCTTTACATTAGTATGTATCAGCATATAAAGTTTGACACTAATTTCTTTAAGTGAGGTCAAGGTCAAAGGAAATGCCAGGGTCAAAAAATGTTGATGCAATTGAAAAGCTCTCATCAGCATATGGAGTTGAAAAAAATATTGTGAACGGTTCATTTAAAACTGACTTTAAACCAATTTGATAAAATTGAGGTCAAGGTCAAATGAAAGGTCTAGGTCAAAAATGTTGATGCAGTTGAATTGCTTACATCAATATGTATTAGCATATGAAGTTTGGCATTAATTTAGGAAAAGTGAGGTCAAAGGTCAAAGGAAATGTCAAGGTCAACAATGTTGATGCAGTTGAATATCTCTCATCAATTTGTATCAACATATGTTGATTGATAAAAATAACTTGAATGACTTCTAAAACTGACTTTAACACAATTTGATAAACATGAGGTCGAAGGTCAAATGAAAGGGCAAGGTAAAAAATGTTGATGCACTTGAATTGCTTACATCAGTATATATCAGCATATGAAGTTTGACACTGATTTAGAAAAGTAAGGTCAATGTCAAAGGAAAGGTCAAAATGTTGATGCAGTTGAATAGCTCTCATTAGTATTTATCAATTAATGAAGTTTGATAAAAATATCATGGATGGTTTCTTAAAAACTGAGCTAATCATTAATTTAAGAGAAGTGAGGTCAAAAGAAAGGTCAAGGTCAAAAATGTTGATGTAGTTGAATAGGTCTCTTCAGTATGTATCAGTATATGAAGTTTGATAACAGTAAACACTATCTTGAATGGTATCTTTAAAACTGAGAAAAGCACTTATTTGAGAAAAGTGTAGTCAAGAGGTCAAAGGAAAGGTCAAGGTTAAAAATGGTGATGCAGTTGCATAGCTCTCATCAGTATATAATAACATCTGATGTTTGATAATACCATCTTGAATAGTATGTTTAAAACTGAGCTAAACACTAATTTAAGAAAAGTGAGGTCAAGGTCAAAGAAAAGGTCAAGGTCAAAAAATGTTGATGCAATTGCAAAGCTCTCATCAATATCTATCAGCATGTGAAGTTTGATGAAAATATCTTGGATAGTTTCTTTGAAACTAAGCTTTGAACAGAGCTACACGCAAAGTGTGACGGAAGGACGGAAGGACAGAAGACAGACATGACAAACACTATATGCCCCTGCTATATTCATGGTGGGGCATAAAAAGTGGGTCAAACTCTAAGGTCAAGGTCAAAAATATTTCTACCAATTGAAAGTTTTGTCTGATGAATACTGTAAACCAACTTTTATTCGCATGCAAGAAATTTTCGCGAGATTCATGAGAGCCTCGTCATCTCGAATATTTCTCGCCGCGAACTGGTCCTGAAAGTCTCTGTTGTATTTACAACAGATTCAAAAAAGGTTTGGTCACGAAAATTAATCGTCGCGATCGAGTTTACCCCTGGTAAATCGCGAAGTAAAGTTGTCGCAAATAAAAGTTGGTTTACAGTATACATGTGATGTATGAAAACCCTAGCACCAACTGTTCAAAAGTTATGGTTAGAGTTAATTTTTTTTTTGGTAAAAGTGGGTCAAACGCCAATGTTAGGGTTAAGAGGTCAAATTTGGTGGTACCCAAAGAAAGGTCTTGTCACAATGAATACATTTGTTAGAAATTATTCAGAAAGCCATAGCCCCATCCATTCAAATTTATGGGCAAGGTGAAAGTTTTTGCAGACAGACAGCTAGACAGAGGGACAGGGCCAGATCTTTGATTATGGGGGCATAAAGAAACATAATGAATGTATTCATGCAGATTTTATTTGTTAGGCATTGCACCAGTAAGTTGGTGATGTTCAAGACTAAAGAAAAACAGTCTTCTGCCGACTGACACCTGATTGCCACTGCAAACAGTGAAAAAGGAAATAACTTTTGTACATGTGAAAGATGCCAATTAAGTGTTTTAAACAAAAAAAACCCAATATTTCTTAATATGTTGACAGTGCGACAGTTAGGGTGACTGAGCGCAGTTACTTTTATAGCATCATGAGGTAGTGTAGATTCTAAATTGTTGAAATCATGGCCCCTGGGGGTAAGTTGCAGTTTTACTTTAGATCGGGCTCAGTCAAACCACACGTGATATTTGGTGCATTTTGACTATGCCGTATCATGACGTTGTATGTATGTAAATAATGTTGCATCACTAAACTGAAGCCTGAAAATTGCTGATTTTCAAGAAGAACCCTTTTATTGACTATTTGTCTGCAATATATTCATTTAATCAGGGAAATTTACTATTTATTAAACTTTTGTTTGTTATTCTCTTGAGAATGTAGCTTTATCAACTGTTTACGAGCAAGGCATTGTAGGTTCAAAGTTACTGCAGTAAAAAATTCTATAGTATTTCGAATTTTCTCTTTGCCCAGACGTTGTCGTTAGAGCTGGCAGTGACGAGTGCACTTCAAGACACTCGCTGTGCTCGCTATTATGCAGATTGACATTCAACTGACAGTGACCCATACATGCCAACTTTCCTGATTTTTTCGGGAGTCTACCGAATTTGAACCCTGTCTACCGCTTGTCTACCGATTTACTTTTTCTCCCATTTCTACCAATTTTTCGAAAATCAGGATTTTTTACCAATTCGCTTTGAATAGTACAGTATTTCCGTGTGCAGAAAACATGGCTGTTTCAATGTTTATCGGTAGGATATCTGTTTATTGCCGCTGATAAGTGATAACAGGTAATCAACAAGGTGTCAACTGTGCTACCAGTTATTACAGTGCCTCCCGATTCTCATTAACAGTGTATATTAACCTAGACAATTACGCCAGATGTGGAAATTTTAGAATTACACACAACAGGATACAAACTGATTAAACTTGTGAGAGTTCACACTTTATAGCAAACTTCGACAATATGCGTATAATCCGTTTATAAAAGGTTTTCACGTTTTGGAAATACGGCATTCCTCATTAAATTATAATTTACGTCATGGAGAAGACACTACCAAAATCCAACATGAAAAGATGTGCCTGCAAGTACAATGAAACCATTAAAAGTGATTCAGAAAGGAAAAGACCATGCCTTTTTTGTAGACTTTGAATGAAAAAGTTAAAAGTGACTTCTTAATATTCCCTGACTAAAAAAAAAAGGATAATTATGTGTCTTTGAAAGTAGCCTTATAAACTTTGTAATTTACCAACAGACAATGAACAGTAACCACATGGTAACTGCATAAACTTAACTTGCTTCAGCTTATTTGCAAAGTTTAACATCCTTATTCATGTAATAATCTGTTTGTGTATCAAATTCTTTAAGACAGGAGGTGTGTTTATCTTAATTATTATTAATATTAACATATTAAATAATTCTGAATAAAATTGTCTTTTTTTAAATTTCAAATGATATTGTATTTGTGCTTTTGTTGAAGTTGATAGAAAAGGAAACACTCTTTAAAGTAGTGATAATATATGATACAATTTAAGGTAGTAGATTGAAATGTATTAAAAAAACACCTACAAATAGTTATTTTCAAGACAAAATGCTGCGAATTAGGACTTCGAAAAATATCGTTACGCGCAATCTGCCCCAAGAAAATTTTCAAAAGTTGGCATGTATGGTGTCCAACAATTTTACAACTAGTGACATAGCTCTCATCGTCACAAACCACGGCAAAATTGTACGCTCCTCTCCCATTCTGGCCGTGGTTGAACAAGGTGAGAATTCTCCGTAGCTCATTAAAATATTGATCAATGCGAGTAAAGCATAGTCGGATGATGAACTTTATCGCGACCTTTCAATATCCAATCGCAGTATAGGAAATCTTTCTCGTATACTGTTGACGTCAGTTGTTGATTTCGATTGCGATGGAAACAAAACTTGCCACTGACTGAATATGACGTCACAATAGAGAGGCGTAAATATTCAAGATTACGACACTTTTTGTGATCAAGCAGCCACGGGTAGGAGAGAGCTATATATGCGGACTCCGGACCGTGGCTTGAGACGATGCATAGCTCTCAGATGGCAACACGGGCACTGGAAGTTAATGTAAATATATAGTGAGTGTATGTATAAAAAAAAGAAGGGTAGGACACTCTTTTTGAGGCAAATTCGGTTTTGGGGTATTGTAGGCCTTTCTCAGAAAACTTGACGCGATTAATCGTTCAGATATAACTTACTTTAAATATATTTACTGTTTCGTTCCGCTTCAATGCCGTCCCTTCGAAGAAAAAGATGTTTTTATACCTCCAAGTGCCTAAGAATTTCGCTAGACTGCCTTACTTCCGGTTTATCCAAACTGAATAGAAAGGTAAGTTCTGATTGGTCAATAATAAAATAAAATTTAGACAGATGGATATACATGAAGCGAGAAACAATTTATTTGTCATGGTATGTTCAACGTTTATTGAAGAGTTAGTTGCAGTTTATATATTTTAGCCTTTTCACAAATAATTTCTAGGAATAATGAAGAATATTAATATAGTATATATAATATGTGTATGACATTGACCAATCAAAACTTACCTTTCTATTCAGTTTGGATAAAGCGGAAGTAAGGCAGCGAAATTCTTAGGCACTTGGGGGTGTAAAAACATCTTTTTCTCCGAAGGGACAGCATTGAAGCGGAACGAAATAGTAAATAAATTTAAAGTAAGTTATATCTGAACGATTAATCGCGTCAAGTTTTCTGAGAAAGGCTACAATACCCCAAACCCGAATTTGCCTAAAAAAGAGTGTCCTACCCTTCTTTTTTTTATACATACACATACTATATATTTATATTAACTTCCAGTGCCCGTGGATGGCAAGTTATATCTAGACAAGGTAGCCATTTGGATACCTTGTAGTTTGTACTGCAAGGAGACAGTCTATTTTAACCAACTTCGATATATATGGTACTTCTTAATTTTTATCAATTATGAAGTTGAACAACAGGGGCTTGTCACGAAATATTTATCTTCTTTTAATAAAGTTAATTACCCCTACTATAAAAATTTGAACATGCATTCTACAGTTTCTACTCTAACAAATTCCAATTTTAGGCAGATTTTTCAAGAAAATATTTTACCTTCTTTACAAATAAAAGGATTTTTATCACACAAAAGCTGCTAGTATGGAATTTCATTTCTTCACATTAATCATTCTTCAAAACTAGCGCCATTACACAAACGGAAATGCTATTCCAAAAGCTACTAGCAAGAGTTTTCATGGACGACGACATATTTCCGGTTTTTACCGGTTAGTTTTTACAACACGCTAGATAACGGAATGGTAAAGTAGCGCAGTATACTTTGATGTGGCATCATTTTAAACATTAAATTTATTTAATTAATAGATATCAGCATTTTTTAAATTAACTGTCTGTGTCAGATTAAATAAATTTATGATTTCCAGGTCATTGGATGGAGAATGGTTATTTATTTGAAAGGACAGATTATTTATTTATATGGAAATGATTTATATATCCTTGAAAATAAATAATTGTTCTCCGATGAAATAAGTTATCTGTTTTCTTAAGAAAAGCACGGGTACTTGTAGACAAGCCCCCCCCCCTCCCTCCCAAAAACAAAAAATAGCCCTCTATACATAATAAGGGAGATTGTTAGAGGGGTATTTTTTGTACGGAACGGTTATTTGGAGTTTTAACCCATTTTTGAGTTAAAAATGAATTTTGAAAATAATATGAAAAAATATTGTAAACTTGAAAAGGAAGTATAATAAATAAAATTGTACCCCAAAAAATTGCAAGCTAGGGGTCATATATTGGGGGGGGGGGGTCCTGTCAACAAGTACCTGTGATGAAAAGTGAACAGGCTTTCGACTAAATCTACGACATCCATAACATCGTTATCGATGTAGACGAATGCCTGTTCTGTAAACAGAATAGACTGACAAGAGGATCCCTCCAGATCCGCAACATATGCCGTGAAATGGAGTTTACGAGTCCTTCATCCTTTTTTGCTTCATTTATTATTATTTCTTGTAGAAATACTCTCCATAATGTTATATAACATGATCTTGGTTCATTTGACTCTGAAAGAAACTATTAAAGATCCCCAGATGCTAAAAAACAGTCAAGTACATTATATGTATTTCAATGGCGATCTGTTAGCAATGAGCAGTTGGCTATGCCGATCAGTTGGCAGTGGATAATTATAACAATTGGCAATGGCGAACCATTGGTAGTAAATAATTGGCATTGGCAATAAGAGAGCAGTAATGAATTGGCAATGGCCTTTAGTTGGCAGTAGGCAATATTGACAAGGGCAATCATGCATTTGGCATTAAAAAGTTGGCGATGATATACATGCATTTGGCAATAAGTAGTTGGTAATGATCAAACTTTGCAGTTAGCTGTTGGCAATTGCAACCATGCAGTTGACAGTAAGCACTTAAATTGACAACGACGATCAGTTGGCAGTGTAAGTTGGTATTTGGAGTAATTTTGCAGTAAATAGTTGCATGACAATGGCCAATATTTAGCAGTGAGAAGCTGGCAATCGTAATAAGCATGGTCGTAATCGATCCTAAACAGAGGTGACGGGAGAAGGGGGGTGTTCCTTCTCCAATAATTTTGCCGATATAAAGAATTATTGTATACTACAGAAAACATTTGTGCCCACTCAATAATAACGTCTGATTACTTTTTTTTTTGCTTGCAAAGGAATTGTACCATTGGTATGTTCCCCAAAACTGGAATTGCTTCCTATACAGGCCTAATTAGATGTCATGTTAAGCAGTTGGCTATAGCAATCAGTTGCCAGTTTGACAGAAAGCTGCATGTCACAGTTGGGGGTTAGCAGTAAGCCGACAAAAATTGGCAATGGCAAACAGTGAGAATGGAATTGTCTTATTAAATAATTTTTATTAAAATATTTTATCAGAGGTACATCGCACAAACCTTTGGTTTAATTATGCCAACATGTTTGGTGAATCAATAAATAAATGGAAATGAATTGTTTTATCACCTATTATAAAATAAGGTTTCAATTAAGGTCAGACGACATGTTCCTCAATTAAATGTTTTGTATCTCTTGGTATTATATAAAAATATTCATATTTGTCATTCTCTATTGATTTCTACATTGTTTTTAAAATATTTTTAAATATAAGTACACCGAAAATTGTGTTATAGGCCATTTAGAAGATTACCCATAAGGTTATATAAGAAATATGACCCTCTTAAGCTTGTATCTTGGCCAAATGCATGGTAAGGTACCCTAATTTTTTGTGAGGAAACTTCTTTAATTACCTTTACTTCAATGACAAATTCTTGAGAAAAATTATATATTTTTGAGGAACGTGTCGTCTGACCTTAATTCGTGGAATACAAGTACAACACAGAAAAATTAGATTTCTACAATGTTTCATATTATCAAATTTTTAAAAAGTGCAATATTTGTAATATACATATATTGTCCACTGCAAAAAGATACATACATATATATTTTCTTATAATACAACTTTAAATGATCAATATTTAGTATTTGTATATTTAAGCGGAATTTATTATTCCGCCAGGGTTAGTTTTAAAATATAAATAAACCGGAACTTGTTTACTTAGATATTATTGTGCAAAATATATTCCTAATTTCATATATATATATTGAAACTGATTATTCGTTCACATTGAGGAAAATTTTAAAAGTCGAAAACGAACTGCAAATGTACATCAATTGAAGACTTTTATTCAATTTTTTTGCCCACTGCCATTTACGACTTTCGGAGCGATATCGGTAATGAGAACTTCCTCTAAGATGGATTCCAATGAGCGACGTGTAATGATGCTGAGGTTGACATTGCTTATCGTATTTGTTTTTCAAGTGAATGGAGAAGTTTTGAATGCTGTTGGGGGTTCAGTTCCTGCATATAGACCACCGCAAGATAATTCACAGTCAAAAGTACTAGGACAATCTGCTGGACATCGACAGCCGATAGGCGACCAATCTCAACGTTCGCAGAATCAGGGTCTAAGTGGAGCAGATGGACAAAGAAAACAGCCTGTTGCTGGGAAACCAACAGCTTTCAGACTCTCAGAGAGCAGAGAATGTGCAGATGATATCATAAAGCACTGTAACCCCAAAATATACAAAAATAATTTTGCCATTCTGGATTGCTTACAGTATGACACGAAGGTATTTGTTTCTTTTGCAGCATATAAACAGGTCCGGCACAATCTCTTGATTAAGCTATATAGCTTGATTTAGCTATATAGCTTTATTAAGCTATTCAGAATAGCTTGATTTAGCTATTTTCTCAGACTTTTTTCTCAAATGTGTTATTTTTTCAACATGTGCAAAAAGTCGCACCTTGGTGCAGTGGAAATATTAAACTTTGTACTCTTCTGAATACAATGCATGTAACAATCACTCACCAAATTACGTCTCCTTGAGAGACTTTGAACTCAAAGTTTTAACAGTTTTGGGGCTATTGATGAGTGACCACACAGTTATTTCTTTAATGAAATTATAAAGGAGGCCAGTTATGGCCAACAGGATAATTGATTAGTAACAGTTCAGCACAATTAGAAGCAATCATACTAACCCACGCCTCACCGCACACACAGTTACTCAAACAATGGAAATTCTTATTTTGATTAAAAGTATTCAACGGCAGCAATGTTAGAACTTTCTATGATTTAGGTTGTATTTTTGTTAATTCATAGTACATATACGAATAGTCAAATACTTGCGACTTTTTGTTTATTTCTTTCAAAAAATGTTTTTGTGAAAAATTGCATATAAATAGCTTTATCAAGCTGTTTTGAATAGCTTAATAGAGCTATATAGCTTTTTAAAGCTATATAGCTTAATCAAGAGATTGTGCCGGACCTGATAAACTTGTTTTTCACACATTGAAAAGAGTATGATTACTACAGAGAACCTTTATCTGGTTAATCAAAGCAATGAAAATGCCATTTTGAAATGATGTTTAATGTGTTGACAGTGTGACCATTAGGGGGAGGGCAGATATTTATTCAGTTTTAACGTTTAATTTCTAGATCTGTCTTTCCAAACCACATGTGACATTTATTTAGTATGTCACATGATGCTTAATGTTGCATTACCAATTCAGAGTGTAAAGTGTCACTCTGCTTACATTTATGAAGAACTTTAAAACTACTGTTTATCTGCAAGATACTAGGTTAATTTTTTTGTTGATCATACCCACAAGAAAGTAATTTGCGGTGAGATGCAGTTCACAATGGATTGTGTCTTTGTGAATTCAGAGGTTACTGCAAAAAAAATTTCATTAAGATCAATGTCCCAAGTCCCAGTTTTTTCTTTGCCCAGGTATTGTTGTTAGAGCTTGCATTGTGAGCAAAAATTTGTGCTGTTCGCTGTGCTCAATATGTAATAACAGTGCAAAAGTTCGTTGAAGTTTGATTTTTCTAAGATTTCTATATTTAATGATTAACTTCAGGATTTAACATTCATTTTTCTTACATTATCAACTACAACAAAGAAAAAAAAATCATTTATCATAAGTGTAGCTTTTTCTTTATTTTTTTATCAACTTAAAGAAATAAAAGTTCATGATAAACTTCATTCTTGTGTTTATATATGTTTTATTTCCCTTTATTTTCAGATAATGGAAGATTTATCAGAAGTTTGTCAGCATGTAAGTGATTTAAACAATTCAAATATCATTGGTGTAAATAATTTTTGATTTTGAATTTGAACTTTACCAAAATGTATAATCCCTTTTCACTTTCAGTTTTTATGGAAATACAAACTGAATTTAACACAAGACGACAGGTTTGACTATGCAGCTGGAGAAGTGTGTAAGCAGGAACTTAGCCAGGTCTGTATGCATCTTTGATAAATACAGATACATGTATTGCATTTCTTTCTTTTTTTAGTGCCTCATCAAGAATGTATAAACTAAATTTGATGCTTGGTTCAAGGCCCTGGATTCAAATAACTATGAATATGAACATCACATTATTAGGCATCCTTGAACATTTATGTTGAAAGAATATTAGGCCCATAAATTAAGGAAAATGAGGAAGAAATCTGTTAGAGAACAATTTGTTTTTTGAGGTCACTTAAATTAGTCTAAGGTTATAAAGTTCCAACACATTGCATAGTCCTATGCATTAAACTTGCAGATAAATGATCTTTCTAATACCATGATCAAATTAATTGTTTTAGGTGTACCTAAGACAAATCAAATTAACCTTGAATTGCAATGAAAATTGGTAAATCTTGTTTCTGTTCAACAAGATTCTTTTAAATCAGTTGACAATAGTAGATAATGTCTGCAAGAGAGATAAGACTTTCTCTTTTTCTTTTGAAGAGCATATACATGTACATTAATATACAAAAATGTATGCATATTTAGGAGATGATGCAATAATAATTCCATTACATTTTAGAACAAAGAATGTTCAGAGCTGGGGAAAGGCAAGGGACTGATTATACCATGCTTAGTAGACAACATTGTGAACATCACGGGAAACTGTCGGACATACCTGGAGAAAATGGCCAGGATTGTGTTCAGTGACTACAGACTGATATATCATTTCGTAGACCAGTGTGGTAAAGATATTACCCAGTTTAGCTGTGGAAGAGTGGCTCCATTGGATGAAAATGTAAGAAAAATGGACTGAAATGGTTGTTTGTAGGATGTGAAGAAAAAACTGATACTCTATAAGTTGAAATTTTAGTGAGATGCAAATTTAGCGATTTGTCCTTAAAACTGTTATTTTATTTTTAGTGAGATATGTTTTTATTGATTTTAAAATGCTCACTAAAGAATCTATTACAAATAAAACACAATTGATTTTTAGCAATATTTTAATTTAAGCAACCTCAACACCTTCGCCAATAATGCCAAAATCAACCTACTGTATGTATTTGAATGTGTACATGTATATTTCAATTGCTCTGATAAAAAAATGTGTAAATCTTTATTTTCAGGATGTTCATTCTCAAGGAAAAACACTAGAATGTTTAGCCGACAAGATCGGAGATTTAGCGGATGGCTGTAGGAAGCAATTATTACGAGTGGCGGAACTACAGGCGGACGACTACCACTTGGATCGCCAGCTGTACTATGCCTGTCGCGAGGACAGGGAACATCTGTGTGACGAGGTACCTGCAGGAGGAGGGAAAATATACGAATGTCTCTTTAAACACAAATTCAATGAAAAAATGTCACCAAAGGTATGCTTTGAAGTTTAATTTTTTGAAAACACAGTTTATCCCTTGTATACTTTTTGTCTTTTTCTAACACCCCTTTGAGTTAACATACATGAGTTAAAGAATTTTTGGGACAGCAATTTTTTCCCAAGAAATCAAGACAATCTCAATATCACATTGTGTAAATTAATTTGAAGTGACATTGGTGTATGCTTGCTGATTGCAGTGTAAACAGATGTTGACGGTGAGACAGCAACTCATTGCTCAGGACGTCAAAGTAGAGAAGACATTCTACAGTGCCTGTCACCAAGACATGAAGGAACACCATTGTTTTAAAAAGGACACAGAGGAAGGGGGTGACTTTCGCAGGGCCACCATTTTATTGTGCCTGGAAAATGCTATTAAAACAGGTATACAGTTGCAATAACAATTATAAAAAGTATCAAAACTGTTTTGGGAAAATAATTTCCAAAGTCAAAAACATGCTTTTTTGTGCATATTTTTATTCCTTGTGGCCTGTTTGAAACTTCAAGTTGAAAATTCTGCTGTTAGTTATGTCATGGTTTTAAATTTCCTGGTTTTGTTTGTCATTTAATATCTATTAAAAAAGTCTTTTCTTAGTCTCTGAAATGATGATTAATATACTATTCAAAGCAAATGAATCAGACATTGATTTTTATACAGAGAAACACATAAGTGCTGAATGCCAAGCAGAGATGGCAGAACTTCGACAGGAACTGATGGAGGACTACTCAATCAGCCCGGAGATTTTATCCGACTGTAAAACGGAGATACAGGAGTCGTGTGACAAGGGCTTAGAGAGGGGAGGCAAGACAATTCACTGTCTGATGGATCTGGCTCGGCCCGACAGGGACCAACGAGGACACAAGCAGCATAAACCAATCACAGCTAAATGTCGCAGAGCGGTAGGGCTCATCTCTGTTTGTTCTTGAATTAGAATTTGTGTTACACTGTCTTCCCGATTGTACCAGCTGTAATGTTAAGATAAAGAATCAAACCTCTTCATTAAGACTTGATTTGATTAAAAAAACATCTATGAATCTGAGATTTTTAAGTTAAATTACCTAGAGAAGAAAGTTGCTCTTATGTTCAAGTCCATGGTAATCAAAATATTTGTTTTTAAACACATCACAGTGTTTTCCCTTTATTTCAAAGTAAAGGGTTAGAGATCAGTTGTAACAGGCAAGGGGCTGAGGTTTATGAACAAAATCTCTATGGACCTTGTAACAAATTTTTATTTCAAAGTAGCATTTTTGTCAATTGAAGCGGTCAATTTGGCTGGTAGCCGGTTCCTAGGGAAAACACTGCATCATAAATAAATCCTTAGAAATGGAGAAAAATATTATTACCAGGTACTTGGTATTATGGATTAAAATGTATAATGTCTGTGGGAGTGAATGGGTTTGATGAATATTTTATCTTCTTCAGCTGGAGGCATTGATTCAGGAGGCTGATCCTGCCAGTGATTATAGAATGGACAGGGTGTTACAAAAGGCATGTGAACCTGTCGTACAAGCCGGTTGTAAACATATACAACCAGGGGATGCCAGGTTAGCTAGCATTTATATTTAATTCAGGAGGCTGCAAAACTTTCAAATATCAATTTAAGTTGTACCATATGTAAATTTATATTGCAGCAATGTATAAATTAGTCTTTTATATAAAGTTTGTGACTATACTGCACTTGCTAGTACACTAAAGTCACTGTAAATTGTTATATTAATTTATTAAGATTCAACGGGTGACATTTTTTTGTATTTTACCTACATATACAAGTACTTACATAGATGTGTACATGTACCTTGAACACAGTGATTGATACAAAATGGTACTAATTTGAACTCACAAACTTTTTAAAAAATTTTACAATATCATTTTGTGAGTACAATGGTTACAATGTCAGTTTTGACATGATGTTTACATCTAGGTTTACAGTGATGAGTTGACTGTCAGTTTTGACAAGAGGTTAACCTCTAGCCTTGCCATGAAGACAATGTCAATTTCGACATCATGTTGACATTTGGACTTGACCTTGTAGAGTGATCAGCTGTTTGATGGATCACCTGGACTCCGAGATCATGCAAGACGAGTGTGAGGAGAGACTGATGGAGATACAGTACTTTGTGGCCAGAGACTTCAGGTAAATTCATTGTCAAGGACACATACAGTTAAAGTAATGTTAAATATTGAAAGAGGCTCAACTTCATTTATAGTTTGGTTTCACATTAATAGGTCTCAATTTCTAATTTGATTTCACTGATTAATTTAAAGTAAAATATAGAAATAATTATATGCACTGTCAATTGCACATAGATCAATGAGGCAGAGTTTTGATTTTTAATGATTTGTCAATCCTATTTTACACATGTATTTAAAGAAAAGTACATATGTATTTATTTTTATGAATACAAACATAATCATTCTATCTAAAATTTCATGATGTTCAGTCACACAAGTACATGCAGTTGACATTTTATGATTGAGACATTTTTAATCATTGGATAAATTTATCTACTGAAAATTTAATTTCAGTTGGTACAAAAGTTTATTTTAATGATTATTACACTTATAAAAATCTAAAAAAGAAAAAAAAAAGGAATTCTGGAATATAATTGGAACCTTTATATTAGTTCTGTCAGCTATTCAATACCTCTGTGTTTAGTAAAGACTGTAACAGAAATAATGTCAAAAGTAGATAGTATATATGTACAGCTCCCATAAGCATATTACCTAACCAGCCACTGAAATTTTAAAATGAGAAATTTGTACATATTACATTGAAACATTCTATCTGATCTCGCAGTGTAGAATAGAATTTTTGCTTGCTTTGTTGATTTCACAGTTTACAATTCTTACTGCCTTCTTTAGACTTAAATCAGAGCTTTGTTTGAATGTAACTTTTTTTTAAGTGTGAATTCTGCCTTTTTGCTTTTTGTTTTCTTACAGAGTTAGATTTATTTCTTCTTTTCTTTCTTTAACATCTACTATCCTAATTTCAATTTTTTTCTCTCTCATAGTTAGCATAAATTCAACCACTTGAAAATTTCACAGTATGATTATGTAGTTTTACTTGTAGAAGAGAATGCAAAGAAACAACTTCTTTCCATTCTTCATAAGCCATCACTTATAAAAAAAAACTTAATTGCTATGATCTAAAAAAGTGCTATTAATTATAATCTTCTGTTCTTTCCAAAATTCATGTAATTCATCATATATATGGATGTATTCTAACATCTTTTCTGAACAATGTAAGCAGATGTGCTTCTAATGCTTCTAGAACATACCAAGTAATAATGCATTTATACTCGAGACAATTAAAAACCTGTAGCCCTGTTTTCTGTCCTTGTAAAATCAATAGCATACTGAATAATGCAATCAAAAGCCAGGTGTGATTCTGTTGAAACAGGACATTTTCACAATAATTCCAAATAATTTCCTATGAACTAAAGATCAATAACTGCAACAAGTGTAATTGATATCTGATTGAAAATACTAGCAAGCTGTTCAGATCAGTCTGTCTGCCTTGAGTGATCAGATTTCCAACAAGAGTACTGGGGATTTAGACAGTTTTGTTTTTCTCTGTAGAAAACAGACATACTGGCACAATTTAATGAATTTACATGGTATTGATCTTGGTGCAGCTCATGTTTAAATATATATATATATTTATTGATTTCTTTTTCATTTTTAGCTCACCTCAACGAAGTTGGGGGGAGCTTATGTGATACCCTCGGCGTCGGTGTCGGCGTCGTTGTCGGCGTCGGCGTCCCGGGTTAAGGTTAAGTTTTTTGGAGCAGTTTTCTTTTTACCTATATTGATTAGACATGCATGGAAGATGTTTCTAGTGTGTTTCATTGTACCAGTCAAAGTTTCAGATGCTGCAATTTCAGCAAAGGAATGTCAGACCAGGTTATTGTTTTTGGTGCAGGTTAACATTTTTGGTGCAGTTTTTGGTGTAGGTCTCATTTCCGATAAGCCCTTGTAACTTACATGGATGGTACATCTTTTGCATTTTGCTGAATCTGACCTACATTTTCCGGTTGAGTGAACAGGTTAAAGTTTTTGGTGCAGGTTTCATTTCGAAGATACTATTTGCATGGATGGTACATCTTAGCATGCATACCACCAGTCTTGCTTCGGATGCTGAATCTGACCTACATTTTCCGGTTGAGTGAACAGGTTAAAGTTTTTGGTGCAGGTTTCATTTCCAAGTTACAATGAGACATATAATGACCAAACTTGCATGGATGGTACATCTTAGGATGCATATTACAAGACTTGCTTCGGATGCTGAATCTGACCTACATTTTCCGGTTGAGTGAACAGGTTAAAATTTTTGGTGCAGGTTTCATTTCCAAGGTACTATGAACCCTTTAATGACTAAACTTGCATGGATGGTATATCTTAGGATGCATACTACCAGACTTGCTTCGGATGTTGAATCTGACCTACATTTTCTTGACGAGTAAACAGGTTAAAGTTTATGGTGCAGGATTCATTTCCAAGTAACTTTGAACCCGATAATGACCAAACTTGCATGGATGGTACATCTAAGGGTGCATTCTAAGAAGCTGAATCACATTTTCCGGATTAGTGAAAAGGTTAGTTTTTTATACAGGTTTCATTTCCAAGTAACTTTGAGCTCTATGTTGAACAAACTTGCATGGATGATACATCTTAGGATGCACACTAATGGACTTGCTTCAGATGCTGAATTCGACGTACATTTTCCAGATAATAGACCTCGTAAAAGTTATGGGTGCAGGTCTATCACCAAGAAACTATAAGGCTTTATATAAACCAAAGTTGCACAAATGATGCATCAAGGGAGGAAAACTCTCAATCTTGCTTCAGATGCTGGATTTTAATTACATTTTCATGATGAAGAACTAGTTTTAAGTTTTTATATAGGTCTATTCCAAAGTATCATGTGACTTAATTTGCCTTACTTAAAGACAACATTCGTTGAGGTGAGCTCTGTAATCTCTGATTACCTATGTTTTTCTTCTGTGAAACTCATGTGAAGCTCTCATTGTTTTGAAAGTATCCTGCTCATGCGAACATTGAACTTGTAACATTTTTTTTATTCTACACAGATTGTTTATCAATTTAATCACTCAAAATAGATTAAAAAATGTAAACCACAGAGAAAAGAAAATGCACATGCATAGCTTTTTACATCATTTTCAGAATACATGTATTTTGCTTTCATTGCATACAATCTTTGCACTTTTATGGTTTAACAACTTTAAATAAGTTGAAAATAGTGTATGTATACTCTTATGGCCAGCTGCTTTCAAAGTGTTTGACAATTGTCAAAAACATTCCAAATAAATATTTGATAGTCTTAAAACTCATATTTTATTTAGAAGTTTTAGCTAAAATATCTGCAAGAAATTGTTAGTAGAAACTTTTTTGAAATTAAATTTAGGAAGTGATGAAATATTTAAAGCTAAATTTAAATGCCATGGATAAAACAACTCAGCCTGGCCATGTGTTTCCAGGCTTGACCCAGCTCTGTACAAGAAATGTCATAAAGATGCCCAGAAACTCTGTTCTGCCCCTGAGGACTGGGCCAGTCCGCAGTCAATGACCCCCGATATGGGACCCCTAGTACTGCCCTGTCTGTATCGCCACATGAAGCAACATGACGATGGGCCAAAGGTGAGGTGTCGCCATGTAACAAAAATGTACAGTGTGACATGCAGTTCTGACATCAAAGCAATTCATAACTCTATTTGAAAATGTTGATTACAATATACAAAAAGCTACTTGGTAGTTTCAGAATACATATCAGAATATAGATTTAATGTAATATCAGATTATGGATTTAAATTTGAACAGAACTTTAAAAAAAAAAGTGGATTTCCAATTATTGAGTTGAAGTGTCAGTGTAAACCATATTTTGGGGAAAAAATGGAACAAAATATGAGTAAAGTTTATGGTATTGCTTTGGGGGTCAAGCTGTTCAGTTTTCACTGTACTAGATGCTGCATCTCTCTATTGCTGGATAGCAGGGCCTGATCCTATTTTTAGTGTTGGGTATGTTGCCTTTCCAAGCTGTGTCCTCTAACCATTGATGTGCTTTTCAACCATTACAAAGCTCTTTCATGCAAGTCAAGTTTTTGTTAAAAGATAAGTTTGATTTATTAAACTCTTAATACCAAAAGAATAAGAATCTTTTCTATATTTGACCAAGCTAGAGATATAAAAAATGTAGATGAAAGATCAAGGATAAACTTTTATCATTTATACTTACAAAGACTGATACATTTTAAAGCCTTTAAAAGAAATTAGTAAAAAAAAAACAAAAAGTAATGCTTTTGAGAGAAAATGAAATTGTTTTTGTCTGTATGCAAGAAAATTAAGAAAATCTTTTCTTTAAAATTGAGAAAATTAGAATTACTCCATACTTGAAATTTTAGATGATTCTTTTTCTTTGAATTCATATATCTGAGCTTTGAATCATATAGAAATATGCACAAACATATTTAACCTATTTTCACTTGGTGTATAATTGAATTTTTCTGTACATGCATGATAGAACCTGCACCATTGTCTTGACATCCTGACCTTTTTGCATATGCACTTTTGCTTTGAAATATATAATATTTGCTTTAATTAGCTGCTTGCATGCTTTTACTAACAAAATGAAACTACAGCATCACCAGCTGTTCACCACAGAGAGTGTTACAGAGGAGGACATAGTCAAGGTTTGATAACGGCAAATCTAGGAATGTTTTCCCCTTCAGATTGGATCAACAGTTGTTCAAAAAATGTCGCCGCCCCGCCCGGGAGCTGTGTGGCGTCAAGGGCGACTGGCTGGAGAGTCGACACAAAGATGACAAGAAGCCGGCATATGTCGTCGCATGCTTGTTCAGACATTTTAAGCAGGAAAAAGAAAAGAAAGGGAGAAAGGGGGATCCAGCTAATGCAGAGAAAGGGGTACAGGTCTTTGTTTATTGTTTCTGGACTTTTAGATTCAGCGTGTTTTAGTTCTAATCTGAGGTCAAATCTAACATTAGGAAAAAGGGGTATGATGTTAATGTTTAGTAGGCTTTCTTTTAGGTGTGCCACCAACATTATGTGTGCTGTTTTTACGAATCTAGGAAGTCTGATTTTAATTAGATTGGTTCTATGAGTGGCATACTAAAACACTGTAAATAGTCTGGTCTGGTGTGCATAACATTTCTTCTATTGTGTGTTTGCAAAAGTTCAGGAAGAGGTAGAAATATACTCAGGTCAGTCAGGACTGAGTATTAACTAAATTTATTGAAAGCTTCAAAATATGGGTATTTCAAGCTGCTTCACTTAAGAAAATGGTGTAATATCTTTGCTGTTTGTTTTATCTGCTAGTACATGAGTAAAAATGCAGGTATTTATTGGGGGTTTCAACAAGCTAGGACATTTACACTGCTTCTTAATATGGTGTTTTTGGTTTAGAGTAAACTTATTTCAGCTTACATCTTACAAGATTTTTTGGCTCTACATATTGTCAAGATTGTCATTTATATTGGTGCATGATGGCATTGATGGGAAACAAATTTAATAATGCATGCTTTGTTTAGATGTGGATAATATTGCAATTCAAATTGTTGATGGATGAATGTTGCACAAAAACCTTCGCCATTATATGTATGTGGTGTTTGAAAATATTTGTTCTTTATTCAATTTGTCAGTAATCTCAACCATTGTTTGTCAAAGAATGAAAATGCTTTATCTAGCAGAATTTTTATCTTATGTTTCACTCCCCTATTAACCGGATAAAGCTTAAAATATTTAATCAGCATGTGTAATTAAAAAAAGAACTATTTATTAAATCTTTATTTATGGAGAAAAATAAGACTCTATAGCAGTCAGTAAAAAGAAATGAAATACTTAATTAATCTCATGTGATTTGGTAAAAATTTTTTGAATTGTATAAAAATTCTAAATGTAAGGGACTGTAGATGCACAGTTCTTATACTCTTTACAAATGAATGATACAGGTTTCCAAGCAGTGCAAGATTGAGATCAAGAGAGTGATGAAGCAGCGAGCCCAGCGAGTTCAACTGAAGCCTGAGATCGAGCAGGCTTGTCTCAGAGATCTCGGAATGCATTGCTCCGATTCTGATGATCCGGGAACAAACCAGGTACAACTGCACTTAGAAATATATATTATGATACTGCTTTTACTGTTTTTTAGCTCCCCTGAGCCGAAGGCCGTCGTCCGTCCGTCTAGCTGTCTGTCCATCTGTAAACTTTTCACATTTTCAACTTCTTCTGAAGAACGACGGTGCCAATTTTGATCAAACTTGGTACAAAACATCCTTGGGTGAAGGGGAATTTAAATTGTTAAAATGAAGGGCCAAGTTCTCTCCCAATGGGAGATGATCAAGAAAAGACAAAAATAGGGTGGGGTCACTAAAAATCTTCTTCTCAAAAATCACTGGACCAGGAAAGCTAAAACTTATATGGAAGCATCCTTGGGTAGTGTAAATTCTAAATTGTTCAAATCATGACCCCCGGGGGTTGGGCGGGGCCACAATAGGGAATCAAAATTTTATATAGAAATATATAGGAAAAAATCTTTAAAAATCTTCTTCTCAAGAACCACAGGGCCAGAAAAGCTGAAACTTACATGGAAGCATCCTTTGGTAGTGTCAATTCTAAATTGTTCAAAACATGACCCCCAGGGGTTGGGCGGGGCCACAATAGGGAATCAAAATTTTACATAGAAATATATAGGAAAAAATCTTTAAAAATCTTCTTCTCAAGAACCAAAGGGCCAGAAAAGCTGAAACTAATGTGAAAGCATCCTTGGGTAGTGTATATTCTAAGTTGTTCAAATCATGACCCCCAGGGGTTGGGCGGGTCCACAATAGGGAATCAAAGTTTAACATAGAAATATCTAGGAAAAATCTTTAAAAATCTTCTTCTCAAGAACTACTGGGACAGAATAGCTGAAACTTATGTTGAAGTATCCTGGGGTAGTGTAGATTCTAAATTGTTCAAATCATGACCCCCGGGATTGGGCGGGGCCACACAATAGGGAATCAAAGTTTTACATAGAAATATATAGAAAAAATCTTCTCAAGAACTACTGGGCCAGAATATCTGAAACTTATGTGGAAGCATCCTTGGGTAGTGTAGATTCAAAATTGTTCAAATCATGACCCCCGGGGGCTGGGCGGGGCCACAATAGGGAATCAAAGTTTTACATAGAAATACATGTACGGTATATAGGAAAAATCTTTAAAAATCTTCTTCTCAAGAACCACAGGACCACAAAAGCTGAAACTTATGTGGAAGCATTCTGGGGTAGTGTAGATTCTAAATTGTTCACATCATGACCCCCAGGGGTTGGGCGGGGCCACAATGGGGAATCAAATTTTACATAGAAATATATAGGAAAAATCTTCTTTGCAAGAACCACTGGGCCAGAAAAGCTGAAACTTAGTGTGGAAGCATCCTTAGGTAGTGTAGATTCTAAATTGTTCAAATCATAACCCCCAGGGGTTGGCGGGGCCACAATAGGGAATTTGAATTGTCCAAATTAAGACCCTTGGGGTACGATGGGGTCATAATAGGTATTACAAGGGGGAAATCTGGTTAAGAATCACATGGTCAAAACTTCTCAGGTGAGTGATATGGCCCATGGGCCTCTGTTTGTGTGAAAGTGTTTAAGTTAGTTAAATGAAGTGTAAAATGTATCATGGTTAAGTGTAAAACATGTGTTAAAAAGAATCTTGCATTGGTGTGTGGTTGGATAGACTTTGATATGAAGAAACCTTTAAAATCTATGTAAAACAGATCGATACACTTAAATGAAGTTCCAGGGATATTCATTTTTGTCTGGTTTTAAACCTTATTTATTATTTCTTATTCAAGTTTCCAATACATTTTAAACCTTCTGTGAATGAAATACACTTCTCTTTAAGCATTACTTCCTTATAAGCTTGTTTGCCATTACCCTGTTTAACTGTATGTTTGTTGATTTATTTCTGTAGGAAATTGCCTGTTTACAAGAGCATTACGACACCTTAGACCCTGAGTGTCAGGATGTCATAGGAAACTTCACGGAGGACGAAGACGAAATGCCAGAGCTGGACATCATTCTGATGAAAGCCTGTACCCCCATGATCAGCAAATTCTGTGACACAGTAGGTGTATCATATTATAATAATCATAGTCTCTTCCTTTCAAATTCCACTGTGTGACGTGGAGATTGGTTTTTTTGGATGAGACAGAATAAACTTAAGTCCCGTGTCACAGTAGATGCTGACACAAAAAAGAGCCCTTGCTACTAAAAGACCATAAGTGCAGAGTTACAGGTCTAAATTTTTTAACCCTCAACTGGCAAGTTGTGGTGTTTCAATTAAAGTGTTAAAAGTCCAGTAAACAGAGATTGGTGATGCTGTACATTAAGTATTGGGAGAGATACGTCAAATTTTTCCCAAAAATGTTGTCTGAAAATTGATTCGATAATACAATATCTGGTATCTGCTTTCTTTTTGACAGGATGAAAATGTGGATGAAGACGACACAGATGATATCATGGAGTGTCTGATAGAGAATAAAAACAGAAAAGATATGAACGAGAAATGTCGAGCGGGCATCGAGCATCACCAACTGGTTAGTTAATTCTCCTGTTCTCTGTCTCCCTATCATTTACAGTGAAAAATGCTTCTGGTGAAGTGCTAGGGACCAACAATTTTGTACAATTTTATCATACAGTAGTAGATTTCTATATTTTATGGTATATAATTTTTGCCTTTTTTTGCAGATATCAATGAAGAATTTCAGATTTGATCACAAGTTCAAAGAAGCTTGCAAGCGCTCTGTTTCCAAGTTCTGCAAAAACAAGAAAACAAAGTATGGCACCATATTTTTTGTTACATATATATACATAGGTACATGTGAAATTAATTGCATATAATGTTGCATTTTATGAGAAATAAGTCACCTACAAAAGTGTAAAATTTTTTTCTGTCATCAGATGAATATTTGTCTTTTGTTAGAAATGAAGTGATTTCCTGTCTCAGTGAGCACGTTAGAAATGACACGTTGTTAGACGAGAAGCAGCGAATTGACAGAGTCTGCAGAAAACAGCTACGTGTGGAAGTCTTAGAGAGGGTAAGTAATGTACTATCTACATAACTGTAATGATTAAATCACCATACCTGCAGATAAAAGACTATTCATGAGCAAAATTCTCATAAGAATATGTGCAAATGTGCCAGATATGAATACATATGTAAAATTCTTGATTGAGAAACAACAGAGCTACAAGCTTCAGTTATGTGCCATACTGAAATACAAATACTGTATATAGTGAAGATTCCAACCAGTAACTGTTTTTGAGTCATGGTTATCAACTTGATTATGGGACCATGGATTTTCTTTTCTCAATGAAAAGAAGGTGATCGGTGAGAGATGCAAACCATGGGCCTCTAGGGAAGCAGATAAATATGCTTCACTCTCTGTATCATCTTATTTAGCAAAGGGAATTCGATCAGCTCTGCTCACCTCTATAAACAGGGGAGCTTAGTGGACCCCAAACCATTGACTAGAGAAGATGTCTTTGTATCTGTGATGCTGTGTTTGAATGAGACTCTTTCTGTACTACAGGGTGAAGATATTCACTTGGATCGGAAATTAGAGGAAGCCTGTCACAACGATATCAAGCAAAAATGTGAAGGGTTGGAGTCAGGAAATGCAAAGGTGGGTGTTGCATTTTTCTTAATAATTTTTGGTTTTAGTAGGGATTTTTTTTTCAGGGAAAACATTTTTTATGATACCAGTTCGCAAAAGAACAGCAGGCATTCACTCTAAATTACTTCTGGTGTTAGGAATTCAGAAGTGCAGGTACCTTTCTTTGAAAGTTTAGGCCATAATAAATAAATTGCTAGATTCTCATCCGAATTTTTTCAAAGATCGAGGCGTGCGGGGGGCTTTTATTTTATATTTTTTATTTTTTCAATTTTGCAGATTTTTTATTGACCTGGTCAATCGGTGTAATTTTATCTACAATACCCAAATAAAAGTCATAGTAAAGGTACAATTATCTCTTACTTCACATCATCACCAATCTTTTTCAACCAATGACCCTTGTTTAAAATATATACGCATGTATTACAGCAATTACCATCTTTTCAGTTGTCAAAATCATGTCGACTTTCGCGGGATTTAAAATGAAAGTAGAATGAGAGATGAATACCGATCCCGATCAGAATTAAGATGAAGAAAAGCAGAAATAAAAAAAATCGAGGCGGGGGTAAAAAATCGGGGCGGGCGGGGATGAGAATCTAGGAATATTTTTATTATGGCCTTAGCGTTCAGTGTTTGAACCATGGTTAGAACTACACATATTATAGAATGTGTGTGTATTTTTTAATGGTGATGCTAAATCACATTCAATTTCTGAAATGATTTTCATTTAGTTTGAGCTAGTTTAAAAATTTTGATATTTACACAAAATGATAATAAATTAATGTCCTAGAAAGCAAAAGAAAGAATGCCATGTGTAAACCTGCATTATGTTTTCATATTAAAATTTTGTTTGAATGATGTGTGGCAATTAAATAAAAACACTAGTCTTGCAGCTTTTGTAAATCGGAAAGAATTATATCGGATTATAAAAATATTTTTCTTCCAGACAATAGAGTGCCTTAAGAGTCATCAGAAAACCCTGTCAAATGCCTGTCACAAGGTTCTGTTCAAGAGGGAGGTATGCATATCATTTCACTTAAGTTGTTAAAAAAATATACTGATATTTCTGTAAAAAATAAAATACATGTAGGTGCCTCACATTGTATGGTTGTAAATACATGTAACAAAGCAATTTTTATGACTTTTCAGAAAGAAGAAGCTGTACTGGGTGATTACAAAGTACACTCTGTGTGCAAGAGGATGATCAAGGTGAGTTTTTTAGCATGTAAAAAAACCCCCCAATAAAATCTGACAAATTTAAGGTTCTAAATCTTATAAGAAAAAATTCATTCGTTTTGTAAATACTAAGCCTAGTACACTTACTGGGCTAACTCTTTCTATCCCAGATATGGCAGCTGTAGTTTTGATAAAGTCAGTTTCACTTGTTGATGTTTAATAGATAAACTCTAGTTGATCCTCCAAAAATATGTGAGATATTTTTTTTGGAAGAGGGGGGGGAGGTATATTTGTCAAATCAGTCAGTAATTAGTAAAATGTTAAAGAAATTTTATGTTGGAGTTAATAGTGTGATGGATTGCACAGTTGTCAGCTTAGACAGTTTTCACTGTGTATAACGGGTATATTTGATAATTTGCTGATAACTGTTATCTGAATTACAGATGTTCTGTAATGACAAGGAGGAGGAGGATGAAATCTTGCCCTGTCTAAAGAAGAACAAAGATAACCCCGACTTTGACGACAAATGCCACCAGCTGATTACAAAGCGAGAAATAGCCGAAAATAAAGGTGGGCTTCAAATTAATCAAAATCATACAGGGGCAAAATCATACCGGGTAAATCAAACCAGGGTAAAATTATACTCAGGCAAAACTCATACCTGGCAAAATCATACCAGGGCAAAATAATACTTGGGCAAATCATACCAGGAGAAACTCATACTGGTCAAAATCAAACCAGGGTAAAATTTTTACCTGGCAAAACTCATACTTAGCAAAATCATACCAGGGCAAAATCAAACTAGGGTGAAATTATACCAGGGCAAAATCAAACCAGGGTAAAATTATACTTGGGCAAATTATACTAGGGCAAAATCATACCAAGCAAAATCTTACCAGGGCATTGAACAGAAAAAAGTACTGGTTTATTGCAGTATATAAAAAATGGAAAGAATGAAGAAGTGAAATGGAATATTTTTGGATACATGTATGAAACACAAATTTATGAAATGTTTTTCCACCCTATAGATTATAGATTAAATCCAGATCTACAGAAGAAATGCCGTCTAGACATTCCTAAATTCTGTTCTGATATTCTCAAAACTCAGAAGAATGATGACGAACTCCAGGGCAAGATTGTTACTTGTCTGAGGAAAAAATTTGCTGTGAAGGTATGAAACATTATGTCATTAGAAGAAGAAGATAATTAAATTAACAGGTTCTGAATTCTCAAGAATTATTACACACTTTATTGGACACAAAAGACAGGTTTATTTAACACGAATCTCGATATTGATGTGTATTAAAGACTGAAAATATAAAAGTTTTCAGAAACCAGTGTATTTCATGATAGCTTCAGAGTTAATATTACATATATTTGATTGATGATTCATGGGTTTAAAAATTCAAAAATATCTAGATCTAAATGTTTAAGAAGTGGAATTGAGAATCAAAACTGACAGTTATTGATTAATTGATTGATTGATTTGTAGAGACTGTCGAATGGATGCAACTCTGTCATTAAAGACATCATCAAAGATTCGGCAAACAATTACATGGAAGATCCAGTCCTGGCCACAGCATGTGAAAAAGAGGTACACAAAATTAATAGTAAAGGAAATAAACATTTCAGTATTTCCATTTTGTAATAATTCCTATGGTAGAGGATTTTTGGATAGTTGTGAGTCAGAATTGTGTGTATGTAGCGAGGGGGGATCTATTTACAAAGCTCTGTGTCCTGACAGAAGAGTAATTAAGTACCAGTCCACATAAAAATCAGACAAAGGGTGATATATGAGGGTTTTCAGAATTTGATGATTTTTCACTCATAGATTTATTTTGAAGTATGAACAATGTATGTAAAATGAAAAATGTTTTGAGTCATGGTAACCATGGAAACCCGGCCAAAGAAATTTCCTTAGCAACCGGCGGATTTTTCAGTGTTGAAGGACAAAAAAATCACCTATGTTTGAGGCTTAAAATAACACGTAAATACCATGAGAATTTTTCTTACTTATGGGTGTAATAAAGATACACATTTATTGTGTTCTAATAATGTAATAAAAAATATTTAGGTCTTAAGTCAGTTCTGTGGTAGACATTGGAAGGTACATATGTTTTACAAGTTTTGCTGATTCAGCATTTTTCGTGATTTTGGCAATATTCAAGGCCAAATTTTAAAAATGGCCAGATTAATACAGTTCTTGCATGTATCTCACATAAAAGCAGAGGTATTTCTCTTTTAGAATTTGAAGTCAAATCCATGGGCTCTTTTGAAAATCGAATCTGTTGCCTAGCAACAAAAATGGGCTTTTTGATGCATAAAATGAGAAACAATGTAAAAAGTTTACGGAAAAATCAAATGAACGGTTATTTATGATAAACAAGATACAAATTTTAAAATAGTATAATTAAATTTGGTTTCCCTAGCACATTATTGAATATTGCATAATTCTTTATCTCCATAGCAACGGCAGGTTCTCCATAGCAACAAGGCAAAGAAAGGTAATTTTGGCGTTTATGCGTGTAATCTTATTAGAGCCAATCGGAAAACCCCTAAAGGATTACATTGTTTGTGACGAGCTGACGCTTTGCTTGTCGAGAACTTTAAATTCTACGTCACATTCTCGCCACATCAAAGGACGTAACCGAGATGGCGTCTCTCCCACGCTAAAGTCGGTCAGCTGCAATACACATCGCCGACGTTTAACGAGTTTACAAAAGGGGACAGAAAACACAATTTATTTATAGCATTTACCATTTGTGTACCGGTATATGGCACAGTATACATGCGATATAAAATGATGTACATGATCAATTTAAATTGCTGGATTTTAAGTATTCGTCCTGGTCATTCTTGGATTGTGTAGTATTTTAATTGTTTCAAATCACTAGTACTGTTGATGTGAAATGATTTTTCTGTGGAAAAGAGAAATATTCCGTTCGTGTATCAAGCCGTGAACTTGAGACTTGAGAACTAAGTATACATAGATTTTTTATTACATGTATACCCCAAACAGCCGTATTATACCAGAAAAATATGTACTTGTACTTTAAGTATCCATATATAAAAGAACATTTCTGTCAAGAAGAGAAGTATGCCTATTCACAATTGTCAATAATTATGTAAAAATACTAAATTAGAACGGGTGCATAGTTTTGCTTTAAAAAATACACACAATCATGTATAATAGCTCTCTCTCTCTCTCTCTCTCTCTCTCTCTCTCTCTCTCTCTCTCTCTCTCTCTCTCTCTCTCTCTCCAGGAAACGTTTCAGTGGCTGAATATATATATATTTCACTCTATTGCATCAGTGATGTTTAAAATATGATCAGGTATTTTCGTTAATTTAGCACTCAGTCTCTGATTTTTTAATTATCAGTAAGCACACATTAAATCCATTCTGATTGATCATATACGACATACATGCACTGCTGCAGAATTTTTAAATACTGTGCATTATGTAGAAAAGTACTCAAAAGCACATTTTCGCAATCCTTTATAAAACTGAGATTTCTGTAAGAACATGTAAATACCCATAACAGGGAACCCATACTGAGCACTACGTACGCAGAGTTTTTGCAAACAGAAACATATCCTCCATATATGGGGGGGGGGTTAGAATGGAAAAAAAAAACAGGTGCGATTTCAGCAACTGTGGGACAACTTTATCGAATGCTCAGACAACTTTTAATAATCATGCGATTCAATGAATATTTATATTGTACTAACGTAGTGGAACTACAAGAGGTCCATGGGCTACATCGCATACCTGAGCAACGTGGCTAAGAAAATAGCAGAAATCAGCTCAGTATTGAAAGTTTAAATCCATAAGTGGTCCCAATCTACCTTTAAAGGGGATGGGAGTATATGTGAACAAACTTGAATCTACACGTCTTGAAATTTTCTCCCATAAGTTTCAACATTCTTGGCACTCTGTTTCTTGAGATGATTTTAAAAACATGTCATCAATTGCAAATTTTCACATTTTCTGAATTATCTCCTCTAAGAAGTCGCCCTTCATTTGAATAGACTTGAATACCGTTTACCAAAAAATGCCTTGTGGCAAGTTTGGTTAACATTAGCCCAGTGGTTCTAGAGAAGAACTCGAAAATGTGAAAAGTTTAAAGACGGATAAACAGACGTCAGGCAAAATGTGATCAGAAAAGCTCGGCCAGCCCTCGACCCACCCTTCCTTTTTTTCGTTTCAAACATATTGTTCGAAAGGTTTTACGTTTTAATAAAGATACTTTACAACAGCTTAAGTAAACAGTTTCATGTTATTTTAGTACATGTATATACTAAAAATATCAATTCGTAAAAATTATTGTGCACTGTACTTTAGATACATGAGACTGTCACAAAAATTTCAAGACCGTAATCCACTCTTGTTGCATCAGTATAATGACGATATTCTCTTTAGGTCAATGTACAAACAAATCAGAATAAAGCCAATATTGCGGGTTAGTGCAACCCACATCACAAACCTGTTCTTCTCTAAGAAATATATAACACAGTGCTTAAGCACCCAAATAAAAACACCTATAGAAACTCATTGCAAATACCAGAATATATTAATTATATTTTAATCATTTAAAAATTGCAACATAACAAAAACTAGCGCACGCTCCCTGCGACGCAGTTTAGTACCGGTAACTGTCCACGTCTATTTATTTTCAAAATCTGCCAGGCCCATCGAAAGGAATCAGAAAATGCATGTGTAATTAGATTTAGGCTTTATAGACATAGGCATCGAAACCGGGCGAGCGTAGAGAGGGGGGGGGGCTTTTTCAAAGTTAGACTTGGTATAGACATTGAACATTGCTGCGTAGGTATACCCACGAAATAGGATTTTTGTGTTTGGAAAATACACATCCCTTGTTTTTGTTTTTGTGTGTGTGTGTGTGTGTTGTTGTTGTTGTTGTTGTTTTTGCTTCTCAGGTTTTTTTGGAAGGTCTAAAAAAAAATTTCTTACCCTTAGCCCCCACTTTAATTTGCTTCCGATGCCCATGATAATTAGATATTTTCCGTCGTTTGGTATAAATTACCTTGTACATACAACATTCGTTAAAACTTAAAAATAAATTGAACTTCAATCGTTAAAATTTGAAGGTAAATGGACACGTCTTCCCAGGCCTTCCCTCTTTATCTTTTCTCTCGAATATACGCATAAAGAGGGTATCCATTTTTCACCAGTATATTTTGTACCAAATCCAACAATCTCAGTATGCATGACTTGGGTTGATACGCGTAACTAATAAATCTAATGATCAATGAATCATGCACTACTCGACTTTTATACTTGTTCGCAAATATGAAAAAAAAATTGCGATAATAGAATAAAATAATCGACCAACTAAAATATTCGTAATGGAGTGAAAAAAATCTTTACATTTTTAAAATCAAGGTTAAAAAAACTTTTTTTTCAATTCAAGGTTTAAAAAAAACTTTAAACTTTGCAGGTAACATTCAAGAAAACGACATCGGGACTGTCTACTCCATTTTTTGAACCCCGAAAACAAGCTGTATGTTGCAGCTGACCGACTTTAGCGTGGGAGAGACGCCATCTCGGTTACGTCCTTTGATGTGGTGAGAATGTGACGTAGTATTTAAAGTTCTCGACAAGCAAAGCGTCAGCTCGTCACAAACAATGTAATCCTTTAGGGGTTTTGCGATTGGCTCTAAGACTTATTCAAAATAAGTCAGAAAAATCCGGTTGAGCAAAATTGACAATGAAATGTTGGTTTTATCATTGTTATTAATTTTGGGGGGAGGGGGGGGAGGGGGTACTTAATCAACCCATATTGCAAGGATTCCGTGTACATGACAACCAAAGTTCCTATGTCTTCAGATTTGACTTTGGGATTGTATTGTTTGTCATGGAATTGGATATTCAAGTAATATGCTGATAATTGCATGGTGATAGTTCGGAAAGACTTTAAAATGTTGTATCAAGTTATTGAATATTGTTCAATGACTTATTTCCATAGCAACAACACCACTCCCCTAGCAACGACACAAAGAAAGTTTGACGCATATTCATGTTACCTGTAAATCTTTATCTAAATCATGTCATGAAGAAAAAAATTGATGTTGAAATGTTTGTTTTTCGAAAGTATTTTTAAACTCATTTAATCTATAACAACTATTTCTAGCACATAGCAAACAATGTTACATTTTCAGTATGGGATACTCTGTAGTCGTTATTCATAATATTGAAAGATTCGGCACTCGTCACAGATTACAATGTAACAATTAATTCCTCATGAAAATAAATAGATAAATAAAATGAATAAGGTCACTATGGAAACATTTCCAATGATATTTCCAATTTAATAGGAAGATCATGTTTTAATTATTCTATTGATACTTGTCATAGATTGGAGAGTTTTTTTCCAAACGAAAAGAACCGTTCGCGGTAGCTCAAAGGTAACACTTACTGCGTCCCACAGTGGGATTCGAACCCGCGACGTAAGGGTCAGCTCCTTACTTCGTGACTCTAGAGAAGACGCTCTAACCACTGCTCCATGAGGGCGACGCGGCACATTAAAATAAATCAAAATAAGAAAAGTCGCATCGCAGTCAGTTACAGTTAT